ACGAGTGCGCAACAGTTGTTACTGAGTAATGCGTCTTGTCCTGTAGTCCAGCGTTAGCAAGTGCTTGGAAGTAATTTGTCGTGACAGCCACCTGTCAGACACAGGGACAGCACACCCTCTGAAGACCCTGCCAATGAAATGGCAGCGGTATCTCATAAAGTAGTCTCCACTCCACACACCCTCAAGGTCACCCCTTGCTTTACGGCCTTGGCTGACCCAGGGGCGTGCATTTCGGTGTGGGTGGTCGACACCAACTCTCGTTCCTGAAGTGGCAAAGGGATGAGAGAGGAGAAACGGGGCTCGCGGGGGTCCTTCCATGAAACAATGGCATTTCTTCGTCCAAAGAATTCACGATTGCCTTCCGCACAACGCTTAATGATGCGTAAGACAATCATCAAACGGTAGGGCAACCTCGTTTACCTACAATCGTGAATTGCAGTTCTTGACGCATTTCACTGTCACATCCAACATCCAAATTCTCCGTGTCATTGATATGATCTCGTCAGCGGTGTCGATGGTAACAAATGCGACCAGGGCCGCCGAAACAAGATCATCGTTGTGGGCGCGGGGCGTCACAATTGTTTTGTTTGCAGATGTGTTTACCATGGAGACCCGAGATTGTTTACGGAGTCAACTGCGTCGTAGCCAACCCCATCCTCGCCCATCACGAGCGGGCTCAGCCTCTGTCTGTTGTGGCTCCTCCCCTCTTTATTTTATTTCGATGGAGACACAGCCCTACATGGGGGTGGTTTTTATGCCATGAATGGCCATCGCCACCGACAATCACTGGCCATGTACGATTTATTCATCGTTGTTTTGCTTTGGCTGCGTTCAGTGGAGTTATTCCTTTGACGTCCTTCTCCGCAAGTAGGCTGAATAGAAGAACACAAAGGAGCGATACCAAGGCAGATACTGGAAAGGCAAAACAGCAAATGACGATCGTTAATTACGAGTATCGTGCGGAAGGGCGCTCCACGAGGGTGGCCCTCTTGTCTCAATATTCCCCAATAGTGAACAAGTTTGACCCATTTTCGAGTTGTCTTCAGAAGCCTTTCAGGTCATCTCGTTGTCTTCGAATGTCCCACCCAGCCCTCAATATCGTCTTTTGAGATCTTTCTTTGCTTTTTCTGTCCACCTTGGGCGCTAGCAAGGGCGCGTTCCTGTTGGCTGCAGGACGGAAAAGAACTGGTTTTTCATTTATTATTGGGTTATATCTTACACAGTACAGCGCATTGATCCTCTTCATGGTTTTGAAAGATAGCTGTTTCCTTTTACCTCTACATATTTTAAATCCTTTTGGGAGCACCAGAAAGGCAACTCCACTCAGCCGCAGGAAGCGCCGATTCACCCTGAATCGTGCAGCATACAAGAAAGCATATCATCGTACATTGACCACTGAATATCGGTCGGAATTGGCAAGGGCAGAATGGACAGAATGGCACGCAAAGCGTGAATTGGAACCTGAAAGCGGCATTGATGAAGTATGGCGTACTTCTTTACGTCGCTAGTCTTTGCGCACAGACACACTTCGTCGCAGTCTGTGGGCAGTGTGGGATCAGACTGAATATTGGACTGGCTGCACCATTTCAGGTAGACCGTATTGACGTCGTGAAATGGATAATTCGGGGGGTCGCAGACGGCAATACCAGCTTGGCAGTTGAAGCCACATGATCTGGTTCAATATCTGTGATGATATCTTTCGACGATTATGATTTCTAGCGATATCAACTCTTTTGTTCCCAAGTTGACGTACCCTCTTTTACAGGATGTTTGGTTATCAAACGGAAATTTTACCTTCTTTCCCGTCTGGTTTGCATCCCTCTGGTTTGCCGAAAATGGAACCATAAAAAGAAAAGACGGAAAAGAATACGTCTAAAACGGTGTCTAAAGCTGGGCCGGTCCTGGCACTGACCCATCATCTACATACAACTCTACGGACGCACGAGTACGACCGTAGCCTACAGGTTCCTACATCGTACTTGGAAAGGAGTACGACGACATAGGCTGTGCGGAGTTTTCTTTTAGTTTGTGCGGGCTGTTACCCGCATGCAGCATAGCTCCGCCAGAAAGTCCACCGTCCGTTCACGGAGAGCAACCTATCTCTATCTTATAAAGTGCATATTTTTGCGGTCGACATTCCGGGAAAATTGAAGTTAACTGTACTCCGTATGTAAGGAGGCGGCCTTCAGCAATAGAAATAATTGTCACCATATGGATAGGATGCAGCATTTCGTTTGTAATAAGAGTAAAGCGAGAAGCGAAATGTGTCCCCCCGTCAACAATTGTCAATCTCCCAGCAACTCTGAAAACTGCATGTAAACTCATACAAATAAAGCAAACAAAAAAAGAGTTAATGGATATATCGAAAAAATGGACGCGAGGAACATTACCGAAGAAGAAAAAGCAAAAGTACCAATGACCGTAAATGGCAATAAGAGCAGGAAGTCAGGCTCATATTGCTGTAAGCGAATTAGGAAAATTGAGCTGGAAATTAAGGCACACAAAAAAGGAAATCTGCGATATTGGATTGTTGCCCAGCATTAAGCCGCCCTGTTCCTGACCCGCGGATATTGCCTATTTATTCATTCTCTATTTCTGACACCGTCCCAAGTCTCCGTCGCCTCTGGGTCCTCTCCTTTTCTTTTTTTCGTAACATACCGTCCTTTTTTGGCACTTTTCTTTTGATTGTCTTCCCGGTGTTATTCTGCGCCGCCTCGGGAAATTGGCGTGCCATTTTCGACTTTTTCGTGTCTTCTGCACGAAAACCGCCAGACTTGCTAATAAGCGTGGCGCCCCCAACATTAGCATTCCTTTGCTGGAGACTACATGAAGGCCAGTCCAAGAAGCGTGGGAGCTAAGGAACATGCTCTCTTGGCACGGCCTGTGCATTTTTGGTGAGATTCGCGCTCTTCCAGCGCGTTAGAATGCTCTCGAAGCGATAAAAAAAGCATTATGGCGTCCCAGAGAATGAAATCGCAAATTAAGCTGTGCCAGAACATGGTCACTCGTAGATCTACGTTCCAATCTCCGTTGATCAGGCACAAGGGGTAAAGTTTTGTGCGCAACGTTGCTTATGTTCAAAGCCGAGAGGCCACGCCGGGAGTGTAAAATTCGTAAGTAATTACTGTATTATTGCACAACCTTTCTTTTCCTTCATACTCCGTAATCCACTCTCTTTCGACGGCCGGTCAGGAAGGGTCCCTGATTGCCCGCTTGGCAGTCCCTGACGATCCGTTTCTTCGGTCCCGTCCTTGTTTACGACTGTCTCCCCTTGACCCTGTTCGGTGTCATTCGCTTTGCGATTCGTATTCTTCTCCGGCCGTTGCTCTTGGCATCCGCTTAGCCTTTTCCTAGACGCGCCATTGAGAGTAATTACGTTGGCGGGTTCATCAAGCAAACAAACTAGGCGACTCTATCTGCGGAGAGACGACTGGCGAACATGAACACAGGAACCTAATACATCGTACGTCCCAAACCACCTCCAATAATGCCAGTCGGTAATAAAGAGTGGAGCAAAAGCGTCTATTTTAAAATGAAAGACTGGGCAAATGTCGGCTGGCTGAACGCAAGGTTGTGTCCGTCGTAAAGTGATCAGACGACAGAAGCAAACTGGCAACTTTGCCAGTGGCGGCAACACAGGTCTGAAACGAAATGGGACATAAGACGCACAAGTTTAACAAAACAAAAATATTGTCATTGCCAAAAGGTCTGAGCTGCTCCGTATTTTGTATGACCCCACGCCAAAAACGCCAACCACGATGAAGACCGGAAAATAAATGATATCCATGGGATTCCTTTTGGGGTCCTCGGAACACGTGTGAACGCGTCCACCATGGCCACAGGACACGGGTTGTTCAGCGAGGAATGGACAGGAAACACCAGCGACAAAGAAATCAATAGAAAACACGCGGCAGCAACAAGGAGACTATGGGCGCGAGACACGCAACAAAACGTCAAAGGACCACGATGTGTGCGAAAATGTACATGTATCGTGACGAAATAATCAAATCTCTGAAATGCATCGCCAATGACGACATGTCATTCATTTCTGCCAGCCAGCACTGTCGGCCTTTCTCCATTGGAGGACTTCAGTCTCCTTTTACCACAACAGGCGAAATGAGGTCGTACACCGCACGGTAAAACACAAGGTCGTGTTTATGATTTTTTTTTTCTAAAAAATAAATAAAATAAAGGACAATAAAATAAACGACCGCGAGGATGAGTGCGCTCGAAATAGAATCAACGATAGAGTTACATGTGGTCAGTGTGTGTTTTCCCTTGAGCTTTTTCGATCAAGATCGTCGCAAGGAAATGCAAGACATGGATGGGCAAAGGCTCCTCCTGTGCACGCACTGCTCACACACTCGCAAAAGAGTCCAAAGACGTTGAGGTTGATACGGAGAAATTACGTCGTTGTGTTGAGGCGTCATCTCGGAGCGTAGCAGTGTGATCCTTCCCTTTGAGCATTTCGTCCCTTCTTCCCGCTAGCGTCATAGTGACCCCTGTCACTAAATCCCCTGGTTTGTCCCCGCACCGGATATTAGGCCTAATCTCTTGCTGGCTTAAATGCCCGTCCCCAGCAAATATGAGCAGGCAACACCTGTTTAGGACACCATTCGAGAATGGGGCCTGGATCGCCCTGAAATTGGCTGTACGCGGCGCTGGAACGATAGCGCACGTGCGCTATTTCGTGATTTTGGCGGTGAGCGGCGGCAGGTCGATAAGAAACGTTAAGGCGGTGGGTGCTGGCAGAAACCACCCTCGTTAAAAAAACAGCGGGCAATATACGACGAAGACAAGCGATAAGGCGACAGCCCAAAAAAAAGTCGAACTGCAGAAAACAGACCTCCACCACAAGTGACTACCATTCACCAATCACCGAAACTCGACCAGGCCATCCTGACACCACGGCCAGACCGGACACTCACGACCCGTCATACTGCCGAGCTCACCATCCTACAAATACAGTATCTTACTCATGACCACACGCGCGCACAGCCATGTCTAGCGGAACTCCAGCAGCCGCCCCGGTTGCCCAACCGGTCGCCGCGACTGCACCTACGAAGCACCTCGGCATGCGCAAAAATGGTAGGTCCCTCCCCTCCGAACCTTCACGTATGAGCGCTCGTTTCTAACAGTCCTAGGCAAGCAATGGCATGAGCCCAAAAAGGCGTTCCGCCCGGGCTCCGGCCTCACCTCCTACGAAAAGCGCAACAAGGAACGCATCGCGCGCGCCACCATGAAGGCCAAGGAGAAGGAGCTCAAGGACGAGAAGGAGGCTGCCCGCCAGGCACGCATCAAGGCCATCCGCGACAAGAAGGCCGCCAAGGAGGAGAAGGAGCGGTACGAGAAGCTGGCCGAGAAGATGCACAAGAAGCGTGTCGAGCGGCTAAAGCGCAAGGAAAAGCGGAACAAGCTGTTGCACACGTGAGCTGGGCGGCCAACATGTGTCTGTTTGTTTGCTATAATTCGTTCTTTCTTGGGCTAAAACATTCTTGTGCATTTATTTTCTCTCTCGTGAGGCTTAGACCTTCATTGGTTGCTCTTCCCGGGATTCACTCTGGTCTGCAGGAAGCGTTGGGCGTTTTGGGCGGGTGCATATATTTTCTTGGGCACATCACTTTCTTGCAATATACAAAAGTATTCTTTCACCGACATGTCGTTTTCGTTTCTTGAAAAGTTTTATATCATCGGTCCGGTACCGTGGCGGTGGGCGTGTCGAGCAAGCATCGATGGAGTAGTCTCAACACGGCCGCTGGACGACTAGCTGATACAACTGGTCACTCGGATTTGAGCCAAGAAGATCGATTCGTTGGAAATCCTTATCGGATGCTCTGTTGCCAATCACTAGATACAACCCCCCCTGCATTCGAAACTAGCGGTTGCTGCTTGGCCACATATCTACCTACTTCAGCCATTTTAAACGTCCTATCGAGATGTTCTATTTAGCACACCAATATTTTACTCTTTGCTAGCCATGTATAGACAATTGATGTCTTGATGTGGCTTCTTATTGCATATACAAGTTCAATACTCAACTATATGTAGCAATATGGGGCCTAGCCAGTTGCAGTTCAATAGTGTGTTGACCCAGACCAAATATGTAAGGAATGACTGGCTGCTTCGTGGACATTGGAAAGCCCCAGGTGACAGATTTCGTGTTGGCCATGTCACCGCCATCTTGTTAAAGCTCTCGCCTTCGACATTGACTGTGGCACATATTTTATTTCCATCAATATCGTCTACGTCACGCCGATCATCGCTCTATAGTCAACCTCGGTTGGCCTTGCCGACCTTAAAGGTTTCAGGCAGCGGATAGCAGCCGGAGTGAGAAAAGCTCACGAGACAACTCAAAAGTCGCCCCAAAATTAGAGCGCGAGGGTTCACATTTTGCTGTCATCTCATCTGTATCCTTAAACGCACTTGCACGGCGGAGACTCACCTCAACACGTGGGCAAGCTATCGAACATCGAGGGAAAGAACGTGTAAATATACTTTTTAACTCCTTTTAACTGCACGGTTTGATACAATTCACCGAAGCGTTGAGTTACTGTACGATCTTCGTATGGTCAAGGGCGAATGGTTTTGGGCAGAAAGATCATGCTGCCCTGTGGTTAGACATTAAGGTTTTCTGGTTCATAATTTTCAGGGCACCGTCAAAATCATATTTTGGATTTTATTTCGAGTTCTCAGTTGTTTTCGGGTTCTACTTTTTTTTTCGGTGTTTTCTTATTGATTTTTTATTGCTGTAGGAAGGAAACAATTCATTTGAATGTAATAAAATAGTTCAGCTTCAACACATCCTCAGGACTCTGCAAACCGCTGACTGCGTTTCTATCTTCGCTGCACACTACATCCCAGCTCACACAAACAAGCGCATATAAACTAACAATGGAAGTTTCTTAAATGATACCTCACCTGCAATAATTATTAAAAAGCCTTTTGTATCTGGTCATAGTTGAGGTTGTCAAATCAAGCGCATTACATAATAAATGACTCAGCCATTTTGATTTCCATGTGACGCAGCCTCCTGTCGTCGAAACCGCGCCAACTTGCTTTCTACACATGCAGCGCCTGATGTTGCAGCACACCATCTTCCCTGGCAAAAGTAGCGAAACTGGGCACCGGGAACAGCCTGCAGCTTGCTCGCCCACGCAAAGGTCTGGGCCGCTGCATATTTCGGTTTTTGGTCAGCCGCTACACGGTACTTTGCGACACACCATTTGCCCATTTCCCGTTTTATCCACCCCCCTTTGCTTGGGCCCTGCAACTATGTCGAATAACCAGGTGCGCAGCGCCTCGGCCGTTGCCAATACCATCAGCAGCAACAATACAGGCCGAGCCGGTGGCGATCAGCTGACAGCGCAAGGAGCAAACGTTTCGGGAACAACAACACCAGTGACGACACCAGCAACAGCGACACCTTCACCCCAGCGACCGCGACATCACTTTACACGGTCATTATCAGAGCTGTCGTCGCCCTTGCGTCTACGCCGACAAAGCCAAAGCCAAATCCAGAGTCAAATCCAGAGCCAAAACCAAAGCCAAAGCCAAATCCAGAACTACGGTCTGCCGTCCAGACATAACCCGAGTTCGAGCCAGGGCCAGATCCCAAGTCAAACGCAGGGTCGACGAAACACCGGCGTTCGCGACGACGACTCCTACCAAGACGGTCGTGGTCCGTCTTCTACACGGACGGGTGTTGCCTCTACCGGATCTCCGGCGAACGGCGTTAGCCCGTCACCGAACAACACACCGGCCACGCCGTCCCACAGTCCCCGCCTCGCGCCTCTTAGTAAGTCACGCACAACAAGCGGCCTTGGTAGCACCCTCGCATCGGCTGCTGTTTTGACGGGAAACTTCTCTCTGGCACCGCACGACCCCAACGTATCCAGCTCCAATACGTCAAGTCGGACCGGTGCCTCGTCCACGACGGCCAGCCCTACTTCCAGCCGTCGGCCTAGTGTGCAGACCGGCAAAGACCAATACAACAACCATCCCTACGACGAGAGCCGCAACATGCAGCCACAACAAGCAGAGGTGCACGACAGCGCCCGTCACCAGCGGCATCATCACCACCGACACATCCACAACCTCAGCACTAGCAGCACCGCTGGCTACATGAGCAGTCACTCTACAACGATCGCGGCGCTTGCTGCTGCAGCCACGGCCGTGGCAGCTGCATCGCCAACGACCCAGACACCCGGCATGCCTAGCACATTAAACCACGGCCAGCCCGGTGCCGACACAGAGGCAGCGGACCGGTCTCAAGATGACATGCTGCTGCAACAGGAAAAACAAGGGCCTGCCGTTTCGGGTGCCAGCCGGTCCGCAACGGGCCTGCCCATCGACCCGGCGGCCGTTCGTGCTGCGGCCGCCGCTCTGGAGCGCATGCAGCGTGAGCAGAGCCGCAGCGCCGCGCGTGTGCTGCATTCTGCCGTTACCGACCTCGACGGTATGTCCACGACCACGAGTCAACGCCTCGATGCCGCCTATGGATCCGTGCTGTCTCGCCTCTGTGAGCTGCAGGACACGGTCCTGGCCCTGCGGTCGCTAGCGGCAGCCGCGCGCGCCACCAACCACCGCTTCACGGCCGAGACCGAGTCCATCACGCACGAGATCGACCAGCAGGTGCAGCAGCTCGAGGGCGACAGAACAGGCAGCGTGGGCAAAGATGGCGCGCCCGTGCTGACGCCGGCCGACCAGCAGCACCGGCTCGAGCGGTTGTCGGAGCGCGTGCACCGTGGCCGGCAGGCGATCCAGGACCTGGCCGAGCGCGTGGAGACGGTCCGTGATCGTGTACAGCGGTGGGAGCGAGCGGACCGAGCGTGGCAGGAGCGGACGCGGACGCGGCTCAAGGCGCTGTGGGTGATTGTGTTGAGCGTGATGCTGGTGTTGGTTGTGCTGCTGGCGATTATGCTGGGGCATTCCGGAGAGCCAGCGGCCCAGGAGGGTGTCGACGTGGGGGCTCAATCGGAGGCATCAGATGCCCATGGCAAGCCCAATTTCCCACCGGGCTTCCCCGAACTAGCGTCCATGACGGCGTCGACTAGCACGTTTCACTTGACGTTTCCCAACGGCACCACAGGCGGCCGCAACAATGGCAACAGAGACGGCCCTATCGCCAGTGATGCGGATGATGATCCACTCCAGCGACTGTTTGACGAGCTATGACTTTCCTGTTGTTGTTCTCTTTGCCTTTTCAGAGGCTGTGCAAGCCGCACTACTTATGTATTCATCATTGTGTTCCTCTCGTCGATTCTACTGCATCCTAGCACGTCTCAAAGCATAGCGGTCTTGCCTTACCTTTCTCATTTTTACGAAATATACCAACATACACATGTACGTCTATCTTACTTTTCTAATATAATATTCGCATAGAATCCGCGAATGAACAGATACCTACGGAGTGCATTGTTTGGGAGGCAAGGTAAGCCCGGAGTTTCGGTGACAATGCTTTCGCCCGATTGCAGTGCGTCTCGTCCAACTTAGGCAGCGTGTAGTACGGAGTACGCGGACGTGGGAGATGGTTGTCCACTGGCTTGCTCAGTATCGTGATGAGCTCTACAGTGGATTACCCTCAAGAAGCGCCCAGGGACTATCTCGGAATAGACTCGGACATGCTTGAGGCACAGTACCAACATGAAGCGTTCTTAAGCCTTGTGCTCGCGTTGTCTTTTCAACAACCTTGTCCACGTACGCATAGCAATTTGTATACGAGGATGTTGCACAGCTGCCGAATGACAAAAGGCCCAGCCACAAGTATACAGTCACGAAAAAGGCCGGCCGCGTAATGAAGGTTGCAGGTGTGGACCACGGCCAAGACGACAGACAAGACCAGCCCAAACAAAAAAGACGAGACGAGGATAAGGGCAATACGAGCAGAGGTTGGGAAAGCATCCCGGAGAGACCACAAAAACAAAGCCACAGGAAACATCCACAAGGAGCCACTCAGCCACTCTACTTAGCACTTAATCTGCGGCACATTTTGAGGAGCGTAAGCAAGGCCTCCGTATCGTCTCACGCTTTATGTTTTGTCGGATTCGCTTTTATGTGTTTTCGCCTGCTGCCCGAAATGGGCATCCCGCAAACGCCACACGAGTGGATAATGGACGTCGAAGAAGCGTAACGACTTAGAGGAGAAGGCGTCAAACGAGGCTGGTCTGGGGTGGATGTTGTGGCATAGTACTCCGTGCCGGGCGAGAGGCAAAAAAAGGGAACAAACGTCATGCCCCACAATTTTCAGGTCCTGCCCTGGAAAGTGATAATATGCGCAACCACATCACCGCGTCACCCAGGCACTGACTCCGTACTTTTTGCTTGGTAGCTCCCTCCAAATCTACAATCTCTTGTTATTTTTGCTATATTTTTATACTGCTTGTTATTCTTTTCTTACATTTATTCGCCGTATGACTTTTTGGTTTCTCCGCGTCACTTGCGCCGTTGGCAGTGATCCTCTTCTGAACCTTTCGATCAGTTTATGCCGCTGGATCATCTGCGTCACTGATCCCTGCTAACTCCGGCGATGTCTGATCGGGACTTGTGTGCCAGTCGAATGGCCAGAAAACATGGTACACAGGGTGGCAGGAGATTGGGATGTTCGATGAACATGGTAGCTAAGAGTTAGAAACAGCTTTCACCGATAGAAATCCCACGTAAGACGCGTAGAAAGAGGCATATTCCGAAGTCCGCCTGAACCCATTGAAAATAGCAGTTGCGACCCATACTAAGCAAACGCCAAGATCTACGACAACGCAATTGCTTTTAGACACCAGCAGAGCGCCTAAATCAGGCAGTCGCATTTTTGTATTTTTAGCGCTGTTTCCTTCTTTAACAAAAGAAAATAGACTAAGCTGCATCCCGGCACGGCATGAGCGTCATCGCTTCTTCGCCATCGTGCTTGCCGCCCACAACACCTCCGGTCGACCGCTCCTACCTGAAGCGTGTTTCTAATCGTTGCTGCGCTTTGTTCTTTCCCTTGTTGAGCAGATAGGAAAAATCTTTTGGTTTATTATCTTGGAATTTCTTTTCTTTTTGTTTTTGGGCTTTACCTTTTCACTTCATCCATCTTCCTTCTCGGCAAAACGATCTCTCTCCAACCACCAGGCCCTTGCCAACCGCTGTCCACTCAAATTAGCGCCCACGTCGACCTTGGCTGGTCCAGCCAAGCATCAACCTTCCGGCACTCTTCTCTCAGACCATTGTGGTATCTGTGATCGTTTTTCTTTTTTCTTCTTCTCTCTCTCCTGAACCACATTCTCTGTCTGCGTTTCCTCTGGTCGACTGCTGGTTGGACACTCGGCATCCACCCACACACGATTTTTGCGCACTTTACCCAACTGCGGTTCTTTCGCTTCCTATTTCGAAAAGGCACCGTGTACAGGGGCGCAGCGGAGTAATTTGAACAGCTACGGGATTACAGCAGCTCTTCATCCCAACCCCTCAGTCTTCTTGCTGCTCACCTCTCCCGAGCCTTCCGCGACAGACCGATCCTTTCTCTTCGACCGATTGAAGGTTGCAGACGCGGAAAATTTTCAGACAACAATTATACACGCCAAAAAAAAGAAGCATCATGGCCAACAGACCAACCGCCGTCAGCGGCGCTGGTGGCGGCGTTGCAGTAGCCCCCGCCTCCGCCCAAAGCGCCGTCGACGTCACCAAATCTTCTGGCGTTGGGGCTGCTTCAACTTCCGCTTCCTCCATGACTTCGCTGCCACCACCAGGACAGACTCTGACGGGAAAGCAGGAACACTGTCCGTATTGACCCTTTTTGTCCTGGGCACTTTGCGTGTATTTACTCCTTCTTTTGTTCATTTGGCGCAGCAAGCTAACTCGGTCAGACTTGAAACGAGAGCTCCTGGGCGAACAGGCAAAATGGGAAATCTTCGAACTCAACTCGCCGACTGCTCTCCGACGATTCGGCGCCCCCTTCCGGTCCGACGTGGGCGAGGTCTCCCCGCTCGACTCTAGCCTCCCCATCCTTCGCTACATCTTCGTTCACCATGTCCGCGAGTTCCCATTCCTCGACAAGGCGAAGGAGAAGGAATTCTGGCAGGACAAGCTGCAAGTGGTGTGTACAGCAATAACCAGACGTAGCTGATATCGCTCCAAGGTGACTTTGTACTAACAATGAGACTTCAAGTTCCTCGAGTCTTTTGCTACGAAAAACATCTCCTCGTCCGAAGACCGCCTCGAAGAAACCAAGCGCCGAAAGCTAGCTACGAAGGCACAGAAGCTTGTGGAGCTCATGATGGTCTCCGGCGTTCGCACCTCGTCTGGCTTTGAAGAGCGGATTCGATTCTCCGAACTCGAAATTGTGGACCGTGATGCGATCGATACTGGTGTCTTGGGATCCATTCCCCAGGGCAACTTTGTCAACGGCTGGGATGTCAACGTGGCAGGTGTTCGCGTAATATCGGTCAAGCGCAACATTCGCTATCACAAGCATGCCGTATGTTCCTGGCTCGCCCTACGGCTATTCCTAACCTTTGATGCTGACAGCGCTACAGGAATTCATCCTTCGGGTCCAAAGAAAGGGCGAGCTTGAGCACTTTGTTGGCCGTCGCTATGGCGATTTTGGACGCCTTTACAAGGCTCTCCGTGCAGAACTGCCGGGGCGGGTCCTGCCGCCCCTTCCGCGGAAGAACAAGACAAGCTCAACAGCTTCTAACATTATTGGCGGTCTCAGAGGCTCCAATGACTCGGATGTTGACTCCATCTCCTCGGCCTCGACAATGACCAGCCCAACAGGGCTCGGCCCTGGCGGTGTTGGAGAGTCACTAAAAAATCTCACAGTTCGAGGTATGTTGCACTTCCTCGGTCGTCTCCAAGGGTTCGGTGCTAACCAACTTATAGAGCACCGTAGAAATGGATCTGGGAGAGTATCGCCACGCCAGTCTCTCGACAACACTACACCTCCTAGCCCTACAGTTGCTGCTGGCCAGGAATCGAAGGCACCAGAGGTAAGTTCATTTCGCCCTGATAGTGCCAACGGTTCTCAAACATTTATAACTAATACGATATTACAGAGCGTGGTTTTATGGCGGGAGAACCAGCGCATCTCGCTGCGTGCTTTCCTTCGTACACTGCTTCATAACCCTCAGATTGCCCGGACAAAGGCCATTCAGGATTTCCTGACCCGGGATCCGATCACCCCACGAGACGAAGACGTCGACGACATTGTGCGCAGAGTCGAGGTCGACAAGAAGCGCGTGGAGGAGCAGAAAAAATTCTACGAGATTGCTCGCAAGCGAGCTGCTGATCTCGACGTGTACATGGAACAGTATGCAAATGCACTCCTGACTTTTGGTCGCCCATGTGATGTTCCCGTGCTAATAACTCGTTTTGCAGGTTCCGTCAAGACATCGTTGAGCGCAATGGCTTGACTATGCTGTTCAAAGAGATCAAGGAGAAGAAGACCATCGGAGACCTGAGCATCCAGTACCAAAAGTTTGCCGAGTGGCTCCGGATCGAAGTTGCCGCTACGATTTACCATCTTTTTCTCGCCGAAGATAACTCACCCGAGCTCTTTTCTCAAGCGAAACGCATCCATTCTCTGATTCCGTACACAATTATCAAGAACGTCATCCGGGTAGCGAATCCTGCTGCTGTCATGTCTGGTGTCCTCGACATCTTTCTGGCACAGCCCTTCGGCACGCGGTCTCTTATGCAACGCATCTTCTCCCTGACATTGAACGATGGCATCCGCAACTTCCAAAAATCTATCGACTCTTTGGCTGTCAAGATCGATGACCCGGTGTTTGTCAGCAAGCTTAAGGCCTACTCGGATGCCGACCAGGCAATCAAGGATATCATCCGGGACGAAGCGACCAACGACGACGTCGATATTTTGGTCGGTATTCTGCGCTCCGAGCTGATCGAACCACCACTCATGCCCGAGCAAATTGGACGCCTCTACAACGCGTACGTGGCGTTCAATTCGGCTGTCGAGAATGTTGACGAGGAACTGAAGCAAGGTGCCGAGCTCTTCTCCTACCTCAAGCAGCTCATGAAGCTCTACACGCGCCAGCGTGACAAGGCAATGATGTTGAATCTCATTGAAGAGCCCGTCACCCTCTCGCTGTTCCGCGACCTGTTCACCATCTTTTACGAACCCCTTGTTCGCGTCTACAAGTCGGCCAATGTATACAGCAGTGTCACCGATTTTTCCGTCTTCATGGACGATATGATGCAGGTTGTTGAGAAGTGCAGGGAGCAGGATGCCTCTGCCGATCCTAACCAGACTGTGCAGGCGTTTATCGACCTGTGCCAGCGGCACGAACACAACTTTTACAAGTTTGTTCACGAGGTGCACACACACGACAACGGCCTGTTTACGCAGCTGATGGGCTGGATCGAGGGCATCCTGGAGTTCTTGCGCAAGGGCCCCAAGAACGGCACCCTGGACGTCAACGCGCTCTTTGAAGGCTCTGTCAGCATGGGGCAAATTGACAAAGACAAGGCCATTGCGGAGGTAAACAGTCTCATTGCGTGGCAGGAAGCGCGTAAGAAGTGGCATCAGGACAAGACGCGGCAGAAAATGGCCGCCGAGGGCGGCGGCAGCGACGGTCTGGGCGAGGATGGCCTGTCTGGTCCCGTCAGTTTCAGCGCCGGCGACTTTGGTCTGAACGCGGCCGACCTCCAGGAGATGTCCTACGACGAGTTTGATGATTCCGAGGACGAGGCGGCGCTAGAAGATGAGGACGACCTCGATCCGATTGAGGCCGAACGGCGCCGCAGAACGAAACGGCAAGACCGCCTCCGGCGGAGCGCGGGCGAACCGACGAAGCCGGTCGTGAGTGAGATCTACAAGCTCAACGATAACTTTTTGGCCATGCTTCGCAATGTGTTGGCAGAGTAGACGGAGGCGGAACCGAGGAGGATACTTTTGTTGTGGTATGGATATCTTTGCATTACAATACTCTGGTGCATTGTTAGTGATGGGTATATCTCATGGTTGGCGTTTGGAACAGCAATTGTTGGGATATTTTTCTTGACATTTTAAGACACCCGCATGTTGTAGATAAATGGTTCAATTCTTAAATCGTATTCGCTTTCTGCCAAACAGTCGAATTGGGCTACTAGCGATTCCAGTTCCTGTCAGCTGCTGTTGTCCAACGCTCGGCGCGAATGTTGGACGGCAGATGTCGTTGCCTGTATCGCCTGTCACATGCTTTTTGTCGAGGATCACAGCTTTTGCGCCAAGGTACCTCTTCCACGACCTAGCTGTTGTGAAGTCGCCCATATCGGCAGGAGGGCATGCGAGACAGAAGGCGCGCTTGGAAAACTCACAGGTTGCACCAATTGCCTCCAATTAAATAGATTCACGTTCTACAAGAGGAAGGGACGAACGACGCACGATGTATCTTACTATACACAAGCCATCAGAACTTCAGATGGAAGGAAACGTCTTGGGCGAGCACATGGTGCTGACGCACGGACCATGCTCTCGGCAGGTGCTCGGCTAAGGACATGCTCTGCTTGGGAAAGAATGGGCAAAAAAAGGTAGCGAGGTTGTCGGACAGAGAGCGGGACTGTGGGGTTATGCGAATTTGGTGGAAGGGTCGACTGGACGAGCCCATTTGAACGACAAAGCACTTGGAGTTGGGTGGAGTAATGAGAAATGCCAGCCATGAGATTGGCCAGCGCGGGGAAGGAAGGGGCCACTCACTGGGGTGGGTTGGCACAAAGCACGCTGAAGGGCAGGTGCTGGACTGAGTAGGGAGACACGGGAGTAGCGCCTCACTTGGGGGGGAAAGAGTGCTGGCCGCACCAGAACCCCAAACCCCAAGGCCGCTTCGGAATTGTGCGGTTGCCATTTTTCGTCATGGGCGACTTTCCGGGGCATGTCCTTGAACCTCAATTGGCACGTCTCTATTTTCCCCTACCCGATTTCTAAACCAGCTTCACCTCCGATACCACGTCGAATCTCCCCTCTTTCGTCCAAAGGTCGGCCTCTCGTAGGATTTTGTTTGTCTTTTTTTCTCTTTCTTCTGTTGTCATTCGACGTTTTGGGTAACACCAAGACAGCCACAATCCGAACCTCGTTTACTCTCACGAGACGAAGCTCGGCTGTTGTTTTTCGACGACAAGGGAACCCTCGTTCTCGCCGACGACAAGTTCGCAATACGCGACATACAATCCACATCATTGAGCGCGACACACAGACGATATGGCGTCCACAGGGGCTTGGAAGCGGCTGGCAACAATTGCCCGGCCAGCTGTGCGTATTCACCCCTCCACTCCTCTCTTCCAAAGATGCGCTGTGCTTGCGACAAATCGAATCGCCGAGGTCCCGAATCGACGAGGCCGGAGCACAGCGACAGGAAGCGTCTCGAGCGATAGAGTCCGCAGATTACTAACGTTTTTATTTTCTGCAAACAGTTCCAGTCTACAAGAACCTTCTCTTCTACGCCGCGTGCCGGTAAGTTGCTCCCTCTAGAATCCTCTAAGCCCGGGGCATCACGATACACAACGCCGACGACGGCGGTAACGAGGCGCACAAGCTAACGCATGCCCTTCTCTATAGCTCGCGTCTTCGCAAACGGCCCGCTTCGCGCCAAGGAGGCTTCCTCGTTCGTGAGCAGCAAGTACCCAGTCATTGTACGTCTCCCTGCTTTCTTGTATCCATTCAATTGCTCGCCCTGTCTCGTGTATTGTCAGCCTCGCGGCTTTTGCCTTCCGGCATCTTGCTAATACGCCGTCTTCTGCATTAGGACCACGAGTACGATGCCCTTGTTGTCGGTGCCGGTGGCTCCGGTCTGCGTGCCGCTTTCGGTCTGGCCGAGGCGGGCTTCAACACTGCCTGCATATCGAAGCTGTTTCCCACGCGCTCCCACACTGTTGCCGCTCAGGGTGGCATCAACGCCGCGCTCGGCAACATGCACAAGGACGACTGGCGCTGGCACATGTACGACACCGTCAAGGGCTCCGACTGGCTCGGTGACCAGGACGCTATCCACTACATGACGCGCGAGGCCCCGGCTTCCATTATCGAGCTTGAGAACTACGGCTGCCCCTTCTCGCGTACCGACGAGGGCAAGATGTAAGTACTTTTAGGCGAAGAGTCCGCGAGACAGGGAGCAAGTATAGCTAACAATTCCACAGCTACCAGCGTGCTTTCGGTGGCCAGTCCCGCGAGTACGGCAAGGGTGGCCAGGCCTACCGTTGCTGCGCCGCTGCCGATCGTACCGGCCATGCCCTGCTGCACACTCTGTACGGCCAGTCTCTGCGCCACAACACCAACTACTTCATCGAGTACTTCGTCATCGACCTGATCATGGAGGACGGTGAGTGCCGCGGTGTCCTCGCCTACAACCAGGAGGACGGCACCCTGCACCGCTTCCTTGCCAACCACACCGTCCTCGCCACTGGTGGTTACGGTCGCGCCTACTTCTCATGCACGTCTGCCCACACCTGCACGGGTGACGGCATGGCCATGGTGGCCCGTGCCGGCCTGCCCAACCAGGATCTCGAATTCGTCCAGTTCCACCCCACCGGTATCTACGGTGCTGGCTGCCTGATCACCGAGGGTGCTCGTGGTGAGGGTGGTTACCTGCTGAACAGCGAGGGCGAGCGCTTTATGGAGCGTTATGCTCCCACTGCCAAGGATCTGGCCTCGCGCGACGTCGTCTCCCGTTCCATGACCCTCGAGATCCGCGAGGGCCGTGGTGTTGGCCCTGACAAGGACCACATCTACCTGCAGCTGAGCCATCTGCCCGCCGAGGTCCTTGCCGAGCGTCTGCCTGGTATCTCGGAGACGGCGAGCATTTTCTCAGGTGTGGACGTCCGCAAGCAGCCCATCCCTGTCCTGCCCACCGTCCACTACAACATGGGTGGTATCCCCACCAAGTACACTGGTGAGGTCTTGACCGTCGACAACAACGGCAACGACAAGGTTGTGCCCGGCCTGTACGCCTGCGGTGAGGCCGCTTGCGTGTCTGTCCACGGTGCCAACCGTCTGGGTGCCAACTCCCTGCTGGATCTCGTCGTCTTCGGCCGTGCCGTCTCCCACCAGATCCGCGACACGTCGAGCCCCGGTGCCAAGCTCAAGCCCCTGCGCGCCGATGCCGCCGCCGACTCCATCGAGTACCTCGACAAGATCCGTAACGCGGACGGCCCGCGCACGACGGCCGAGATTCGCCTGGCAATGCAGAAGACCATGCAGACGGATGTCAGCGTGTTCCGTACCCAGGAGTCCCTGGATGAAGGTGTCCGCAACATCAACAAGGTCGACAACACCTTCAGCGAGGTCGGCATCAAGGACCGCAGCATGATCTGGAACTCGGACCTGGTCGAGACCCTTGAGCTCCGGAATCTGCTCACTTGCGCGTATGTCCCGCATTCACACCGCCCCCCCCTCCCACCATACTATTTTACTGGCTTTTGATTATGACTAACGTATTGTCTGCTCCAGCACCCAAACCGCCACCGCTGCCGCCAACCGCAAGGAGTCGCGTGGTGCCCACGCCCGCGAGGACTATCCCGAACGCGATGATGCCAACTGGATGAAGCACACCCTGACCTTCCAGCGCGAGCCCCACGGCCCCGTCGACCTCAAGTACCGCAAGGTCATCAGCACCACCCTGGATGAGAACGAGTGCAAGCCCGTGCCGCCGTTCAAGCGTGTGTATTAAGCGAAGTTGTGGTACGAGTGTGACGATGTGAGGTGGTCTTGTGTTCCTTTTTGCATCTTGTCTGAACTTTTTTCTTTCTGTTTTTGGCCGAGACCCGTTCGTTGTAACACAAAATTGCATGTACTTTTTTACACGGTCGAGTTTCCACAGTCGGTGTTCCCCCGGCTTTCTTGTTTCATATTTTCACCCTACCTCGTTCAAACCACAGTTTACACAGGCGGGTATTATGCACACTTAAATGCATACTATGCTCGACATATATACGGACAAATCGATGGGAGGTGGATGCGGAAAGTGGATGTCGGTCGACACATAAGATAGAAGACTTGGGTATTCCTTTATGTAAAGGTTGGGTTAAACTCAATAGAACAAAAAAAAGAATTAAAACTATGCCATTCGCGGGTTTTAGGTGTACTGATTGTTTGGCGCCAGAACGACTTGCGACGACAATGAGTGATGAACATGAATATCAAGAAGAGAACATGCCACCGCGGATATCAATAAACAACTGGAAACATGTAGACCCCAAAGGCGACGATTCGCTTTACATATGGTCAGTATTAGTGTGCAAGTGCGCTTCCTATGCTGGCCTCAGTATCTCTACTTCAATGAGCATTGCTGCTCGCCTCAATAACCGCTGCGGGGTTGGCCGTTGCCTGGTTGCCTGCCTCCTGGTTGGCCGTTTCCTGGCCAGCAGCTTGCTCGTCGTTGGCGACTTGGCTACCGACCGGCGGTGTCGGCGGGGACCGGGGTTCCCGTTTATTCACCATAACCTTCAGGAAAAGAGGCACATCTATTGCGATCTTCTTGGGAATGAACGGCTTTTGAATAAAGAGCGGGAGGTTGCCACGTGCATGCGATGCAGTAGCCATGACCCATTCGATCTGCAAGTTATCAAGATAATTGTCAGGCACGTCTTCTGGGTTGACTGCATCTCGGGCAATCCCGGCCTGGTCGGCGGCTTGCAAAGCTCCCGCCGCAGAACCGTCTTCCTGGGAAGCTTGTTCCGCCTGTTGCACTGGAGCAGCTTCCGCTATCTGAGCGACCGAGGACCTGGGCTTCAACTTCTTGATTCTGAGAGAGGACTTCACTTTGCCAAATGTGCTCACTTTCTGGAGTGGTGCCTCCCGTTGCGTTTTTGGCCCCAAGCGGAAGCGTTCGACGCTCACATACGAGCCAATCGTGGTCCTAGGTCCGTTCGCAAGCTTTCGGCCGTCACGGGGAGCAGGGGCGGCACCCCAGCCGTTGATGGGCACGCTGATTACGAGAAATTCGTCGTGGGGCGCACTCTGTGCGCTGAGGCAGGACATCTGCAAGACAGGAAAAACTCGGTAGTCGAACAATTTGTTACCCAGGTCGTGCTTCATCTCGACAATCTGCAGTGTGAAGTCAGTCCAGACAGATGGGCCTCTGATCGGCCTCATGCCCAACGCGTTCAGGTCTATCGACATGGCCCTATGTATGCCGTTCCAAATATATGCCGTGTTTGTCCCGACAACGGTGTCGGTCATATCGTCTTCGGTCTTAACATGCTCGTCTTTCATGTGTTTTAGAAACTCCAGCCAGTCTGCTGTACCGTCTTGGGTGAGGTTGTTGTGGAATGAGCGGCGGCAGGCCCAGGTCTCTGAGACGGCCTTTGTCGACTTTCGGCACACGTTGCCACCTCCGTACGGCTGGTTCACCACGGCATCCAGCTCGGATTGTAGTATGTCACGTTCGAGTAGCTCTACCGCAACCGTGTCGGGGCCACCAGTAACTTTAGCGCCATTGAACTTGGCACTGCCCTTTGGATACCATCCGGACGGGTTCGGCTTCGTGTCGCGTTGCTGGTCGTAGACGTCCACGGTGCCAATGAAATCAAGAGACTCTTTGAGTAAGTTTGTTATGAGCGGCTTGATCGTGTCTATGCTGCATTCGTGGGAGGGCAGACGATCAAAGTCGATTCCCTCGAGGCGCAAAAGTGGCCCGAGAGGGGGATCACTGGGTGGTCTGACCATTGTTGGTTTTCGTTCAATGCTGTATCAGATTGCGTCGTTGTTAGTTGAGGAGCGGAGAAAAGCTTGGAGAATGTTTTGGTTCTGCGAACCTAAGATGCCAAGCTCTATATGTAAGTCCTCGGAGCTAAAAGCTGACTGTTCTTGGGGCAGCCAGCTACTGTCTGTGCTGCAAAGGTAGGTGTGTATGGTTTCGGGCGCGCACTCCCTTTGTTTCAAGCTCGCCAGAACAGGGGTGCTGCTTTGGCCGGGTTTAGCACAGGGCGATGGTACCAGGGTCGTTTGAGAGTGGAATCAAATGTTTACGACGTCTGACTCCGCATATCTGTTTGTCCGTTCTAGCGGTGTGATTGATGTGCCGTGGAAGAGGTAGAATTGAAAGTAGTATCCGATGCAATAAGGAGACAGGAGGGTAGAAACAAAAGAAGAAAATGGAGTCAGAAGAGAAACGAGAAGAAAGAGACGGTTTGTTGTTCTCCGACTCACGTTGCCCATTAGCTGGGACAACGAGAAACGTGAAGGGAAAGAACGAGCGGCAGGTAAGTCTGTGAAACGTGAGCAGCAGACCAGATTTGGAAGGCTCAACACGGGGGTATCACCGCTTGGGCTGCGTGTCCATTGCGCTTTCCCCTTCCGGGTGGTCTGTCATCTGGGGAGACCAAGCCTTGGAGCGGATCTGGCGAAAACCTGTGAGAGTGAGCCGCATAGCAATCCGGGGTCCAATCTCACTTTTTGTTCATGCACGGAATAGAAGCTCACGAGCTCTATTTGATTCCATGCCACTAGTAGTATTGTGAGCTACTTTGCGGACTAGCACATCTGGTTGAGGTTTGCAGGCGAATTGCAAGATCACTAAAACCACCTTTGCGTCGCGCTTTCCTTTTGCAAGCGGTTTATTTTTAATTTATTTATTTTTTCTCGCAATATGCGGAAAATGGAAAGAACGATTTAGTTAGATTTGCTTCATTGTGCACTTTCCACGTGGCAACTAGAGTATGTGAAAACAAGACGATGCCGTACTTCAAAGAAGCCTTTCACGTAAGTGCAACCCATCCCCACCGTCACTACGCATTGGCTATGGCTTTCATGAAGATCTTGCATTAAAATTCAGTAAGCCTATGGGGGATACACAACATAGAAACGAAAAGAGGTCGTTTAATTAACATGGCAGGCAAAGGAGCAGGCATTCGACCTCCGTACCGCTCCTTCCCTTTTTTTTTTTAGCCACTCGACAGGAAACCACTGCCCCCTTCAAACAACCGCGCAAGACACGCCGCTCTTCCAGCAGCTTATAGCTTATGCCTTCTCGCGGCGCTCCCAGTGGATCATGGCAGGCTCCAAGGGCCGCGAAAACAGCGAGGCGAAGTCGGTGCCAATGACCTTGTTGCTGCCATCCACATTGCGGAACTTGAACAAGCGCACAACCTCGACGATAATGGTCTGCAGTTGCACGTTGGCAAACTGCTCGCCAATGCACCGGTGACGGCCAGCGCCAAAGGGCAGGTAGGGCGACCCGGTGCCCTTGCTGACGAGGCCGTAGCCGTAGTCGATCTTCTCCTCGTCCTCCTCCGCGCGCAACATGGCCGGGGCGTTGGGTGAGTCGGCGTCCCACCGGTGGGGGTCCCACAGGTCGGGGTTAGGGAAGTAGGCGGGATCGCTGGCGGACACGCCGGGCGCGGACATGAGGATGTGGCTGGTGGGGACGACGTACTTGGTGCCGGGGACGTGCAAGGGCTGCTTGACCTTGCGCATGATGGAGTGAATGGGGGCATGCAGGCGCAGGGTCTCCTTGACGACGGCACCGTGCAGCGGCAACTTGGCAAGATCTTCGTACTGCAGGGGTGGCAGGTCGGCGCCGAGAACGTTGATCTGCTCCTGGTACAGGTCCTCCATAATGTCGGGGCGCGAGGCGAGCAGCAGCATGATCCAGGCGGAGGTCGACGAGGACGAGTGCTGGCCAGCCATGAGGAGAGCGATCATCATGTGGGCAATCTCGTGGTCAGGAACCTTGACGCCGTTCTTGTAGGTCGCGTTCATCAGGTGGTACATCAAGTCCTGGGCGTCGTTCTCGGGGTTGGCGCGGCGACGCTTGATGGTGTCCATGTAGAGCTTGGCAACGATGCGCTGTGCGCGGTCGCGACGGTTGTTCCAGGGGAGCGGGGCCCAGTGGAAGGTAAAGTTGATGGGGTTGAAGCCCAAGTCGAGGTCGTGATACAGAGCGGCCAGGGACTCATCAAGCTGCTCACGGATGGCCTTGCCCTGCAGAGCGTGAGAGGCAGTGAAAATGGTGATCTCGGCCATCTTGGGCGGCATGTTCACCTCGCCGGAATCGCCCTTGAATTCTGCCGTGCGCTTGAAGTAGCTGGTCACCTCGTCGGAGATGATGTGGACGTATTGGCGGAAGGCCTCGGTGGTGAGGGCGACCTTCATAAACTGTGGGCAAAGAAAATTCGTTAGCGAGGGAGGAGGTGATGGCAGCGCGCTTGTCTTGAGCTGTGACAGATGCATACCTTCTTTTGTTCCATCAGCTTGGAGTTGGGGCAGTCGTACACGACATCCTTGCCGAAGACGGGTGTGGTCAGGACACTGTAGATCTCCTCGGCGTTGACATCGCGGATCTTGCCGTTCAGCACAAAGTCGTTGCCGGCAGTGCCCAGACAGACGGTGGTTTTGCGGCCGAGCAGCACAAACGTGAAAACGTCACCGTACTTCTTGCGGTTCTCCAGGAAGAAGCGCGGCGGGTCCAAGCCGTACGTGATCGTGCTGCCGATGCCAGGAAACCAGTGGAAGACGACGGGCGGCTCGTTGGCGTTCTTGAAGAGCGTCTGGTTCAGCACGTTGAGGACGACGGCCACGACGAGCACGGCAGCAAAGCCAACAACAATCTGCGAGCCAGTGCCCAGCTGCGCATACTTCTGGACCAGAGGACCAGCCAGTTCCTGGATCGCACCCATTGTGTATGTCTTTGTTTGCGAGGAAGGGGGGCGAGAGGTAAGACTGTCGAAAAAAGGGGCGCCGCTCGAAGCGAGATACGCGGCGAGCTGGAGAAGAAAAGAGGGAGGAAGCGACAGAACAAAAAAAGAGGGAAGCTGAGGCCCTGACTTTGTCGTGGGTGTTCGCGACCCGTTGAGAATTGGATGATGCGAATTGGTCGAATTCGAAAGGGGGAGCGAGGGTGAGGAGAGAAAATAAGTGCGGCTGGATCGCGTTTCTAATATGCCGTTCGATTGTCACAATATCGTGCCAAGCGTCCTTGCAGCGAAAGGCGGTCTAATAAAAAAATCCGTTGAAAAAAAAAAATGAATTAAAATAAATCATTCCTTCTCGAGTCGTACTCGTAATGCGCGTATGGGCACGCCAGGCAAACCATCCACGCTCCTTCCAGCGAAATGTTGAATTGACCATAGTCCAGCCAATCAGAGGCGTGTATCGTATTCGTATCCGCAACCTATCCAGGTACCACTCTGCGCCGAACGCACGCAAAAGGTACAACCTCTCCGTTTCCAATTTCGCGCCGTGGCGGCGCCTCTTTTTTTCTCCCTTTTTTTTAATAGTTAAAGCGGGCAGCCCTGAATATGGTGCCATAACAACGGTTCCACGACACTGTAGGCCTGGCCCGCAGTCTCGCTGTGAAATCAGATGTTTTTTTTTGTTTTTTTTTTTCGCTCCGCTTCCTTGTGACGAGGAGGCTTTCACGACTGGTCCATTTCCCCCTATTTTCCTGGCATGGCACCCGCCGTCTTCGACACATTACCCACCAGCAATAAATAAACGAGTCTATTGGGCCAACCGCCGTTCAGCAGCGAGAGCAACAATGAATGCAAAAAACTTGCAATCAACTCATTCTATGCTAGACAAAGAAAATACAGAAGGAAGAGCAGCCCCGGAAGATCGTGCTGGCCTTGCCATTCGTCAATTTGTTTTGCCTCTGAGCTCTCAAAGGAGATTCTCATACCAGCCAAAATCAGATGAGTTCAAGCTGGCCATTGTCCGATTGTCGTTTCCCGGGCGTGGCCACGTAGGAAAGAAATACACACACCCGAACGGTTAGTAGTCGATCTCATCAGTAAAACGTCTAATTCGTAGGGAGCTGGCAGAGAGGCTGGTGGGTGATGCTGCCCGGCGCGGCTCGCCCCTTCCCTCGCTTTCGTCAGCCAAGAGTTCTTACGTTACTCCAATACTTGCCAAAACGAGTAACTTCTTGGTCTGCTTACACGCGACACGCTGTATGTCAACGACCCCCAGCATCGCATTCGCTGCCAAACCGCGCAATTTCTACAGCACGTGATCTCAACAGCATTGTTCTGTTCTGCCACAACTTGAACGTTGAAGGTCCCGAGCTGCCTATCCTACCACCATCCTTCGGTCTCTTGTTCGTATTCTTGTGCCGTTTCACGTGCTGAAAATAACTGTTGATCACGGTAAAGCTAGACGAATAAGAGAGCTGCTGTTGGTTGATGGCAAGAAATGCCACAAGTTAAACGAATAAGAGAAATGTTGAGCCCAACTTGACAGACCAAATTTGTTCCCCCGTGGCCTCCTACCTACGCACGCTGCCGACATGAAACAATGTCACTACTGCGTGAATAAGGACCCGTCGTGACAACAATTTCTCAGGACTTTGAGACGTAGGTTGCATGTAAAGAAGGTATAAGATATTATTTCAAGGAACTAGGCATTTGAAAAGTCCCCAACTGCCTGGGTACATCGTTGCTCCAGAATGTACAACTGATGAAATGCGCAATGTCGACCCAAAGAAAGATATGAAAAGAAGCCATGACCGGATATGCAATGCTAGTGAAGGTATAAGAACGTGACATAAGAAAAGCGAATGTAGGGGCTGAAAAGGGGTAACATAGTAGTGAGTGAGTGAGATTGAGAAAAAGGAGGAACTATAGAGGAGACGTAGCGCGGTGCAACCATATGCCATCAATATCAAACGTCGACAGCCCACCAGCCGTATTCGCCGTCAATGTTGATCCAGCGTCCCTTGTCCACAGCGGTCTCCCAGCCCATCATCACCGCCAAGAGGCGGCATCCCGTCGCGCTGACAGCACAAACGATGGAGTCGCTCGCCTCGGCCAGCACGGCCAAGTCCATCATATAGGCACGGCCGACCAGACTACGGATGCGCAGCGTCTCGGCAGGCGCCGCCGTCCAAGCGGACGAGGCAGAGGGCGGGGCCGATGACACACCGGCGCCGCCCAGGTTCCAGAACATGGCAGCAAAGAAGCCGCCCTCCCAGCCAAACGTCTCGTCAACAAACTTGCGGAAGGCACCGGGCTGCGGGTCTTGGGGCGCCGCGGCGGGCTTTCTGGCGAGGCGAATACGATCCTGGGCACGTGCAGCACCCGCAAACTCGTCCGAGTCATAGACCAGGGGGTCGTCAGACGCCAGCACCATGAGCGACGAGGGGCCGATGCTACCGCCGGCACCAATAGTCGCTGGGCTTTTATGGCTCTTCTTGTTTTGTTTGCTGGCGTCGGCAATAACATTCATCGCACGATCCGCGTATAGATTGAGGGGCACGTACGAGTCTCGATACTGGAACTCAACCGGCCGGAGGTCGCCGCGGCGGACGTGCAGGCCCACAATTGTGCCATGCTCGTTCTTGCCGTTATGACCACTGCTACTCCCGGCAGAATCGTCACCGTTGCCGTCACCGCGCTTTTCCAGGGCCGTTAGGGCCTTGAGCTTCTCCACGCGCTGGGTGACATGATTAGCATCGTCCTTGTTGAGGCGAAAGAGAGCCTCGTAGCCCTTGCGGGCGAGGTCAAACAAGTGTTTGGTGCGGTCCGGGGCAATACCGGCTGCCGCGTCGCTCTTGTCGGCAAAGAAGAACTGGTCGGCGGTGTCGGCCGTCATGATCAGGTGGCGGGCTTGGCGTGGGCACGGCAGCATCTCGTGGCGCAGCGGCGGGCGGCAGGCCGGCGATGGTGGGGGCGCAAAGATATGCGCGTAGCGGCCATAGGCCCAGTGGGTGTCGTCGATGAAGAATCCACGACCCTCGCTCTGCGCCTGGGCATAAGCCATCCACAACAGCATCATGGTGCGGCCGAGACCTGCCTCGGACGAAGCCAACACGAACGTTAAACTGCGGCCGCACACGGGTTTGCCTGCGAACGTGTTGCTCGACTCGCCGACAATATCGCCGTCGTCGGCGTTGGCTTGTTGGTTAAAAAGGGTCCCGATGGACACGCTGCCTGTGAGATAGCCCGCGACCTCGGCCTCATGGACGTCAACAAAGTTGCTGTCAAACGAGCGCAGGCGCTCGGCGCTAGTCTTCCGTTTTCGCTTGTTGATGCCGCCCAGGCTGCCGAGACCGATGATGTTGCCGAGACCGACACTGCTGCCACGCAGAGCGTCGACCTGGTTCGCCACCTCGACACACTTTGCGCAAATACTCGAGTATTCGTTCACCGTGAGGGGAAAGTTCGAGTTGGGTGGGATGGATACGGTCCATTTCGGGTTGCCGTGCTTGTCGCTGACAATAACGGGCGTCGAGTGGGTGGGTAGGCTGCTCTTCGCCACCATCTCGTATGTATTTTTCGTCGGGTCGTTGGGATCCGGATCGTTCGGCCAGAAGTAGAGGCCGTCTCTTACGGACCGGGATGTCCTTGAGCTGCCCCATAATGCGATAAAGAGAAGATAGAAGACGGATACCAGTCCAGCAAAGTAAATGACAGCTCGAAGCACACGGCTTGGCCGAGGTGTGCTGGATGACCTCCGTTTCGGTGGTATTAATTGGGGCAGACCGGGGGATGGCGGTGGTGAGGCGAAGACAAGATGGTCGAAACCGAAGCGCGAGGATGTTGACGACAGCGGTCCCTTTTCATGTGTATATGAAGCGGCACGCCTCAGGTTGATGCGCGGTGGTGCCACAATCATCTTGTGGGATGTGTGAGATAGGTCAAGGGTTGGCGGCATAGCAAAAGTTCTGAGGTTTGCTTCCATGAGAGTGCTGGAGGTGTGACGAGTATGAAATTATAGAGTGTGCAGTGAAGAAGCCATAAAAAATGAGAGGATATTAGGAATATGAAAGAAATATTGACGCCGAATGTTGAAGTTGGACCAGCCTGCCTCGGGACAGCGAGATAAAAGAGACGGCTGTCTCTGGAAAGTATGAACTCGAAGCGTATGATAGCGATTCAAGAGAGTTGAAGCCAAAGAAAGCATTAATAGTCAGCATGTCGTAGTTGAAGGAGCAATGGAAAAGAATCAAGGCTAGCAACGTAGAAGGGTATCGATGAAGAATAGCAAACAAACGGCTTCGAGACTAAGCTTGAGCCAAGAGAAAGAGGGCTGATGGTGGCTTAAGAATGATATCGAGTACATGTACAAGGAAATTGTAGGAGAAGAGGAAGGAAAAGAACGAGTCCAAAAGTCAAAGTGAAAAAGCAAAGAGGGTTATTTGGTGTTCAGAGCACGGTTCCGTAGTCTGCAGTTGACAAGAGAAGGCGGGAATGCTAGGCGGGTAGCAAACGGTTGGTGACAGCGGGATGGTCTCCCCGCTCATCACAATCTGACAGGTTGGACGAGTATACGATCTTCGGGGAAGAGAAAAGGACGACCGGAAAAGGGAGGCACGATGCCAAAGAAAATTGAGGGGCGTCTGCCAGAAGGCAAAGAAGGTAGGAGAGAGAGAGAGAGAGAGGGAGAGGGAAGGATATTCGCAGATCCTCGTCCCAACCCTGGTTAAGCGTCAAGATTGGCGGCCCGCTGGAACGGAGAACAACGTCACATGCTCCACGCGAGGCGAGACAAACAGGAAAGTGAAGTGCAAAAGGTTCAAAGGGTGCTGACCCAGAAGGAATTCCCTTGATGCTGTGCTGCCTACCCTTTGACAGCTGTCGTGTGCGCCGGTCCTGCGGCGGAGGGAAAGTGTGAGAAAGTGAGGGTAATACGGTCTGAGAAGAAAAATAAGATTGAAAAAAGAAAAGCCAACGGTAAGTGGCGAGAGATAATAAAATATGGGAAAAAGGCGAGACACGGCCACTCGGTCGACGAGTGAGAGCACGAAAGTGTCAGAAAACCGGTGAATATAAGAAAATGAAAGCAAGGAGGATTATCAAAGCTGGGTCTTGTGCGCTTGTCTTCTTTTGTTTTGGGAAGCGAGACCTGTCTCTTTAGCCTCAGGAAAGCTCCGTTCCCGATTCGACACAAAGAGTACGGAGTAGGTTCAAGAAGCAAGGGAAAAGGTTGACGCATAGCGGTTCGATGCCACAACCTAACCCCACGATGGTACCGAAAAGGCCGTAATACTGAAAGTCTATTTGGGCAAGATGGACCCTGAAAAAAACGAGCACGACGTATGACGCTCGATCGAAGCTGAGGCCAACGCACGCGAAACAGGCGCACACGCCCACACGTACACGGGCTCGACGGGCAAACGAGCAGAAAGAGGGTTGGCGTGGATATCGTGCTCCACAAGACCGCGAAGATCGTGACGAAGTGGCGTGCAAAAGCAAGGGTCTGTCAGGGTCAGGGGTATGCAGTGGAGGCGAGCAACCTTGTTGCCTTGATTTTTGCCTTCCCTTTCTTTTCTCCGTCTTCTTTGTTTCCCAAACCGGGGATTGTGGCGGACGTTCTTAAGGAGCTTGGACCTGCAGGCCGTCCGCTTAATTAATAAAAGGGAGGTTGCAAGAGGAAGGAAAGAAAACACAGAGAGCAACCATGGAGATTGACATGCCCAAGAAAAAGTCTCTGTCTGATGTACATCGTACTCACTCTTTCTTTTATAGTGATTTTTTTCTCTAACCCCGTTCCCTGTTGTTTGAAGTTAGATCTCGGCCACGATGCCTTGTTTTTGTTCACTCTCTCTTGCCTCTTTTATTTATTTCTTATTGCCGTTTCGTATTTTCGTGCTTCGCAGGCGATTGTTCTTCGGTCGGTGCTGGCCAGGATACACTCAGTGTGGTAAATGATATTGCACACACAGGAGGTGAGCGCTTGAACCGACTGTTCATGCAGGCGGACAAAATAATATGTGCCTCTTTGAAGACGAGAAACCAACTTTGAAGCTGTAACGGGGGTGGGGGTCGACTCAGACGATTCGAATCAAACCCATGTGGAGAAAGTCGAAACTAGAGACAATCGAGCAGTTGCAAGTTGGCCGCGGCAGAAACCGAAATTGAATTTTTGGTTACGAGAGGCGCGAGGGGGAGTGGAAGGGGACACGACGCAAGATGAAATATACGCAAGCTGCAAGTAAACGAGGAAGTAACAAGCACCGGTGCAGGCTGAGGGATATGGAACCGAGTGAGCTGACTGGTGGCCGAGATTGGCCGCAGGCTTGTCAACGCAAGATACGTAGTATGTCCGTGTTGCGAGGATGCAAGACACCGCCGTCTTGAGAAAAAAGCAAGACGAAACGAAGGTGCGGGACCAGTGGGCAGTTGCAGGCGTGGACGAAACGGAAATCGAATACACGATTTGAAGGCTTGCGCTCTGGGGCGTCACGTTCCACAACCTACCTGGCGTAGACGCACAGGGCAAAAAAAGAGGCCAAAAAAAAGAAATTGCCAACAAGGGCGCCCCGGACAGACCACCCGTCCCTGGCGCTTTATTGTTTCCCGGTGTGGCTGTGATGTTCTCGAAATCTGCCCGCTGCCCTGATTTTCTGTTGTGACGATCTCCAGCTTTGCCTTCTAACTGGTTGAGCATCATGCTGTCCCTGGCTGCCCGGGATCCTGCGGTGCCTGCCTGCGTTCCGTCCTGTGTGGCAAAAGGTTTGTTACCCGGGACTGTCTAGCAGAAACTTCTCGTTCCACACCCGGCTGTTTCTGCGTTTTGCAAATCATCGGCGAAGTGTTCGAGAGAGCTGCGAGGTAGGCGAGTGATATTTTATCGCCAGTCTCTTGTACGATGCTTTGTTCCGCACAGCCGTCGCTAGGCGTCAGGTTTCTTTCAAGTCTCCTCTGTAATCTTACCAGCCGCAGTTGTGCCTAGCATCACCGAAGCAAGCAGGTGGGACACATATGTCGTCCTGTATTTCTGATCCTGTCCCTTCGCAACATCGTTGCGTTGTGTTCTTGTTTAAGTTGGTTCCAGTGGGGAAGACAAAATGTTGGGATGGGCGTCGCAGTGGCGCTAGCGCGGCTTCGGGACATTCTGAAACACATTAAAAAGGATGGGCAAGACCAAGGCAAGAGACAGGCCAACGGCGTCTCTGTGCTTGTTTTCTCGGTGTTGATCTTTTCCTACACTGGCTTTAGCTGCTTTTGCCCCTAGTCAGGTCCCACCACTGCAGGTGCGTAACGAAATAAGGGAGTGGGAGAAAGTTGGCATACCGCTCGACAACGATGAGAAATGAGCGATGGACAAAAGAGTGGCAGCACACATTCGTCGTCAAATGTCGTACGGAGTCCGGGGGGGCGCGGAGAGGACGGAGAGTATGGAAGTAAGACGTCGTAACGAATATGTGGCAAGGGTGACTGACGGTGGTCTTGTTCGCGTCTTGTGAGTGGCCGAAGGCACTCTGTGACGTAGCTGGCTGTGTCTGACGAATTGCTGGCCACAAACTTGCTTTTTATTTTCTGTTTGTACGAAGTACATCGCGGGTTGAAAAGGAGAGGCGTCACAGATTGAAGTGGTACACAGACTGAAAACAGTTTCCATTGGACACCGCCAGCCGCTATTTGACCGACTGAGAAGGAGCGAAAACCACAGGAAGCGAGACGAAAAGCAGAAATAAAGAAGGAACGAACGAACAAACCAAACGAAACAACCGAAGAGTAAGGAGCGATGGGAGCAAACTGGCAAGAAGGCCCACGATTTGAGGGGCAAAGGCAAGGGAACAAGGCAATTGCCCTTGCGGCGATCCTTCTTCAACTGGTTCGTGCGGTGAAAATGCGTGCAGCACAATAGGAGGACAGCTTATTTAGGAAGGAGTCGATGGCATCTCTAGAAAGGTACGGAGTAGAAAGCCTCAAAACCTTGAGCGCAAACACAAAACAGCGTATCGACAACACAATATGCGGTGTAAAATAACTTTCCAGTTAACTTTCCAGTGTGCAAACGAGCAAATTAGATATCACATGGAAATCCCTAGTCCCTGTGGCGTCGACACCCAAGCTCCAAGTTGAAATCGAAGTTTCTGCTCATCGCTGCTCGTGCCCCAGAGCCAAACAAACTGTTGGACTCACCCGTCTCTCACCACTGCTGCAAGCGTTCGCTCTGGGCCAGTATGTCTGTTGATTATCGGAGGACGGAGAAACAAAAGCGCAACGATGGTCGCAGTCAGACCGTTAGAAGAGAAAAGAAAGGGTGCAATGCAAGGAGGCGCTAAAATTTGCGAGGCAGAGAGTGAAAACGACTTACACCAAATATGGCAAGAGCACACCAATATTACAGCGCCGGAGGCGCATGGCACCAAACGACGTAAAGTCTCACACGGAGGAAAGACAAATAAAAAGAAAGAATATTGAACTACCAGAGGGGCAATGGAGTTGGAAAAATACGATATCAACAGACGAAAAGGGAAAGGTAAAAGAAATAATGGTCTCAGTGAGACATACGGACGAGAAGGTAAACACGAAACCCTACGATATTTGTCTTCTTTTTGTTTAAGTTTTTTGTAATCTCTTTTTTGCCGCTCTTCGCATCTTCGCGTCGAGTTGCCCCCCCTAATTTTGTGCCTCCTGTCAATATCTCGTCTGGTCGACGGCTTGCCTATCGTCCGGTAGTAGGGAAGCAAGCAACTAGCCGCCCTGGCTGTATATATGGCTCATGAGGTTCACACACCCGCACAAACGGCTGTATTACGGCGCAGGAGCACGGGGTGCGTCGTATGTATATTGCTTGCGTCGCCGCAGTGGCACCGGGAGGCACACCGAATAGGGGCTGCAAACAAACACAAACGAGCAGGTGCTCAGTCGCAATCAACGATTGGTAGATGGCAAAATGTTGACATGATTTTGGGCCCTCGGTCGGTGCCGCAATGATTTATCTTGACCAGAGACAGTGCAAGAATGAGTGCCTCATAGAATACTCAGAGGTTGCCGCGAGTTTCAGTTCGTCCCGACGTCGTTTAAAAATGTTTCTCATCACAGGTGGGAGGCATACCATATATCATGATTGGCGTCTGCCATTGACGGAGTCTTCGGAATGAGCGATATTGATGCGACTACCCGTACATATCTCGGCCACATCGGACTCGCGCGTAGTCATACAATTGAATGGCACCATTTTACATACGATCATGCGCTGTCATACTTTGTGCTTTGCAAGATCTCTCGGATGTGAATGTCTTGTGCCGTGTGCGTATATAGTATGTGCATGTAAATTATAACAAGTCCTTTTGGTCTTTGTCGCTTTCCTGTCGTTACTTTAGTCCACACTCTCTTCTTTTCTTCATGCCGTCTCCATATGAACTATACACAACCAAATCGTCATTGAACACCACACACCACATGCCACCTCGCATCGTTTGTTGTTTTCCCGGTCCGATCAATTATAGCAACAAAAGCTGCCAAATATACATGCTTCCAGACAAAAGAGAGTAATAGGAGAGAGGGAAAAAGAGACAAGCCTCAAAATGCTAATAATACAGAGAATGTCGGGTATAGGACAAAAGAACAAGAAAGGACATATCAAATATAACAGGCGAAAAAAAGAAAAGCAAATGCCGTCCAGACACGCCCTAGAAAACGAGAAAATCAAAATCAAGTCGTACAGTTTGTCGTCACAAGCGCCCCCGATGCGCTCGTGGATCCCCACCGCCTCTGTGCATTCACGTCTCTCTCACACCGAATTCATGCCTCCATCGCCACTGGTGCCGGCTCGTTGATCAGAGACGGGCTCCGCCGTAACGGCTCGAGGTCGACGGTAGGCTCAGCCAGAACAGCATCCGGCTTGTGTTCGTTGGGCGCGACGCGGACGCTGCCACGTGTGCCACGGACAAGCTGGCCGCTCTCGACGCGATCCTGGATCATCTCATCGAGCATTCGGCTCATCTCGTCCACGCTCTTTGTGCGCGCACGAGGGAAGCCAGAGCTGCTGTGCCGCTTCCCGCTGCCCAGGACGGGGGACTTGACACCAGTGGACATGGCGGGTGTTGGCGGGAGGGCCATGGCGGGTGGGCTGCTCGGGGGTTCCAGCATTTGCGAGGTCCGGAAGCTAGATCGAGAGTCGACACGGTCAGCATTGTCGCGCGATCGTGCCGCGGTCCGAAGTGCCGCAAGCATGCGGTCCTTGTCCTCCAATTTCGCGCGAAGCTCGGCAATCTCGGCATCCTTGTCACGAATCACCGCAGACACACTATGGTCTTCGCCAACCATAATACCCTTGGTTGATCCCAGGCCGACCGATGTTCTTGACGAACTCGCTCGTCGCGCTTGCAGCAAGCGCTTCTCGAGCGTGGCAATGTACCGGTTCTTGTCCGCCAAGTCGGCCTGCAATGCCACGTTCTGAGATTGCATAGATGCAATGCCATCACCAAACTCGCCCGCGCTGTCGTCGTCCTCGGCCGGCGAGCCTTCAGCTGTACCGCTGCCCGAGAGCCTTTGCCGACCAGCACCGCGACCGACGGTGGAAGACGAGGATGCTGTCGAGGCTGTTCTCTCCAACAGAGACCGGCTGCCGCTGATGGACGTACCGCCGTTCGTGGTTGCCACAGAGCGGACAGACGCCATGGATGACCGCGGATGCATTCCCAGTGAGCTGTAGGAGCCGCCCGTGTTAACACCGATCGACTTGGAGCTAAGAATCAGTCGGTTCAGATGGTCAATCCGCTCCTTCAGTGCTGTGCGTGCAAGCTGCATCTCCAGCATCTGCTCTTCGTGACGGTGCTCTGCCTCGCGCTCCCGTGCTAGTTCCTCTTCCGCATCGCGGACACGATCCTCCTCTTCGTTTTCCTCTGACTTCTTCTTGGCCTGCGTCTCGAGCGCTCCGCGTAGTTCAAGAATCTCCATACGATACCGCTCAAGCAGCACACGTGCACCGCCATCGCCGCCGGCGCCCAGGGCCTCCTCGGCGCGTTTGGCGTGACTGACAATGTTGTTCTTGGCGCGTGATGCGAATTTCAGCGTGTTGATCGTCTCGGTTGTGTGGCTGTTGGCTGTTGCGACGCTGCCGACGGATCCGATTTGAATCGTGCACAGAATACTGACGAGCGAGCCGCCAGACAGAGCGCCTTGTAACAAGCGTGTGAGCTTGCTGTCTCGGTATGGCAAATGCTTGCCGTCCTTGTCTGCTTGCTTTGGGTCCTTGTCCTTGCTGTCTGACAGCTTGGCGATAACCGTTCCCAGCGTAAGCAAACTTTTGTTGATGTGGGAACCCTCCGTACGGCGCTCCTTCGTCTCGGCCGCCTTCTCGGAACCTGCCAAATCGATCAAGCTCAGGGTAGACACGCGCACACCGCCCGGAAGGAGACCGCCACGCTTGTTGTCGCCGCCGGTCGCATTTCCAGGAATGCGCTCTCTGCTCTCGACAACGATCTGCACAACCGCGTGACTGCGAGAACTCCGCGAGTTGAATTGCGTGCTGGCTGTGCGACGGGCCTGGTCACCACGGGCAATCACGCGAAGCAGCTGGGTAGGGCTTTGGACAATCTCCTCTTTCAGAGGACTGGCATAAACGCCACGCTTGCTATCTTCACGCAATTTGATCTCTTCTTGCGGCACGTTTCCTCCGACGCCACCATTTGTCGGCATGCTCAACAAGTCGTGGATGCGCTCGTTGTAGATTTCGAGGTAGCTGACACGCAGCAAGAATTCACGGGAAGGTGTTTCCCGAATGTAAGAGAAGATGTCGGTGATGGCGAGAGGAATAACACCCGGAGAAGACGCTGTACCTTGCATAGAGAAGGTCTTGCCCGTGCCTGTCATGCCATATGCGAATACTGTGCCGTGGTAACCCTCCATGACCCGTCGAACAAGTCGCTTGGCAATGTGATCGTAAACCTTAGAGTTGTTGTCGTGTGTTGAGAACACATTGTCTAAGAAATATCGTCAACAAATTTGTTCTATAGGTCCATTTGGGAAAAAGCAATGTCGACAGAAGACACTCACCATAAAAATAATCGCCACCCTCCTTTCCCCGGTATGCGACCAGAGATTTGCGACCATCGACCATCCACTCTCCATCAGTTTTGTGCTCTTGGCCGCCCGCATCTGGGCGGACACGAACACTGACTATGACATTGCCCTTGCCATCCGTCTTGGACATGCGCTTAGCAGATCCACCCTCAGTCGAGATACCCAACCCAGACTTTGGCCCAAGGTCGCCGACGTCGTCATATTGTGTCGCCGAGGTAGAGTAGGAGTCCTGAGCGGAAGAACTACGGCTTTGTGCCGGAGATGCAACGCTGATGAGTCCATCTGAGCTACGCTGGCCGGGCCGAGCCACGGACTTACCCTCGCCCGTGCCGTTCAATAAACTTGGCGTAGAGCTGCCAAATGTGTAGTTGGGAGTCGTTGGCGTCTTCAGCTTCCGACTAGAGGGGGCCCCATTCGACAACGGACTTGGGGGTAAACTTGTCCCCCGGTTGTCGGATCTTGGTGGTTGCGGGAAGGAGTTAATGCTGACGCTCTTTCTGAGAGTCTTGCCGGCGCCGTTGATACCGGAGACAGCGCGGGGCTGAAGAAGGCCGGGGGTCACACTTTGTGGCGCAGCGTTGGAAACGCCAGAAACAGATGGTGCCCGGAGACCACTCCGGGGTGTGCTTGGGGTGGACTTGTCGACTGTTGGCGTAGGAAGGGATCCCACACTCTTTCGTGTCTTCGCCATCGGAAGAGCTGGGAGCGCTGTCGCTGGCGGGGCGTTCGATGGCCGTGTCGTTTTCGGAAGGCCTGAAGCCATGATGTCTCGTTTGGGCGTTGTGTAGCAACGTACAACGGGTGCAGCACGAGAAAGATTGAGCAGTGCCTCGGAGACGGTTTCGTGATGCCGAGCAGGTGTCGTCTATCGAATCTCTATGAAGTCAGAAATTGCTGTCCATGAATTCGTAAGTTCTTCGGTGGTGTCGTCGGCAGAATCGTCGAGATATGGCAAGCATTCAAGTCGTCGTAAAACAGGCCAGGCAGAAAAAGACCACTTGAGGGAAACAAAACTGGAAAGTAAGGTCGAGAATGCAGACTAGGATTTCTAGTGCGATTTGTGAACCGGGACCGTCCGTTTGTTTAGTAGCCTTTGCAACGTCGTTATGCGAAGTGTTGTTGGGTTTACGCTGGCAAGGATGGATAGGGTGGAGGAGATGGTGTCTTCTGTGAATAGAAAAGGAGCAAAGATTAGTTCGAAGTTCAGGCAGACTCAAACCAGTCCATGAGCATGATAGGGGTAGACGAGATTTCCAGCCTTCCCCCTAAAAAGTAGGGATGCTCTGCAAATCTTTCGTGGGGTTTGCAAACATGCGAGAAACAAGCGGGAGTACAGGTCATACCGAGCTACAATTAAGGTTTCGCTGCGCATGCATAACAGCACAATGGCTTAATGCAAGCACTTGAGCACTCCGGTTTCAGCGCAACTATGTCGAGGGCGCAGCAACCAGCGACGAACATGGGCAAGCCAAAGCTGAAATTCGTCCTTTGGTGCCGGAAGCCAGGTCCCCAAAAAGAAATCGCGGTTGTCGATCCGGGAAAACTGCACAAAACTGACAGAAAATCGGGCGGATTGACGGGTATCGAGAGTTATTAATCGGACGTGCGCGGCTCCAGGGCGAACGCAAGGGATCGAATATCGTGCAGTTTAGCAGTCGGGCCTGCTCTATCACGTCCTTTTGGCCCAGGGGTTCGCTTATCCACGACTCTGTTTGGGAGACGCCAGCTGAGAAAGTCTAGCGATGGCTGTCGAACAGACAATTAGGGAGCCACGCGAGGTCCAAAGACATGTGCAAGAGGTCGAAGTTTGGCAGTGCGTAGTTGGGAGAGACAGTCTAGGAGATGGGTACTGCACAAAATGTTAGACATAAGAGGGTACCGACTGGGCTGATCTCGGGCCTGTTTCACACAGCGAGCCAGGTCATTGGCAGATCTAGTAGAAAGGGAGACACGAGCGCCGAGGGAAGAGCGAGCAAAGGCAGGAATGCAGTCCTACCGCCGATTGTGCTGGGAGGGGGCAATAATGCAGCATGCGATCGGGGGGTGGCAGGAAAAGGGAGAGACAAGAGCAGCAGTCGGAAAAGCAAAATGACGACAAGTCGTCAAGACAGGGCAGGAGTACGACGTACGGAGCACACGTCGTAAAGAGAGGTGAAAAGAAAAACGTAAAAGGAAAAGTAGAAGCTGTATCTGGTGCCTGGGTCTCGAGAGTGACACGAAACAATGGAAACACGAGGACAGATACGCGACAAAACGGCAGTGCGTGGGAGGACGACTAAGTGTGGAACAGGACGCGGTCTTCTTCTTGTTCATTGCAGAGGGGCGGGCGAGCGAACGAGGGTGTCGGGTGACTGACGGGGAAGTTCTGGGATTGATTTGGAGACGGGAAGCATGTATGTCGTACCTTGTGGTAGGAATTCGTAACGTCGACGCAGTCGTGGAGTATCTGCTGGCGGTTTGTATGTCGTGTAGTCGTAGGCAGTCGTAATATTAGTATCTGCCAGGCCGAGCCGCGCTTTGAACGCGGGCTGGTTGAAACGCACAGATGAGATGGCGAGCCAGATCGCGATGGATGTTCGGATGGCAAAGTGGTGAGAAAGGACAAAAGAGGCGATGCGAAAGAAAAGAAATAGAACGCAGAGGGAAACCGAGGAAAAGGCCCAAAACGGGTGATACCCAAAAAAAAGACTGGAGTGTCGAGAAAGGAAAGAGCAAACAAGGTCAGCCTGGCCACCTACAAGTTAGGCTAGTATGTTCCCCTTTTCTCTGTGCGTGCTCGAGTGTCCCTGCCAGTTGGTCGGTTGGCTGTTGCACGGAGAACGGCACCATGTGGACTTTCTAAAAGATGCGCTGAGTGGGCAGGCACGACGGAAAATAACAAAACTATCCCAAAAAATAGGAGCATGTGGGCATTTGACGGGAAGGCGCTGCCCGCGACGGCGTGGGCTAGGAACAGTCGACTTGGAAGGCACGCTCGGCACGCTAGGCACTAAGAAAGATATCCACGCCACTTTTCTGTATGGGATATGCTCACTGGTTTCGAAGCTTTCTGTGACCACAGCTACGACGCATCTTAGACGTACGATCCCAAAACGGAGAGCATTATTTCTCTACACAATATGTTGTATTTCCTTTATTTTAGTATTGACTTTGCGAGGTTGCCCGCAATTTGCTTTTGCGAGCACGAAAAAAAAAAAAAAAAAAAAAAAAGGCCATAACATGCTCCACTTTGGCTTCTTGTCCTGCCCAACAGGGAGGCACAAAGAGGAAACAGCGACCGGGAGAGGCCTATCGAGTGGAAAACATAAGATATCTTACTCACGGTGTGTTTCGTTCCTGATGCGCTCCTGTCCAGTCATTCTCTCTCTTACTTCATCGTCAATCCTGAAACCCCCTCAGTATACCTCTTGCTCCTGATCTTGCTCGCTTTCTGCGGCCATTTCATCCAGCAGTTTCTCGTCCTCTCGTCGGTTCTTTTGCTTTTTTTCAAATGCACCGTCGTTCCTTCTGTGTCAATCACATCCATAGTGGCAGCCAATTTGGTCGATCACCCATTGGCCCCACTCCCCCCTCGTTCTGGAGTGCCGTCCCTGGCACGCCTATTGCCCTTTTTTCAGCTAATTACTACGAACAAGGGCCTCTCGGCAGGTTTGAGCATGGGGGTCGACAGGGGACAAAAGGGGCCAGTCGGTCGTCAAAATTGTCCTTGTGTGTTTATCTCCCAGCGTTGTTCATGCCCGACCAACTTGGCTTGAGCTTCAGGGATGCTCGTGGCTCGCGGCCGCTGTGGTGGGCTCCAAGGGCTGTGCTAACGTACATCGTAGGGACGCTTCTGTTACTTGCGGGTCGGTAACGTGTTTCTTCTTCTTCGCACCTTCCGCAGCAGAAATCGGAACGTCTCGGCAGTGGCGGCAAGCGCGACTCTGCAAGCTAGCGGCGTGCTTGTTTGGAATTACCAGAGCTCCGTTTTGCAAGCCCAAGGAAACAGCGAAGGAACCAGACGCCAACTGATATGCGACATGGAAGTCACGATGCAGTACGACATATCTCACGATGTAGAGAGCAAGCGCGGCCCAAGGCTAAAGACACACGTTTCCAAAGAGGTTAAATCAGAGCCAATATTAAATGTCCCTTGCCTGCACTTTTTTGCACTACTCCGTAGCAATGCATGCAGGAGCACACGCCAACTGCTGCCGGCAAGAACTGGCGCGGGTGGCCCACACATCAATATATTACTGGCGTTGCTTTCGCCCCCTGCATTTCGACCTTTTTTCTTCCACCCTCGACGAACACTGCGACATAAGATACGGCGTGCTCTCACACCCTTCCGCACCGAGCCGATCGGTGTACCTGCACAATTGTGCTGCAGGCTCCAGAACCTGCATGCATAAGGAGCGCACTGGAATGCACAAACGACGTCCACGAAGCCACGGCGAGTAAGCAATGGTCCGATGACGGTATTTGCAATTCAGATACAGCAGACCTGTGCCATTGGATTCGCGATCCGTGCAAATGGTGAAACAGTGTACAAGATTTCAAAGCGTGAGTGCCTTCACTTGCTTGTCGTTTCGTTCGAGATAAAGCATCATGATCAGTCGGGAAGTCCACTTCTGCGACCCATCCAATCTCTCTGGCCACCTGATGGTCTCAGCTTGTATGCGAAGCCCACCTTTTCCTTTTCTAGGAGTGGCCTGAGCCGCGCTCAGGCAATACTCGAAAGGCAACCTCACCACCGTTGGCCCGCCAAGTCCAAGTGCAAACTTGCTGGAAGGTGAAGATGAGAACATGGACTCAAGGGTGTGCGTCACCTCAACTGTCAACCGTTGCACACTCCACTAGGTATCACCCGATGGTGTCCCCGGTGACAAAAGAAAACTCGCATTTTTGGGTGTGGATGTTAAATGAGCAAAAAGACGTACGAGGGGCCAAACGTCGGCAAAGGGCGAACGAGGATTGAGAACGGGGTCTACACGTACGACCAGAAATCACAGGGCTATGGTTCTCCACGAAAGACCCAGCACCGCAATTTCCGTGTCCGTTTGCAATCATTCGCGTCTGCCCTTTTTCGTCTGTCACCCTGTCGTGTCTGCCGTCCGTTCGTCCATCGGGGTATCCACCCTCCATCTCGAGGCTCGGGTCCGTGCACATATCAACCAGGGGTAAATAGGAGAGCTGCCGCCCAAGAAATGCACTTCGACCCACCCTTTTGGCAGCCCGAAAGGTCTTGTTGACCTGTGTCTCTTTGATTCTGTTTTCTGCTTACAATGTATCTCTTAAACGGTCGCCATCTACGATGTATGAAGTATTTACATCGTACGATGCGTTACCTGTGATGCACGCTTCAAGCGAAGACGGCGGTCGCAAAGCCCTGACGGCAACTTTCTTAGCCTATGGCCATAATACTGATTCCTGAAAGGCTACTTGGTCCTGGTCCTAATGTGGAGCATTTGGCAAGACTGTCTCTCAGAACTCCATCCTGGGCGAGTACGAGACGGAACCACGCTATTTTATCACGGGATGCCAGCTGCCCTGTGCAAAGCCTGCCTTCGGGAGCGCGATGTTCCTCCACGCGGAGAGCGTTTTGAGGATCGGCTTGTACGAGTACAGCCGTCTATTTGACGACCAGGCAAGACAACCAAGTGCGTTGATATTGTGCGATGACCGTTGCAAGTACGGAGTACGAGCATGTTTGGTTCCAGATGCGAATAGTTTGGGCACAAGGCTATGAATAGATCTTGTACTTTTTACATACTGAACGCACGACCGCATACCCACTCGCATCTGTCCCAGCCAAAAGGTCCTTCTTTTGCTGGTCCCTGGAGTCTGTTCGTTGTTGATCTGCCTTTCCAGCTTCCAGCCATGCTGTTTGCTCGTCCCTTCTTTTAGCGCAACACACCTTCGCTCATACCACCTCAGCGGCGAGCGCTTATCTCGACACGGCAACCGGTTTGTCTCCGTTTTCATCTATTTGAATCCGATCCGTGCAACCATGCAGCCGTTCCGGCCACTTCATCTCACTCCGCAACATCCTCCACATTGGTGATATTACGGTATTTCCAACTAAGCTCCTCGAGGGGTTTCCATTTACAAAACATTAAAGTTTGGTCCAAACACACCTCTTCCTTGGTGTGCACGCATCATCCAATTCGGGAACGTGCCATAAAGAATGCATAAAGTGGAAAGGGAGGATCCGGGAATGCCATCCGAAATGTGAGCGGGTGACTTTTCAGCGGACTATTTTCCATTCCCCCATGTTTTCTTTCATTCGACTTCCGTCTCTCCTCGTTTCTATGTCTTCTTTTCATGTGTTTCGTCCAATATTGCTTTCATGGCGTGTAATATTGGAAAGATACATAAAAACGCCCCGACAGTGCTGGGCATCCATTCCAGTTACAGGAGGTGGAATGACAAGTGGAAGTACTCTGTACACCTGCTGAGGCAATACACGCATCTCTCGTGCATACCCCGATTTACGAAGCTGAACGCAACTGTTCCTACGATTTTGCGCGGCGGTAGTATCTTGTTGGCTGAAGACTGTATGCGACCAAGGGGTGTGTGAGATACAACAGTATCTCACATTGTGTACGACGTATCACTCTTCCTATCAGAAGCCCCCAGATTCGACCACGAAAGTTTTAACCGCACCGCTTGTACAACAGGCTGCAGGAAGAAAAGGGGACAAAGCAACAATGAGGTGGAAACCTGTACTTGCAATCATAGGAAAGCAAACCCTGGTCCTGGGTCTTCGGTAACATGACGCCTCGCACGTGGTTGGTTGGCAAAATGTTGCGTCCGATAAATGAGAGCGCGTTTGAGAGGGGAACACAGGAGACGAGACAACCAGACAAGAGACATTGAGTCGACAGGCAGGTGGAAACAAAAGACTGACAATGAATCAGCTTGTCAGAGCCGTGATGTTCTCATGTCGTCGCGTGGACCGTGGACCGTGGGCAGTCGGAAGCACAACTTCTGGCTGCGCACCATCTATCTCTACGGACTACAAAGCATGATTTAGTCGGCACCTCTCATCGCTGGCTTCTCTTACATCTTTTCGCCCTTTCATCTCATCTTATATCACATCCGCTACATCTCCTCTTTCGTGCAGTTGGCTAATGTCAAACATTAACAAAGCCGCCGCATTGACCCCCTGTCACACATACGACCTTCTTTTGGCTCTGCTCTGCCCAGGGTTACAACCAGCCTTCTCGGTGTTCGTTGTTCGTTTTCAATAGTGCCTTTCGAACCTTACCCCCTTTCCTCTTATTAACTGATGCAGGGCCAGGTTAGACCGGGCGAGCTCGACATTTTGCAATATGTTGCCGTTCAGGTCCAGACTTGTCAATGCGGAGGGCGGCAGCGTCCAGGTGCATGAGATGCTCGCAGTTGACAACAGCGTAATAATACATCGACAATATGCAGCGACGGTCAATACTTGCCGTTGCCGCCAATATAACGAGCACCTCCCGCCTTGCAGGTCGGAATGACTGATGTCGTTCTTTTATCATGAGCCAATACCCCACAGTCGCGCAAGTGCGCAGGTGATGCAAGGGAGGACTTGGCAGTCTGCAGAAGCTCTCTGCACGATGAAGATCTTGGTGTCGTTTGGGGGATACGGGCAGAGTCTTTCCGGTCACGCCGGTGTTCTTGGTTCAAAGGACGGTGGATGCCTCCGCAGACCATGTCTCTCCCTTACCTTTCCAAGGTGAGACATACAGAGGGGCCACGGCGTACAGGATTCAAAGGACCGGGCTCGGTATTCCAGACATCGGGAGTCTGTACAAAGGTGTTCGTCCCGGTTTGCTGTTGCCCTTCTGTTGCCCTTCATCGAGCATATTTGCAAAGAGGCGCAAAGAGTCAGTACATTAAGCAACCTACTGCTGCCATTGGCGAGTTTGTCTGTCGGTCTCCGCGAGCAACGGCGGCCGTGTCTCGACCATCGGCACAACAGAGTTTCTGTCTCAGACCCCTATCTCGTGCAGATGTACAAATAATTACGCGAAAGGAATAAGACGCCCTGTATCAGACAAACCCGTCCCGACCGTGTGCGCTTTTTGAGGGAAATGTATAGCCGGTTGACAACGTTGTCCTTGTGTTTGAGTTGCAGCACCTGCTCAATATTTTGGATTTTTTGCGATACAAGGATGGCCACATATAAAGAGGGTGATGAAGAGGGCAAAAAAAGTCCGGGCGAGGCGAAGGGGGACCGATAAGCATCATCTGTGCCTTGGCCCCGACAAGCAGGCTTGCGCAATGTTTCGGGCGACGCAGATGGCAAGGTCCCAGGGTCGACTGGTAACAACCCAAGCAATGGCGGGCAGTTAGGGCCATTTTTCACACGGGCCGTTTGTATGATGGATGACGGACGGGGGCGGCGGATGTTTGCGGGGGGGTTGGATGAGACTGGGAGACTAGAGTGCCGTGACAAAGGAACAGGGTGAGTGCTTGTTGAAGATGTGAAGGAACAAAACATCTGGAATCATGAGGTGTAGGTTTCAAACAGGATGCATGTATTTCGAAAACAATAAGACCTGGAGTCCTGAAGAGATCGCCATCATACCCCAAGTCCCGATGCAGGGCATTATCTGGAACTGATTTGTGGCAAAGAAACAACAGTTATAAAGTGACGTGGCCGAGGTATCGAAAGATGTGCATTGTGTTTTAAGTTGATCAAACTCGGATAGCCTTTCCGTGATCCTCTTCATTAGCACTGGAGTTTGAGACGGGGAAGACAGAAAGGACACAGGGCGAGTGTATTGTGCCTGTTTTCAGTTGTTTTTTGAACTGTTTACTTGTTTTCGCATATTTAGCGGAGCTTACTTGCCCATGTCTGGTTCCCGGTATTGGTTACATCATGATCCTTGCCGCTGCTGCCCCAAAGCCGGGGTCGCGATGCAGTGCTTGGGATGAGGGGCTCGGGGAGGTGACAAGAGGCTTTCTCTGTCGTCCAATGTTTCATGATGGGCATTCTGGGCTCCTTTATTTGTTGTTGTTGCAGTTTTCAAAACAGGGACCATTGAAACCTCACCTTTGTTCAGGGTGATGAAATAAGACAATTGGTCACATAAAAGTATTTGAGATGGTTGCGTTTGATTTTGGTGGTTTCAACTGTGAAAAGTCACGATATTGCATTGTTGTCTGTTTCATTACCTCCCTTTTGTCTTCGTTTTAGTTGCTAAAAGAATGTGATAACAAAGTACGCCCAAGAAATACGAATAAAATGTTACATTGTTACAAGTAACAAATGTCGTAGGTGGTGGTCTTCAATAATTTTCGACATTTTCTTGAGAGATGACAAAATATCGCCGAGTTAAAATAAGTAAAAATAAGTAAAAAGAAGTAAAAATAAATAAATATATATTACGTATATATCCGTAAAAGAAGAATAAACACAAAGGTATAATTCCCCCTACTCCGACGGTATATGTATCGAACCCTATCTTACAAGCCAGTAAAATCAAAGCCGTAGACTGCATTACTCACAACTCTCATACGTGAATGCAATTATACGTGACAGACAACTAGTACCCAACGCCTCACGACAACAGCCGGACACCACGGCCAACACTGCCCGTGTCGAACAGCTCCACCAGGCCGGCGCCCACAGCCTCAGCCAGCACCCAATCGAAACTGAGGCCGTAAAAGTCCTTCCACTTTTTCGTCCGGGTGAGCGGCACACGTTTGAAGCCTCCGCCCATTTCCCTTCGTTTGGCGATGCTGCCTCCGGCGTCCCACCGCTCACGCAGCGACGTCTCAAGTGTCTCGCGATGTGACGAGCGTGCGATAATGCCAACGAGGTAGGACAGGGCGCCAGACACGAGCTTGACGAATGAGCCGTGGCCGGGGATGCTGAGAAGAAGGTCTTCGGTGGGCGTTGCTGCAGGACCGCCGCCAGCAGCAGCGGCTCGATACCGTCCCCGTGCACCGCCTCCTCCAGCCGTATACACGGCGCCAACACCGCCAACGGCGTCAAACGAGCCAGAGGCGGCGCGAGCGACCGTTTCGAGACTCAAGAGCGTCGTGCGGTCCTCGGGACGGGCATAGACGTCCCCCGTGTCGCTCTGGCTGCCACGTTCGCCACGACGGCTACCCCCGCCGCTGTGGAGGCTGCCGCTGCCGTTGCTACCGCCACCGACGGCTGCACTACGGTGCCCCGTCACGCTTATGCTTCCGACGAGGCCGGCAGACGCGCCGTGACCTACGAGAAAGCCAGCGCGCACGAGCTCGTCGACCATGTGCACAGCCAGCTGCGGCGCGGGGTGGCCGTTGATTGTGAAGCGCTTTGCGGCGGGGTCGGCTGGCGTCGGAGGAAACGACGGATTGGCATCCCCCAGCCATGCCACGAACGCCTCTTTTGTGTCGTCGCTGAGGCCGGTCGAGGACGGCCCCTGGCGCACGCGTGCTTGCAGCTCCGCCGTCTCGACGAGCACTTCGCCGAGCGACTCGCCGCCAATGACGAGGGCGCGGCTGCCACGCTTCGGGTCCGCACTGAGGGCGTTCGCATCACCGCCTCGGCCCCCGAAATTCGGCTTGCCGCTGAACCCGCGCCGCCACTGCGGCTGCACCACCTTGCGCAGCACCCCCGCGCGGATCAGCGCCACGGTCTCGCGCTCCGTGGCCGTTGCATTGGGAAGCAGCGCCGCCACGTGCGCCGTCGTGGCCAAGGCGGGCATCCGGCGGCGCATGTTGAGCAGCTCGGCTGTGCGCGTGCTGTTGCCAACAAATCCCGTCGTGGTTCGTGCGCCGCCTGGCGTGCTGCCATTGTTGTTGTCGCTGTCGGCATGGCCTGCTGCGGACGCCCTGGCACCCTGCGGCACCGGCTCAAACATATTGCCGCGGGCATAGCGCAGGGCCTGGACGACGTCGCGCAGGGACAGGTCGTCGGCGAGGGAGGCAACGAGGCCGTTGTCGTCGAGCTGCTCGTCGTCGTCAGAGAAGAAGTCATCGTCGTCGTCGTCGTCTTCGCTACCGATACCGCCCTCGTCCTTATTCTCATCGACGGGAGTGGCACTCTTTGATATACTGCCACGTCCGCTCCCCGGCTTGGCCTGGCGCACGTTGTTTGGCAATGGCGACGATGCCTTTGTTGATGTTGACGCCAAGGCGGCCTTCTTCTTCGTGCTGCCCGTCTTGTTTGCAGCGACCGGCGCAGAGCGTTTCTTGACGCGCGACCCGCTGAGGATCGCTCGTAAACTCATGATGACCGCATGTCCGTGTAAGAGAAAAGAGACAGGAAGGCTGTCTGTAACAGGAAGCACGGCGGGCTGTCGCCTTGTCGTCGTTGGTTTTGCTTTAGAAGCAGCCAATGACAAATATAGTGGGGCATCGCAGCCTTGACGCTGGCGAAGCGGCTCTGGCGCTATTGGTCAGCCTCGCCACTTGGCGGCCTTTGAGTGACTCTCAAGAAACCCACGCCTCCGTGCGACTTCATCCTACGAGTGCCGTGCTGTTGTAGCGAGCAAAATAAGCCGTCAAGCAAGCTTGGCACCGACAAATATATTAAAGGCTATGAATGCCAGATACGAAAAAGGCTGCAGCAAAACGGAATAACTGCAGTCTTGAATAAGTGCAAAAACTAACAGAGGCCCAACTTCGCCTCTTCCTCCTTTCCCCCTCCATTGCTGCCGTCGTCCCTGTCTCTGCCCTCCCACTTACGCCTGGCCGGCCTTCAACCGCTCCTGCTCCTTGAACCACTCGACGCCGCGCTTGATGCCCTCCTCCACAGACACAATCGGCTCGTAGCCCAGCAGCCGCTTCGCCTTGCTAATGTCGTAGTACCGCGTCATGCAGGCGTACACAATCCGCTGCCGGTTGAACATGGCCGGCTTGCGCAGAATCCCAAATACAATCTCGCTCAGCAGCCCCAGCGCGAGCCCGACCGCGCGGGGCAGCACCACCACCTTGTCGAGGCCCTCCGTGTTGCCCGCGTGCTTCCACACCGTCCGCGCAAAGTCCCAAAAGTAAATCGGGCTGCCGTTGGTAATGAAAAAGGCCTCGCCGTCCACACGCTCGTGGTCGAGCGGCGCCGTCTTGGCCAGGGACGTCGCCCGCAGGGCCAGCGCCGCCAGCAGGTGCGCGTGCGCCACGTTCTCGACGTACGTAAAGTCAAACAGGTTCATGTTGTCGCCGATCTGGATGTTGTGGCGGCCCTGCCGGAACACGGTGACCATGTTGAACGTGGTCATCATGTCGCCCTCGCCGTTGATGCCCGACGGGCGGATCGAGCTCGTCAGCAGGCCATTGGGCGATGCCCGGTCGTTGGCGGCCAGCACAAGCTCCTCGGCCGCCGCCTTGGTCTCCGAGTAGTACTCGGTCTGGTCCTTGCCGCGGATCACCGGCCAGCGCTCGTCGGCGTTGATCAGGTCGGTCTTGTTGTCCGAGATGATGCTGGCCGAGCTCGTGTACACGAGGCAGCGCACGCCCGCCGCCTGGCACGCCTCGATGACCGTGCGCGTGCCCTCGACGTTGACCTTGTAGAACAGCGCATCCGCCACCTTGGTCGACGCCTGCGCCTGCGGGCTGGCCGTGTGCACGACGACGTCCGGCTTGTATTCGCGGAAAATGGCCGTCATGCGCTCCGCGTCGGTGATGTCGGCCTCGTAGTATGTGACGCCAGCAGAGTCCGGCTGCCGGTTGCGGCTGCAGAACAGGTCCACCACGCACACGCCCGTCGCCGCCTTCTCGGGCAGGTAGTCGCGCACCAGCAGGTTGACGACGTGATGGCCCAGGAAGCCGCAGCCGCCAATCACCATCACCTTGCCCAGCGAAGGAGTCGACATTGTGAGTGCTTGTGACGTGTAAGAGGGACGACGTGGTTCGAAGAGTCAATGGTAGAGTCAATGGTCGAATGCGCGAGGAGGTCGTGGGCAATTGTCGTCGTCTTCAGTCGTCGTCGTCGTCGTCGTCGTCGTCGTCGTCGTGATGTTCTGTGCGATGCGGCCAGCTTTCTTCGTGCCCCTTTTACACGGCACTAGCAGCTTGCGGCAGAATTCATCTCCCCCAAGAAATCTGCAGGCACCGCGGCCCGCTGCTGCACCGAACACCGTGTGCCGTAGGGCGGTGAGATGGCCTGGCTACGGCATTAACTCCCTGCAGCACCTACTTGGCTGCTGGCCCCGCTTTTTTATTTTACAGCACTCCGTAATTACCTCTCACACCACGCTGGCAGGCGCAACGCACAATAGGCGCCTGTAGTTGCCTAAAACAGTACGAATGCACTCAGATGATCGTCCCGTCAACCGCTTCACGGTCGAAAAATGGAATGGTTTCGACTTCTCAGCGACCTTTAGCATTTTCTTGATGTTCTCTCTCCCTGTCTTTTTACTCCTCTCATATGCTCATCTCTCGCCGCCCTGGCACACACCAATCTCCTGACATGTCTTCATGACACGGCCACCGACCGAGATCCTGGTGCACATTGCTGCAGCCAGCAGCGCATCCGACGATGTTCGATATCGCACCCTGGCACAGGCATATGCCGACTATGAGCCGGCAGCACGAGTCAATGTCGGGACGGTGTCATTTGTGAAGGATAGTGTCGGTAGTGTCGACAAGGCCAGCTGCGTCGGCAGCTCGGGTGACCCCGCGCATGTTGTTAGTTTTGAAGAATATCGGCAACCCGTGAGCAGCACCGCCATCGACGGGCAAATTGCGGACAGCCAGTCATTGCGGTCCGTGAGCTTGTCCTTTGAGAGCGTATGGGACAATGTCACGTCACCGGGTGTTGTGCCAGTGCCCTTGCCAGTGCCGCCGCCCCCTCGCCCAGAGGTCCACAAACGACACCTGCACTATGTGTCGCCCAACGACTACATCCCAGACTCGCAGTCTGGCGACGAGCGCCGGACGCGACGGAGACGCATGACGGACCGCGACGACAAGAACAACACCCCTCTGTCAGAGCGCGTCTTTGGCGTGTCTCGCATTGAGGAGACCCGCATAGAGGAGACACAGGATCTGCTGAGTAGCCGTGTCACGGACAAGCACACCGACGCCGAAAGCGATATCCGAATCCACGAGGCTGCCAGCCCTGACCTCAGCACCATGCACATGGATGTGGCACATCTGACGGACAGGGTGCTCGGGGATTCACAGGACTGGTTGCCGCCACACCGACGTCCGCAGAGGCACGCACTTGGGCAACGGTCTGCAAACTCACAGCACTCGCCACGGAACGAGGACAATGACACATTTCTCAAGAGCAGTCCACCACTGCACGAGTGGGACTCGATTCCGTCTTCCGCTCCTGGCTCTTCACCAGACCTGGGAGCTGGCCAGCCTGTTGGCCTTGGCGTCGATGTGCCCTCTTCGCTGCCCGAAGAGTCAGGCAAAGTGGTCCTTCGGGTTGCGCCGTCTTCCTGCGAACAACTAGGGCTGTCGGCACGTTTGTCTTCGTCTGTTGTTTCGGGTGTTCCGGGCTTACTGAGGGCAGATTCGGAGCCCATCAGGACGAAACGTCAGAGAGAGTCTGATCATGAAAGTATAGGGACTAGCGGCCTCGACCACAAAAAGCAGAACTTGCATGCGAGACGAGCAAGCGATATTGGGCAACCATCACCGAAGAAAGTGCGGGGTGATCTGGTCTCTGAAGCGGGATCTTCTGTTGCGAGTCCGGGCAAAACCGGCGCATTGATGAACGCACCGAATGGTGCTCTCCGTGACCTTTCACAGCCGTTTCCCTCATCGTCACCGACGGCCAGCGCGCCTGGACTGTATCTGGACCAAACAGTTCGCATCATCTCACCGGATCCGCCCGTCTCCTGCGAGCATCTCGACCCCACTGCGTTGGTCACTGACAAGATGGCGAAGCTCGCCCGCGATCTCGACCTCGAGCGACGTTACCGGCCATCACCCTCGCCAGACAGCCGTGCTGTGCGTCCTTTTGAGAGAGGCTACTGGCGTCTTAGCACCGCGAGCTGGCCTGCCACCCTGCGCCAGCAGGCCTGGTCGTTTCTGAAAACGTACATTGGTGCTGGGGATGCTGGTTGGAGTGTGTGGTGCTCGCGGGACCCGGCCCCGCACACCTGGTTGCGGTTGTCGTGCTTTGCCGCTACAGCCGGCCACACCTACCTGATCCTATACCTGGCCAGCCAGCGACACATCTTGGCGACGGGCGCCGTTTGGCTGGATGCATCGGGTACGCCGACGATAACGGTGCCGCCGCGCAAGAGGAAGCAGACGAGTGGCAGCGTGGATGTCCTTACGAATGCATACTGAATATGGGATGGATTGGATGAGATATGACACGGATATAATTGGATATTGATGAAGGTGCATTTTTTATCGGGATAACTGGGCAAGCTTGGTACAATTACGGCGTTTACTTGTCACGACTGCAGGGACACTTATTTACTTATGGGACACGTATGAACGGAGGGAGGATGTATTATGAGACACACCGAGAGACGAGATACCATGCTTTCCCTAGCTGGGCCAATACAGATAAAAACAAGCAAACTTGAAATCGTTGAAGATACACGAAGCACAGCGAAGTACCGTTGGCCCTAATCATACAATACAGTTAACTGCTCAAGACTAACGTTCCGCCCGTCAGTAAACATAAACGTGATCCTTTTCTGTCCTCATTCCGGTTCCGGTTCCTTGTTCCTGTCACTGTTCCCGTTCCTGTTCCCGTCCTTCCCCGGCCACTCAGAGTAGGGTACATAAAAACTCAGAAAGCATGGCAGCAAGCAAGCAAGCAAGCAAGCATAGCTGAAAACGCCGCGAAAGAGACGACGGCCGCACATAATTCAAGCAAAAGAAAACATAAAGGCAATGACAAAAGAAATGGATAAAATACGATAAGGGAATATCAGTATCAGGGACTTGGTGCAACTAAGGATGAGAACGGCTCTTCTCAGACGACTCTAAAAAAACGGAACATCGTTCGGGCCACGTCAATTTTACGCAGACGGCGACGGAGACTTGCTCACGGTCCGGCCAAAGGTCGACTTGACCTCCTTGCCGTACCGGTCGGCCTCGGCCTTGGCAATGTCATCGTAGCGCTGGGTCTCGTTAGCCTAGATTCGAAAGAAAACAAAGAAATTGGTAGAAGGCGTCGACATACCTGGCGTTCCGACGACGGGAGGTTCTTCCACTCGGTGGACAGAGCACGCGCGGCATCAGCCAGCGGCCGGCCGGTGAAATCGCCCGACCCCCACCGCTCCTTGGTGAAGAGGGAGAACGACGACGTCGGCCGCCGCGGCTGGCGTGCGTCCGTGATGCTGCGGTGCTTGGAGGTCTTGCCCAGCCGATTCAGGTGCAGCCGTGCCCGGTTCGCGTCGGCAATCTGCGACACCGTGTGGCCCTCCACCCACTCTTTGTACGCCTCCGCGTTCGATGCCCGGTTCCTCTCCGACGTGTCCCGCAGCCGCTGCAGCTCCAGCGGCGACAGCGCCTTGAACGCCTGGCTCAGCCCCGGCATGATCTTGGCGAGATTGGCCTTGCCGCCGTCCTCTGCCTTGGTGCCTTTGGTGCTCTCCGTGATAAAGAGAATCCACGGGTGCTCCGGCAGCTTGCGCGGCTCGTGCAGCAACGCCACCTTCTTGAGCTCCCGCTTTTGTGCCTTGGCCTTTTCCTCGGGCGTCAGCGCTGCCTTCTTCTTGGCGGCCGCCGCCTTCTTCTTGGCCGCTGCCGCCGCCTTCTTCTTCTTCTCCGCCGCTGCCGCCGAGGCCGCCGCCGTCTTCTTGGGCGCCGCCTTGGTCGCTGTCTTCTTGGCGGTCGTCGCCTTCTTCGGCGAGGCCTTGGTCGTCGCCGCTGCCGCAACGGCCGTCGCGGCCATGAAGCCGCGTGTCGACTGGGCACGGAACGCGTTCAGGGCGGCCTCTCTGGAGGCGAGCGGCGCGCCGGTGCTGACACCGGCTGCCTTCATTGTGAAACTACGGCCAGCGGCCGCGGCGCCGACGCGGAGGACGTTGGCGGAAAGCATTTTTGGGCAGGGAGGGCGATGTTTGTTGTGCGTCGACGGTTGTGGTTGTTGAGACGCGGACAATTGCGCGGGGATTCGTTTGTTTTGATTGTCTGTTGGTCACCGTGTCGCCGGTATGTTGATAAGCGCGGGCAGTTGCGGCGTTGCGACGTAGTTTTTTCGATGCACAACGAATCGTGATATTGCTGTCGCACAGAAAATTCGCGGCTCCCTTGGACGGAAAATACACAGACCGTATGATCGCGTGCGATTGCGGTCTGGGTGTGGTCTGGGCGCGCTGAGTCTCATGTGGGCAGGTGCTTCCCAGCCCCCTTGTTTTACAGAGCTCCTTGCGTCTCGGGAAATGACGACAAGGCAGTGGTAGAGGATACTTATTAACTGGAGTCATAACTGCATACAACATATGTATACTATACACAAGTGGGCCTTCCGCTTTCGTCCGTTGCTATTGGACTAAGCTGTTGCACCAATCCACTACATTCTAGGTCCCGCATAAGCTGGTCGAGAAGATGCACGTGACTAAGAAGCAACTGGGGTCACGTGAATGAGCCACGCTCCACAATCTCCAATTTTTCATCATCGAGTCGCGTTGCCTAAATCCATCGAAGGCAAGGCTCCAGTGGACGATGTTTTAAGTTTTTTCTCTGCTTTGTTCACCTCCTTTCTTCGTCTGCCATTTCATTTTCAAGCAGATTGACTGCTCAAGTCCCATCTGTCGTCTTGGGAGATAAAAAAAGTAGCCACCACCTAGCCACCTAATGTTGACGTGTTGAGCCAATTCAAGAGAAAAGAGAAAAGAAAGAAACAGAAAGACGAGGTCCGCCGAAGCACACAAAGCCGAAGACGCAGGATCTCGCTTCAGAAGAAACCATGGCTCGGCCCAGGACCTCACGCTCACCATCTCCTGCAGGTCAACACGATGCAAAGCGTTCTCGCAAAGATGACGACAGGCGCGATCGCGACCGCGATCGCGACCGGCGAGACGGCGCACCACGCGACAGCCGGCGCCGGTCGCGTAGCCCGGTAAATGTGAGAGGACGCATCCACCCTTACGGCGAGGGAAGAAGCATTTCTAACGGAACGCATCTGCAGCACACCTACCGCGATCGAGACCAAGCACGCGATCGCGACAGAGACCGCAACCGAAACCGAAACCGGGACCGCTCGCGCGACAGAGGAGGCTACCGTCGAGACCGAGACGACTGGCGGAACGACCGAGGCTCCGACTACCGACGCCGATCCTCGCGGTCACGATCTCGTTCGCCGGCAGGCCGACGTCGGGACCACAGCCGTGATGGTGGCCGAAGCGACCGCAGCTACCGTGGCGGCAGCCGACGGGAAGGCACAGCCGAAGCCCCTCGTAGCCATAGCAGAGGAGCAACATCGCCACTGCCGCCACGGGGAACGCCCGCCTCCGCAACCTCAAAAACTCCTGCGGAAACAAGTGCCGCAGCCGCTGCAACTCGCGAGAAGTCCGAGGCCGAAAAGAAGGCCGATCGTCTGGCAAAGCTCGAGGCTTGGAAGAAGAAGCTCGAGCAGAAACAGGCCGCGGCAGCATCTGCATCCCCGTCGGCCACGGCGGCTGCCTCGCCCGCATTCGCAGCACAAGTTGCAACAGACACCCTGGCTACAGCAGCAGCGCCTGCTGACGCCGCATATGCCGGCAAGTTCGACCCAAAGGCCATCGCTAAGAAATCTGCTGCTCGACACCACTCGCCTGGGCTGCTTGGATCTGTCACTCTAGGGAAGCCTGCTACGGCGGAGAGCAAAGCGCCGGCACCGCCCACGGCCAAGAAGGCGTTTGCAAAGGGTGAGTTGCAACCTAGCTCGTTCTGGTCTGACTTGGAACGAAGGGCATCTCTGCTAACAAGTTGGTCTCCACGTTTAGCATCCAACGTATCTGCAGCCAAGCCGTTTAGCGGTTTCGGATTTGGCAAGGGCGCCGCCGACGCTGCTGCCGGAAAGCGCAAGCTCGACCTCGACGACGAGGAGACCTCCAAGCGAAAGCTAGCTAAGCTCCCCGATGCCTCTCTAGAAGACGCTGACGATGCCCCCTACAACGAAGACGAAGACGAGGATGACGAGGACGATGGTAGATTCGATGGCACCGAAGAGGAGTTTGCTGCGGCTGCTCGTGCTGCCCGCGAGCGCCGCGACGAACGCATCTTACAAGAAAAGATGGCGATCGAGACGGATGCACCCGATGGCGCTGTTGTTGATGGCGCCGGCGAGGAAGAAACAAATGCCACTTCTTCGTCAGAACCAACGGCCGATGCACCGCAGTCTACGACGGCGTCAGAACCTGCCCCGGTCGTCAAGTCCGAGCCAGAAGCCATGGAGGTTGATGAGGCGAAACCAGCTGTTGAGGCGAAACCTGCACCCGCTAAAGTGAACGGGTTTACACGCACACAAGATGCCGCGCCCCAAACCCCGACCGAAATGGACGTGGACGACGACGTCGACCCGCTCGATGCGTTCATGGCGAACCTCGACCAGGCACCGGCCACGAAAAAGCCATTGAAAACAAAGAAGCCCGCAGCCGAGCCTGAGGCGTACTTTAGTGATGACGAAGACTACTTTACCAAGGCCCAGGACAGCCTGGATGCGAAATCCATTTTGGCCATGGCGGCCAAGCGCAAGAAGAAGGAGATCCCCACGATCGACTACAGCAAACTGGACATCACGCCGGTTCGCAAGAACTTCTGGGTCGAGCCGTCAGATCTCAGCCAGCTTACGGAGGCCGAGGTCGCCGAGCTGCGGCTGGACCTGGACGGCATCAAAGTCTCCGGCAAGGACGTCCCAAAGCCGGTGCAGAAATGGTCGCACTGCGGACTGACGCAGACGATGCTGGGGGTCGTGGAGAAGCTCGGGTACGAGAAGCCAACACCGATCCAGATGCAGGCGCTGCCCGTCATCATGTCGGGCCGCGACGTGATTGGCGTGGCCAAGACGGGTTCTGGCAAGACCATGGCGTTCCTGGTGCCCATGTTCCGCCACATCATGGACCAGGATCCTGTCAAGGACAACGAGGGCCCGATCGGCCTCATCCTGACGCCCACGCGTGAGCTGGCGGTGCAGATACACAGGGACTGTAAGCCGTTTGCCAAAGCGCTTGGGCTCCGCGCCGTCTGCGCCTACGGCGGCCCACCCATCAAGGACCAGATTGCGGAGCTGAAGCGTGGCGCGGAGATCATTGTGGCCACGACAGGCCGCATGATTGACCTGCTTGCGGCCAACCAGGGCCGCGTCGTGAGCCTGAAGCGGACGACGTACATTGTCCTGGACGAGGCCGACCGGATGTTTGACATGGGCTTTGAGCCGCAGGTGATGAAGATCTTTGCCAACATCCGGCCCGACAAGCAGACGGTGTTGTTCTCGGCCACGATGCCGCGCATTATCGACGCGCTCGTTAAGAAAGTGCTCAACAACCCCGTCGAGATCATTGTCGGCGGCCGCAGCGTGGTGGCGCCCGAGATCACGCAGATCGTCGAGGTGCGGGAGGAGAAGGAAAAGTTCTTCCGGCTGCTGGAGCTCCTCGGCGAGCTCTACATGAACGACGAGGACGTGCGGTCGCTCATCTTCGTGGAGCGGCAAGAAAAGGCGGACGAACTGCTGCGCGAGCTGCTGCTGAAGGGCTATGGCTGCATGTCGCTGCACGGTGGCAAGGACCAGAACGACCGCGACTCGACGATTACCGACTTCAAGAACGGCGTGTGCCCTGTCCTGGTGGCGACATCGGTCGCGGCGCGCGGCTTGGACGTGAAGCAGCTCAAGCTGGTGGTCAACTACGATGCGCCGAACCATTTGGAAGACTACGTGCACCGTGCCGGCCGTACGGGTCGTGCTGGCAACACAGGCACTGCCGTCACGTTCATCACGGAGGACCAGGAGAACTGTGCACCGGGCATCGCCAAGGCGCTGGAGCAGAGTGGGCAGCCCGTGCCCGAGCGTCTGGCCGAGATGCGCAAGGCGTGGCGCGAGAAGGTCAAGGCAGGCAAGGCCAAGGACCAGTCGGGCTTCGGCGGCAAGGGCCTCGAGAAGCTGGACAAGGACCGGCAAGCCGCCCGGCAGCGCGAGCGCAAGACACACAAGGCGGAAGGCGACGACGAGGAGCCCGACAAGGAGGCCGCCGAGGAGGACGATAAGAAGAAGCAGGCCGCGAGCAACCTGGCACAGTCCGCAGCGTCGGCCATTGTGTCGCGCGACACGGCCAACGAGGGTGGCGATAGCAGTGCGGCGGCGTCGGCGGCCGCGGCCGGGAATGCCGCACCGGGTGTGGCCCTGCCTTCGAAGCCAGGCGTTGGTGGCGGCGCAGCACTCGAGAAGGCGGCGTCGGCCATCAACGACATCAATGCCCGGCTGGCCCGAGCCGGCCAGCTGCGCTCTGGCCAGGCCATCGACAACAAGGGCCCTGATGCAGGCGCCTTTCATGCCACGCTCGAGATCAACGATTTCCCGCAAAAGGCTCGATGGGCCGTCACGAACCGGACAAATGTGGCCAAGATTCTCGACTCGACCGGCACGTCGATTACGACCAAAGGCACCTTCTACGCGGCCGGTGCCAAGGTGCCCCCGGGTGGCGAGGCCAAGCTGTACCTGCTCATTGAGGGTGATACGGAGCTGGCTGTGGGCAATGCGCTCACTGAACTGACACGTTTGCTGCGCGAGGGTACGGTAGCTGCAGCGGATGCAGAGAGCCGGGCGCCGGCCAGTGGACGGTACACGATTACGTGAGAGGCAAACAAACAGTCATGTAGCAAAAGCAGGAGGTGGTGCATATTTTGATCATGTTTAATGTACTTTGGGGTTTCATATATGCTTGCGTTTGGAGGCGCCATCTTTGATGGGACCAAAAAAAAAATACTAGATAAAAGAAAATGAGCTGTGAAGGCTGTGTATGATAGATCTTCAGAGCATGGAAATGGAAATGAATATGAAAAAGAAAGTATATGTGGAAATGGAAATGGAACCGCCTGCTGGCTTGTGCCAAGCTACAAGAATGCAAACGCTCGCAATCGTGAAGAGAAGGTGAAGACGCAAAAGACTAACCAGAATAAAATGCAAACAACTGTTCGCCATCGCTCTCCGGCCACAGCCACCCAGCACCCACATGTCATCTGTGCGCATACTTGCCATAGCTCGCACCCAAACTCTTCTCACGTACGACGCAAGTACTCCGTTGTTGTGTCCAGAATCAGTCGTACTGCGCCGCCGACGTCTGGGCGTCCATCTCGCGCCGGCGCACCTCGGCCTCGCTGGCCTTTTTTAATGTCTCGCTGCGGTTCTCGCGCCGCTGGGCCTCGAGCTGTGCGCCCAGCTTGCCGGTCGTCGCCCTTGGTGCATTCCGGGCCTGCAGAGTCAGTCTTCACTTTCCAGGATTCGGTCTACGCAATCACAGAAAACAAGGTGCGTTTACTTACCTCCGCTGCGGCGGCGGCTCGCTCTCGTGCATCGGCGGCCGCAGACGATCCCGGCCCGCCACTGGCGCCACCGAGCGTGCGTGCCGGGCCTCCCACGCGCGGCGGGACTGGCGCAGTCTTGGCCGGAGCTCCGCCGCCCGCTGCGACTGGCCGTGCATTGCCCGACCCCGTGCCAGCTCCGCCGAGTGTGCGGCCCGGCCGGTCAAAGGCACCGTCGTCCTTGTCGACTTTGCCACACAAGTTACCCATTGCGTATCAGTCGGAAGAACTTTGGACCGCGATTGGAAGGTGAAATCCAGGCAAGGCCGTTGAGAGGCGACTGTGCTAGCCAGGAGGACGTCGTCTGCGAAAGATCCGCTCCTTTCCCAAGTGGCGGAAAGACGGACAGCTGTGGTGGAACGTGGGAGACGGGGAGGTTGCGATGGCCGGCTAGGGAGGGCGATGTGCTGAATCGAGTTCCAGGCAATCGACTATTTCAGAGGTGGGATAATAACGTCGGGGACGGACGACAGGCGGGCGACAACGCTCTTACATTGCTACAAGCTAGAAGAGGAAACGGGGAAGAAAAGACTGGTGAGGCAATTCGATGCAGAAAATGGCGATAAGTCGCAATTGCCAAGTTGAGCCAGGCTGTGTTGGAATCGTCCTTTCCCTTCTGGAGAAGCTCGCGTGGAGAAAGACCCCTCTTTTGGAGCTGCCTGGGATATTGGCACTTGTGGCGCTGTTTGCTCCTTCCTAATGACGCGGCGACAGTTGAAGACCAATTCTGCCGTGCTAAATTGCTGACAAGGCAAGGAGACGCTTCACCGCCTTTATATGAACGGCGTGTGATGACACTATTCGCCTGGTAAGGTAAAACACATCGCGCATGATGATTTACGACAAGTATTGGCAGTACCACTGTCCGTAAAGATAAATAATAAGTGTTGACAAACAATAAGCGCCGTTTCCACCACCTCTGCTATTGAACAGCGTTTGCCGTTTCTTTGCTCGCGACGATAGGGCGATTGGTCGTAGACTCGCCTACAAGTGATACGGTCTGCCAAGTGTGCATCGACGGCCGATTCGGTTAGCCTTGTCTTTGCTTCGCGGAGCCTTATCAATAATAAGTTGATATTCGAGGGCAAGGAATGGAAAAGGCAAGAATAGAAGCAATCACTCGCATGCTCCGCGGGGACTCTTGATGGACGGGATGTATCAAGTTTTTGTTGTTTGAGTCACTCAGGGCCCACCGGCGTACCTTGTACCAAATATCACCGCACGATAAAAGCATGCAAGGTGAAGAGATGCGTCGCCGAAGGTTGATATTGTAGTTTTCAAAAAGAAGTGTTTAAAAAAAAAAAATCTACGAGTACGGGTTCTCCTCTGGCAACAGGCTTCGGGAAGAGCTCGTAATAACCAAAAGTAACGAACGAGGAGCAAAAACGAAAACCCAAGCTGCGCAGTCACGGACGGTAATGTGTAGAATCAAATCTGACGATATGTGGTGAAAGGCGCTCTACGAAGTTGGCAGGCCGTCGGTCAGTCTGGCCTTCATTGATTCGAGCAGTAAGCAAAATATTATGTGCTTGCAAGAGAGGCCATTTGACGGGTCCTCCAATGCACAATTCGCAAGCTGGGGAGTAGGAAAGCCCAGCAAAGCAACGCCACAGGGCCAATTGAAGACAAAAGAGGGAAACTACTCTTCCACTTCCGGGTTTCTTGCTTTTGCTGGGTGAAGGGCACTTTGCCCTTTTGCTCAGCAGGTGATCGCAATAGCATTTTTGCTTTTTCCTTTTTGCTTCTTTGGTATTTTTTCTGCGTCTCTTGCTCTATGGAGATGGGGGGTTGCACATCATTCGGCGCTTTGGCTGTACTTCTTTGGCTCTGTTCTTACAAACACAATTGTTTGCGCTTCCGCATCTCGTACGAGCACGACACAAAAAACGTCCAGAGGACCATCCGGGTTCTCAAACGCTCGTCCCGCGGGTGGGTTTTCTTGGTGCTTTCTGGAGCCTTGTGTAGTTCCGAGCGATTTCTGACCAATAAGAACCATGAATTTCTGCTAGAGTGGGTCCGTGAGAGTAGGTGGGGGGAGGTTAAACCTGACCCTGTGGCCTTTCTCTACCATTTGCTCTGCGAAGGAGGCCCTGAAGAATTTTTTTAAAAGGGAAGGCGCTGTGTATCAAGCCGTATTACTGTAGTGGCGCTTTCCACTATGCGCTAAAAGCCGTTGGATCATGCTTGTATGTCGAGGACTAAAACACAGCCAAATGCCACTGAATAGGTACATCTAGGGCCAATGTATGTTGTAATACCAAAGAAAACCTCACAGTGCCATCGCTCCTGCCCGTCTCAAGCCCCGGCCTTGCCTTGCCATATCACAACCAGGCACGGAGGACCTGTCCAGACTCTTTGTGCATCTCTTGCCTGTTTCTCTCTCCCCTTCCTTTCTTCCCCTCTACCATCTTCTCTCCCTCCGTATCTCGGTCGGCTCCTCGCCTCCCCTCATCTCCTCGACGTGTATTCTCGTCATCCACCTCACCCTCTTCGACCTTCGTCTGTTACCCCTACGGACGGGCCGTACAACGACACCCTGCTACACGTTACACTTACCATTCTACCACCTCCCTTTGGAGAGGAATGGCCTGCATCTTGCTACGCGCACCGTGCACCGTTCCTGATCAGAGACTGTGTCGATGAACCAGAGGCGCCTTGCTGATGCCCTGTGTTGACATCGCCGGCTTCATATTCCTGCCAACACATGTGTTCGGTCCCGGCTCTACGTCGTCTGATCCTGCACCTCCTGTTCAGTGTCCTGCTTGAAGGGTTCTTGTGGAAACTTTTCCTCTTCTCCCCTTTCATATTTCCTCTTCTCACTTCTCACTTCTCACTTCTCGCGTTGCCACTTATCCCCCGGCCTTCATCCTTTCTCAAATCATATGCACCCACACAAAACATTCGCAATGGACAGCAGCAACTCCCGCCTCCATCAGGGGTCGCTAGACTTTTCCTACCTCGAGTCCTTTGGCGACGCTCTCTCGCTTGATGGTAATTCGCAGATTGCTGACGTCGACATGGATGACTGGAAGCTCTTCGGCGTACAAAGCCCCCAGTGCGTCAGCCATGACCAACAGGCCGGCCTGGGCACCGCCCTCCGCACGTCACACGATGACCTCTGCGCACATCCTCCCAAGTGCCCTACGGGTGGCCACTACAGCAGCAACAGTAGCAATCATCACGGCCTCTACCACGGAGGCAACTCGGCCTCAGCAGCGCACATGCTCTTCCATACTCGTCACTTTGATCCAAGTGTCGTGTCCAGTGGCCACAGCGGACAAAACCAGCGCGGCATGCAGGGCATTCCTACGACTGTAGGCGGCACCCAGGGTAGTGCGCTCAACCTAATGGACTTTACTACGGGCGGCTCTTTCTTCATTCCTTCCTCAGTTGGTCCCACGGCCCCTGACTTGAATTCACCCACATATGCCAACGACTTTGCCGAGCAACTATCTGTGCTATCTTCACCACCTACTCAGCACTCTATGCACTCTGGTGCCGCTGACGACGGTGCCGACGATGATGAAGGCTCGACCTGCGGCAGTGACTGCGACGCTGACAACATTTGCCGCGACACGGCCTGTGCTATCAACCCCTCGGGTTGCTGCGAGGACGAGGACTGCCAAGGACAATCCGACACTGTTTCAGTCATTGCTGCTCTGTCACCAGAAGATGCCGATGCTGCGGCTGCACTCACATCCTTTATAGAGCAGCAGCAGCAGGGGCAAATCGGCCAACAACAAGAACAACAACAGCAGCAGCAGCAGCAGCAACAACAACAACAACAACAAATGCCAGTAGTAGATAGCCACCATGGCCATCAACACTCTGGAACATCCGTGTCTGAGCCTTCTTGTCTGCAGTTCGGCCTTGGTCAAGACATAACATGCATTAGCCCGCAGTTCTTGATAAACTACCAGCACTTACGCGACTCACACAACCCCCTCAACCCATCTGAATGCACAGCTTCTGTTTGTCCTGTCGAAGACCCCAGCTTTTACCAGGAGTGCCACATGCGTCACTTTACCGACAGTCAAGGCGGTCTCTTTGATAACCTTGACTTGAACCAGATCATGAATGAGAACGCCAACCATGGCCATGGCCAAGGACTCAGCCATGTTCACTCGCACAACCACGTCGATGCCGTGGAATGTGGTGCCAAATTCCCAAGTGGCGAGGCTATGCTTCAGCATTTATGGAACGAGCACCGCAAGAGCCTAAACCTCCTTCAATTCCCTGCCATGCAACAGAACTTGCAGATGGATCAGACTCCAGACATGGCCTCTTCTGCATCGCCTTCTGCTTCCTTAGTCTCTCAAGATCTGGCAAGAACACCTTCTTTGCCACAATCCGGCCAGGACGTTGTTGGCGGCTTGACATTGCCAGACTCTTCTCTTCCTCTCAGAACTTTTGGCTTTGACTCGCTGAACGATGCAGCCATACAGAAGCATCTACAAGATCCCGCGATGACCTCTCCCCAGATCACCAAGCAGATGACTCAGCTGCCACTACCGGCTACCCCTGGCCTCAAGACTGAAAACAGTCAACAAAAGACTGCTGGCGGGGCTGTTGATACCGGCCCTCAGATGTTTGAGTGCGCCTGGTGTGACACTCTAGGTGGCCAGCCATGTGGCCAGTCCTTTGATTCTGCCTGTGAGCTTCACAAGCACGTCCTCGCAGCCCATACACACTTGCTGAAGAGAGATGTGGGGGGCACATACTCATGCGGATGGCAAGGCTGCACACGCCGGGACAGTGAGGAGAAGGGTGGCTTTGCTCAGAAGAGCAAGATAGACCGCCATATGCAGGTTCACACGGGCAGTATGTTTTTTTTCTCTCATTTTCTTAAATCCCCCCTTCCTGTACAACACACACTAACAATCTCAGACAAACCCTTTACATGTGACATTTGCCACCAGTCCTTCTCCGCCAACCAGGCCTTGCTTCAACACAAGCTGATCCATGAGGACAGCAAGCCGCTATCGTGTGACATCTGTGGCAAGACTTTCCGGCAACACAGTGCACTGAGTACGCTTTCCCCCTCCACCTTTTTATTTTACATTTTTTACATTGTTGAACCATAAGCTCCCTTGCTGACCGCGTCCTAGCTATGCACATTCGCACACACACAAAGGTGCGACCACTCAAGTGCCCCTACTGCAACAAGGAGTTCAGCGAGTCGTCCAATCTCTCCAAACACAAGCGCATCCATACTGGCGACGGCCAGTACGAGTGCAAGTTTCCTGGCTGCAATCGGACGTTTCACCGAAAAGACCAGCTGCGCCGACACAGCGGCCAGCATAGCAAGAGCACGTCGTCTTCTATCGCCAAACCTGTAGCCAACAGCTCGCTCGTCGCTAAAACCGTCGCAGCTTGAGCCTTGATGGACCAGGCTGGAGTGAACGTCCCTTTCCAGTCGTTTTATGTGTTTGTGGAAGTTCCTGTTACGTTGTTCCATGTTCATGTTCATGTATGATTTTGATTTGGAGTTTGATTTTGCCTGTATTTTTCTCAGTTTGGAACGGCGTTGAGGGTTGGACGGTTTAGAGCAAGTGGCATAGCATAGAAAATTGTGCCTTCATAAAGGCGTAGAAGAAAGAACACGGAAGTTCATAAGGAGAACCGTAACTCGTCTTGAATGACAAAATATAGTCATCAGACCATAGAAACTTTTCGGTCTTCTAGTCTATTGTTATTTTTATAATAACAGTTTCATTACAAGACCTGCTAGTGAGTGGTGTAGCTGAGAATGTTTTGTCTGTGCGACTTCTCGACCTTTAGTGAGGGCAGAGAGTGTTCAATGTTGGAGCCGGGGTCGATATACAGCGTTCTTCACAAAATGAGAGACTCATAGAAGCCATTGTTGTCACGACACAAAGGCGGCAGTTTATAATTTTTACTCTTTTTTTATTTGGTATGGATTTTCGTATCCATGAAAATGGTAGAATGCAAAGCTCGTGGCCCGTTCCAAGAAAAAGAACCCCCCTCGAAATACCACCTATTTCCCCGGATGTTGTTTTGTTGTTTGGTTGTCGTGTGAGTTTTTATAGTTTGTTTTGCGAGAGAGCAAAAGAGCGCTGTAATAAAACCAAACACCCCTATTGTTATTTTTTGTTGTTCCCCGAGTCTCCCATGATATAAAAGCAGAAACAAAGAAAAACAGCACACAGTTTTCAAGATGACAAAGAGGTTTTGTTTTTGTATTGTGTCAAAATCCTCGATCCTTGAAAAACTACCGTCCCATCGTCGGCCTCAAATCATGACGAAAAAGTCTCCACCGCAAAAACAAGACGCTTATGCCTTGACGGCAAAGGTCCGCTGGGGGAAGTGAGACTGGCGCTTCTTGGTCTTGGTCAGGGTGCGGGCGGCATCCTCGGCGGACAACCGCCGGCGGATGGCGCGGGTCTGCTTCGGTCTCAGGTCCAGAGGCAGGTACTTCTTGTTCTTGTAGAAGAGGCGGAGCTGGGCGCGCTGCTTGGCGTTGATGATGGTCAGGACGCAGGCAATCGACTTGCGGACGTCACCACTGGGAGGCAAGAGTTAGACACGATACGGTAAGTAGGCAACAACGCGTCGGCGCCGTGCAAATGCCAGTGGAAAGTGGAAATTTGAAAATGGGCATGCTCAAACTTACATCCGGTTCAGCTTGGAACCCGACGAGGTGATCTTCTGGATACGGAGCTGGCTCAGCTCCGTCTTCAGCTCAGCGAGCTGCTTGACGAGCTCATCCTTGCTCTTGGGCCACAGGGCACCGGCCTTAACCTTGGAGGAAGACTATTGTATATGTTAGCAACGGCATTCCTTTAAATGTGAATGTGACGTCCCCAGATAGGCAATCCTCCTCTTTTAACGAAAATGTCGGTGTCGGTCGGTCGCCTTGTTGACGGTTGAGGTAGTCTGGTCTTATGTCATGCGGCATCTATTCCGCAACGTTGCGCTCAGTCGATTGTGGATTACGACGCCCGCCGTTTTAGTAAAGTTTGCCGACGCTTTCGAAATATATTGTTCCACAACCGATTCGTGCGCTGCTGGTGATATATGATGCAAGTCTCCACCTCCATTGTCGTCCAGCCGGTTCGAAAAGAGTATCCCATTCACTCATGAAGTCATGCAGCTTGTCGTATCAGAAATTCGGCGAGCAACGCTGCATGCCTTTGAGATATCTGGAGGTATCTGGAGGTAAATGGCGAGACAACACGGGGGCCGTTGTGGACGAAATCGTCGGGCGGGCGAGTAGAGCGACTGTTGGACCGTGTTTCGATTCGAGACGTTCAACCGATAATCGTTGTTCGTTTTCCTTCCCATTCCATCCCAGTTTCATTTCCTTCTTTGCACCGACTGCAAGACAATACATTATCTCTAATGACATACCATTTTGTTGAGGATTTGTCGTCGTGGGGGGGTTGTCGACGTGTGTTGTGGTGATGATTGTCGAGAAGAGAGTTGGTCGTCGTGCACACGAGATGTCAAAGACGGGAAAAGCGTGCGAGAAAAATTAAAGGGCATAGAAACTTTTTTCATGGGGGCACTAGCAAGCCCCCCTCTGCTTTGGTAGTGTCCACTCGTCCACTCAGTTTGGCTGACTAGCGGCAAAAATATTCTAGGGCCGACGAACCCTATGGCAGTTTTTGGGTAGCGGGTAGAATTGTCTTAGGTCAGCAATTGTCACGTGCCATAAGAAAGCTTGTCTCAGCCACAATAGCGCCACAAGAGACGACGAATGCGACTACTCCGTAAACTTGCCAGCTCGGTCTTGGCTAGACTCCGTAACAGAAGACCGTGACCTCATTGCCCTCCTCTCCATCTATGACTGGTTCTGGAATCCTGTTGCCTCTCGGACATACAACCATCTTGCATCACCACGAATCAAGCGCATGTACGACCACCTAATTGAGACGATAATACGCACGCTTTGAAATCATTGAAAATAAATTGAAGAAGCTGCGAAGAACAAAACTCCTAGACACCGGACCCACGTGTGCAACCGACGAAGCCGAGCACTTACGGAGAGCATCACAAGAACCACGGTTGGAATGAACTAGCAGCTCTCCTGTTTTTGTATCCATTTACTCCTCCTCAGATCATATCCGATAATTGACAGCCATGGCTTCCGCTGGCGGAAACTCGGGCTGGACACAGCTGCGGCAGCAAGTGCGCACGCTGGAGAGCCAAGTATGTATCCTCTCGTGACTTGGGAAGCCGATAGTTTGCAAGAGTGAGCTGACAAGTTCCTTTCCTTCGCACCGATAGACTGAAAGCCATCTTCACACCTACTCACAGTTTTCGGCAACCTCGTCGATACCACTAAAGCCCTCGGACGAAGAGAAACAGACGGAGAAGAAGCTCGAAGAGATTCTGAGCAAGCGAGAAAATCTTATCCGCCAACTCACCCGCATTCTCGACTCCGATCCGAACCTCACAGCCTCGGCCGTCAAGCAAAACAACCTGGTGCTGCTGCGCGAAAAGTACGAAGAGCACCGCCGGGACCTGAGTCGCCTCAAGGTCCAGCTCAACCATGCACGCGACCGCGTTAACCTAATGGCGCATGTCCGCAACGACATCAACTCGCACCGCGCAGGTGCTGACGGGGCCGAGGGTGGTGGGCTGACGGGTGAGGCCGCCGAGGCTGAGTACATGCTGGGCGAGCGCAGCCGTATCGACAACAGCCACAATATGGTGGACAGCGTTCTGAGCCAGGCGTACGCCGTCAACGAGAACTTTGGTCTCCAGCGTGAGACGCTGACCAACATCAACCGACGGATCACGCTGGCGGCGAGCCAGGTGCCGGGCATCAACACCCTTATTGGGCGTATCTCGTCCAAGAAGCGGCGGGACGGCATTATCATGGGTTCATTTATTGCGCTGTGCTTTATTGTTTTCTTCTGGTTCATGTAACCTTTATTCTTTGTCTTGCCAACGATTCCCCCTTTCTCATTTTCTCTCACACTCTCACACAATAGCATGCGGTCGCGACTGTTTTCTTTTGCTTCCTTTGCTTCCTCTTTCCCTTTCTACTTTATGCACGGCGTTTACATGGAACACTCCATCGTTAGGCACATACCATACATAGTTTTGATTTCCCATGAAAACCTAGGGACCTTGATCTCAACGTTTGCCGTTTGCCTCTTTATGTACAGTTTTGCTGCGGCTTTTCCTATTTTATGTACACTATGGTGTCGCTTGTTTCTATGGTACAGATGCTGGGTATCGTCACGGGGCCGTGTTTAAATATGAGAAGAGTTCGTTTTTTTGCAGAGTCCGACACACAGAGACCTTGTGACTATTGCCGCCTTATTTCTTGGCCTCGGACAGCAGACGCTGGACACCCTTGGCGAGACTTTGGCGCTCCTCCGGCTGGCTCGAACCGCTGCCGGCCCAGCGGATACGACATTGCTGATCCAAAAGGTAGATGTAGCCGACCTTACTATTGAGCAGGCCAATGTTCTCACGGATGTCATCCGTGACACCCTGTCTCACCAGCAGGTACCGCTCACGATCACGCTCGTTGACGCGTTTGCGCAGCGAGCCGCGGAACAGGCGCACCAGCCAGGCGCGCATTGCATTGTCTTCGTAGTTGATTTGCACCAGCTGTGCCTTGCCGGGCCCGCTGTTGGCCGCCAGCACCTCGGCCAGCTCCGGATTCTCCTCGGGCGAGATGAACGTGCGCACTTGGTTCTCGGCCCACATACTGCTGAAAAAGCCACGACCGTGGCGGCGTTCTGTTCAAAAATCGGCGTGGTGCTGACTTCTGTGTTCTTGGACCTGGCCTTGTCGGCTGACAGCAGGGGCTGGCCCACGAGGTTTGGAAAGTAGAGGGACACGTCGCTCCGGAACAGGCGTGGAGGCGCAATAAAGGTCTTGCCCTCTTGGAACTGGAGGTTGGTCCAGTCTCGGAAGTACGGCTTTACGATTTTGGTCTTGCTACACAGAGAAAACGTGGGTGTTAGCAGATTGTCAGGATATGGGACCAGCAGCAACTACATTGGGCTTACAGCTCCTTGCGGCGCTCGAGGTGCTTCTCGTAGTTGACAAAATCGTCGCGCTTCTGCTGCAGCGTCCGCGCATCGATACCGCTGTTCTCACCCGCCATCGGTGGTGCCGGCATGCCGATTGGCCGTGGGAGAGGCGTCGGCGTGAACTCGTCGGTTCGCTTGCCATAAGAGCGTGGCGCGTTTGGCAAAGCATTGACCTTTGGCGGAGGGGCGTCTTTAGCTTCACCTCCAGCCTCTGCCAGCGCTTCCGGCTGTGCGGAAGGTGTGCTGGTGCCCGCCTTGGCTTTGGAAGCAATCGTCGGCTTCGTATCGCGCCGGGTACGCCCGGTTGTGCTGAATGTGCGCCATTGGCATAAGACACACGATGCTGTCACGGCCGGCGTCGAGGCCGATGGGAATGGCGTTGGGAGAGTCCACAGTGCGCCAATCCCTTTCCTGCGCGAAAGGGTCGCGACACCTATCCGATGGGTAGCCATTTGAGATATGGGATCGGGTTTAAGTCCAATCCAATGGGTATACCGTGTCGGGAGGTCGGAGCTTGGCCGAGGGATGAGGTTAGGACCCGGACCTGCATCTATTTTTTTTCCCTCGCCAAAATGACCCCATAGCTCGCCTGTCGGCATCTGCAAGAATTTTGCCGCTCTGGTTTAATGGCCTGCAGGGCCTGGCGGGCCGCTTTGAGGCAGTCTAGCGACACCGCCTTTCTGCTGTGGCACGTTCCGGGGCACCTGTTTAGTCTTCTGGAAGACAGGCCACAGGAACGAAAAATGGCAGGAGCTAGTGGAGTATTGCGGTTCCCCTCCCCGGACTTTGGCAAGTGGCCCCCTGGCGAGGTGCTGAAACTAAGCCGAGCACCATATCCATACCACAGCGGGAGAGCGGCTATCCACGGCGCCCATGCCTTGGGCATTTCTCGGCAGGGCACAACGTCATTTGCGAGACGGAGCGTGCCTGCCAAAACAACATAAGCCGTCGCCAGCCACACGAATTGCAGCCAAATAGCTCGGTCTACTGAATTCATTGCCCGTCGAGGAAGGAGACAGCAGCTAGGAAAAAGGGAAACCACTCGGGCTAGACAAGAAAAGAGAAACTCATAGTGAGATTTGGGTGGGCAATTGGAAATCACCAGCTTTGACCTTTTGTCTTCCTTCTTTTCCTCACTCTCTTCCTTTCTGTATTGTCGCAATCACTGGTGTTTGTTCTTGATTTCTGATCGAGGCCGTGCCGACCTAACCTCGCTTTCGCCGGATCCCACCACCTCTCCACATACATACACTCAAAAGCCATGTTTCTCCCACGTGGCTGCCGAGGCGCCCTGCGCCCTGCATCGACGCGACTGGTGATGGTAGAGAGTGGGAGCAGCAGCAGACACTTGTCGACAACACCGGCAGCGGCAGCCACGCAGCTGCGGAGACCAACTGCGGCACCGTCAACCGCGTCTCGGCCGCTGATCTCGTCCCGGCATTTCCACGCGTCAACTCGCATGCAGGTTGTGAAGCCGGTTGTCCTTGCCGACATTGGTGAAGGTAAGGGACCTGGAAGAGTCGAATTGGACGTGCAGGATTGCGTGGCACGGCTAACACTTGATGCTTTTGTCCTATGTAGGCATTGTCGAATGCGAGATTATCCAGTGGTTTGTTCAGCCCGGCGCGCGTGTCGAGGAGTTTTCGCCACTATGCGAGGTGCAGAGCGACAAGGCGTCCGTCGAGATCACCAGCCGCTTTGCCGGTGTGGTTAAGAAGCTGCACTACGAGGCGGGCGAGATGGCCAAGGTGGGCAAGGCATTTGTGGACATTGATATCCCCGACGAGGTGGGGACCAGTGCCGCTGAAGAGACACCTGCCCCAGCTGCAGCTGCACCTGATGCAGCCGCAGAGGCGGCCGAGACGCCAGTAGCAGAGACGTCGCAGGAGACCCAAAAGGCCCCTGCCCCGGTGAAGCAAAAGTTCTCGGGCACTTCGCTAGCTACGCCGGCGGTCCGCCACCTCTCGAAGGAGCTGAACGTCGACATTTCGCAGGTGGCCGGAACGGGAAAGGACGGCCGGGTGACGAAGGAGGACTTGCACCGGTACGTGGCTGAGCAGAAGAGCGGCGGCGCTGCTCAGGGTGACGCGCCACCCCCGGCTGCGATACAGCCGTCTGGCCCGTCGTATGGCGCGGCGACAATCAATGCCGAGGACGCCCCTCAGCAGGAGTCCACAGTGCCCATTGGCGGCACGCAGCTGCAAATGTTCAAGGCCATGACCCAGTCGCTGACTATCCCTCACTTTTTGTACGCCGACGAAATCGACTTTACGCAGCTCTACAGTCTCCGCCAGCGCGTCAATGCGTCCCTCGCCCGCGCCGCCAAGGTGGCTGCGTCAACGGGCGCCGAGGCGCCCGCCGTGACCAAGCTGTCATACATGCCCTTCATTATCAAGGCCATGTCCATGGCCCTGCACCAGTTCCCCGTCTTGAATGCCCGCGTCGAGGTCCCCGCCGACAATACCAGCAAGCCCAATCTGGTCTACCGCAGCCAGCACAACATTGGCGTGGCCATGGACACGCCCAACGGCCTCATTGTGCCCGTCATCCGCAACGTCAACGCTCGCAGCGTACTGTCCATTGCGAGTGAGCTGTCACGGCTTCAGGGTCTGGCCAAGATCGGCAAGCTGGCGCCCGCAGACCTGAAAGGTGGCACCATCACTGTGTCCAACATTGGCAACGTGGGCGGCACGTACCTGAGCCCTGTGATTGTGGAGCGTGAGGTGGCCATTATGGGCATTGGCCGGGTCCGGACGGTGCCGGCCTTTGCGGATGATGCGGACGACAGCTCGAGCCAGCGGGTCATCAAGCGGCACGTGTGCCACTTTAGCTTCTCAGCAGACCACCGGGTAGTGGACGGCGCGACGATGGCAAGAGCGGCCGAGGTGGTTCGGGAGATGGTGGAACGGCCAGATTCGATGATTGTGCAGCTCAGATAGGATGGACTAAAGAGGGAAGCAATAACCTGGACTGACGGCGACGAGGCATAGCGGCGACAGCATTGATGCTAATATTCGAGATGAGGCTGCGCGCCTTCATAGAGCTAAAATTTGGCAAGAAGCACTGCATATGTATCTACAACGCATTCAATAGATTAAATTTGAGCGTGTTTACGATAACCTTTGAGAACACATTGAGACGGATGGTCATGTGGTTCGAGACATATTTTGAACTTAAAACCGTATTGGCATTATGAAAGGTCTTGCATTACCTTGAACGTGTAGAATAATCGTAACACACCAAAGACTATGTATGCTTGGACCTCGTGAAATGGGTAGAATATAAAATTTGAAAATCAAAGAAAACGCCATATCTGTTTGCCTTGTTTTCCCTGTCCTCCCAGAAAGATGTATGCTTCAAACGCAGCACGAAAAGATTATGATGGCGGAAATAAAATTCGCCCAGGCGCATTTGACAATGGATAGACAAAAGAAATAACAAAAAAGAAACCATCGACACGGAAGAGCAAGTGGATATCTCGCTTTCAGCGAATAGTAAAAAAATAAAACAGTTCAAACAGCCCAAGCAAAAAAAACATAAACAATGCGTAAGAGGAGAAGCACTCCATGTAATCAAGCCTTGTCCTCGTTGATGATGCTCTGGACCCTCTGCAACACGTCGGCCTTGACCTCATCTAGCGGCCGGTCAACGTCGAAGCAAATGACATCTGTCTCGTCGGCTTGCGGCGGCTCCAGAATATCCAGCTGGCTCTGCACCATGTTGGCACCCATATAATGGCCCTTGCGACCGGCCACGCGCGAGAGCAAAACCTGCGGGTCGGCAGACAGGTAGATAAAGTGCAGGCTGACGCCCGTGTTGAAGTACGGCGCGACGCGGATGACGTCGCGGTACTTGCGCTTGAGGGCGGAGCAGGTCAGGACGACTTCGTTGCGGCCGTCGCCGTCGGAGATCCGGCGCATGGACTCCTCGCGCAGGGCCGTCAGCCAGTCCCAGCGGTCGGCATCGGTCAGCGGGATGCCGTTGCTCATTTTGTCAATGTTGGCCTTTGGGTGGAACTCGTCGCCCTCGACGTAGTGCAGGTTGAGGCTGTTGGCAAGGTGCTCGGCGACGGTGCTCTTGCCACATCCAGCAGGGCCAGTAACCAGCCAGATGTGGTGGACTCTGCTGCCGCGGCTATGCGCCGAGGACCCGTTGGTGCCATGGGAGGCCGCGACGTCGTTGACGCCGTTGGCCATGACGGAGGTCGTGGCAACGGTGGCTGCTGCGCTAGAGGCCGCCAGCTTGGGAGAGGTCGGGCCAACGGCCACGGGAGAGTTGTAGGAGGAGAGCATAGTGTCGGATGGCTTGAGGTGTTATGTAGTGTTCGTCTGTTCGTCTGTTCGTCTCGTGTCTTATTTTTTGCGGTGTTGCTCCCGGTATTTCTATTCAATGCCCGTTTTGTGTAACCCGTTTTCCCGTCCCAATGCTGCGTAAATTCGTAAAGGCTTTTTTTAATGGGGTTTGCTTGTTTTCACGCTGCTCTTTTCGTCCAACCTATGCGGCAACTGCTGGTCGACTCGCTCGGTTATGCTATGGTAGGGTCGTAGGCATATTTATAGGTGGACAACAGACAGAAGAGCCACTCGTGTAAACGACGGGTTGCAGTGAAACCGCGTGGAGGCGAGTGAATGGGTAGTGGGAAAAGAAGAGTGTCTGTGGAAAAAAAGCGAGGGTGAACAAGGCGATGACGAGGAAGCGAAATGGAGGAGAGGAGAGTCGTTCTTATTATACGGGCACGGAGTCGAAATAGGAAAGACAGAAAGAAGGAAGGAGGAGGGGGGGGGGTGTACAGTGATGGTTGCAAGGAAGGAAGGAAGGCAAGGAAGTGAGGGTGACGACAAAAGAGGAAAGAACGAGCAGCTTATTCAAAGAAGTCAGAGAAATAAAGAAAGAGAACTACGACAGGACAAGGCAGAAAAATACACAAGTCACTTTGTATTGTTCGGGAAAGGGGGCCATAGGTTTCTTACGCAAAAGTTGCCTCCTTGCCGTGTCCGGTGGCGCTGTCGGCAACTCCAGCGTCAAGCCAACCTGTCGGCCACCCCAGTAAATTACACGCCAGAAAAATAACCACCAAAATAATAATCCTTAGTTCGTCAACTGACCAAATAAAGACGAGCAGAAAACCTACCTCGCTACTTACTGTGTACAGAGCATGACAATCGTTTTTGACCGGGGCCTCCCAGGTCACTAAAACTGCACTGGACAAAGACAGCAGCCTACGGCGGCTGAAGTGCTCGAATAGATTCCTCACGAATAAAAGAAGGGGCATGGGGGGAGCAGTGAATGCCGTGGAACGTAAGTATTTTCACACAGAGGCTTGTGCCTGGCTGGACCAGTTCAACATGCACAGCTGCACATTCGAATGGAACATTAAGACAAGCATCAAATCCTGGTCTGTCACCGGTCTACACGCCCCTCCTTGCCGGGCTGCATGTCTTGGATTCTTACTCGGTCAAGGCAAAAAGGCGGTCTCGTCTGTCTCCAGGGCACGCTTCGTCTTGGTTCTCTTTCCCCGCTACGTTCGTCACGCTCGTCACCCCGTCACGGCTGGCAAATGTGACACAGGATGACCTTTGTCTTTGATGCACCTGCAGGGTGGGTGTGGTGGCAGTCCAGATACTCCAGGGATCGGCCGAGGGATGGACAGGGCGGCAGTGCTGGAACCAGGGCAGCACAGCTCACAAAAGTATCTCTCACGAACTGCCGTGGGCGTGTACTTGCTATTAGCACTGCAACGGAGACGCCGTTGAGGCGGGAAAAGACGATCTTCGGCCGGTATTGAAGGCAACGGCAACGGGAGCTGGGGAGATTGCAAAAGTGTGTGGGAGGAGGCGGGGGGTGAGCAACAAAGAAGGCCACGAAGACAAGCCGCGAAAGGACGACCGACATGCCCTTCCGGCTGGGAACATGGCCCATGACCAAGGAATGATGCGCAGAGACTGCGTCACAGCGAAACAAACAACGGCAAAAAAAGACTGGAGAGAAGGCACAAAGCGAGGCTTCTGTTTGGTGGAAATTATCAAGCTGTGGATCCTTCCTTGGGCCGGTCTGGGGGGCACGCCATGCAGGTCGCTTTCTTGGGTCTGTTGCTGCTCTTGCCTCAAATTTTCATCTCTCGCACTCTTGCCTCTCCATGTTTCTTCTTGCATGCCTGCATGCTTCGTTGTTCTGGGAGGGTGGCCCTTCCCCACACTTGCCGACCGATTTCAGCCCCACTTGTATGCAGTTGTGCAGTGCAGAGGAAAGAGGGACGGGCGCATCCCACTCGCGACAGGACAAGCTGCACTCTGTATGTTGCTCCGCATGCATGCACGCATGTACCTTTTTTGTCAACACCAGCCGTGCGCTGGATTTCGAACAAAGGGACGAGGGGATGCAAAGACAAGACTTGGATGATGGGCATAACCAACCGCAAAGTAAAGGCCAAAGGGCAGAAAGGTAGAAATACAGTATTCGTGGCACGACGGTACTGCGCGCCGCTCGTCAAGCATTTCCACACAAAATGCGGCCGCTCACATGTGGTGTGCCGCGGGCATCATCCGGAGAACCTCCCAAGTGGTCGCGGCCCTGAGTCTAAGGTCGTACGCCGGAGAGTGTAACGCGTTGTGCTTTGATACAATCTTATTGTTGTTGCCTCGCCACACGGGACCGGTTCCTGAAAATCTGCGTAACAAGAGGACTGACTCGTCACAACACTCCAAAAGGTCTATTTTGTGCAATCTCTGCTCGTAAGACGAGGCGACGTGCTTGGACAGTCGTATCTCAGAAACGAAACTATTGAAATTGGCTTGGAGTGCCTTGGCGCTGTTTCCCAAGCAGGGAGGAACAAGGTGGACGACGCCCGATTCTCTGTACACCGAGATGGCTTGCGAACAAGAGAATCGGAGGTGCCAGGAAGAGGCCTGAAGCAACAGTCTGGAGGGCGAGTCCATGTCTGTACGTTGTAGGTAAGTAATACATAGCCTGCATGGCACTCGCCTGCAGTGCATCGTGATGCGTGGTGGAAGAAGCGACCTGAGCCATATGGGGAAGAGGCAGGGCGAGGCAAGCTAACTTTCACGCTAGGCAGGACTAACTTCCCAAGAAAACTTTCGTCGGCGTGGGCGGCGAATTGGCGTGGGGGTCACACGAGTTTCTTGTTTCCCTCCCTCCCTTTTGCTTTCTGGCTTTTCTCCATGCTATTTGGTCCTCTGGCAAGGGAAGCGTGGCCAGCAAAGGAGAGGGAATTAATGGTAAAGGAGGACGCGTAGGAATCGTAAGTTGCAAGACCGGGGAAGGCACAGGCAGAAAAGCTCATACAAAATGGAAGACCGGAGAAAACGGGAGAAAATGGGAGAAAATGATCAGGTGGTCTATTTTTTGCACATTTGGGCTGATTTGCAGCTCCCCCGGAATGGAACTAAAAGCACGAAATGTGTTACCAAACAGAAACTCACACAGCCAGAAACAAAACGACAAAAAAGAAAGCATGAAAAGAACATGGGCCCCCACTACTTCGTATGTGCTCGCTCGTTCATGTACGTTTCCCCAACGAAAACCCTGTTCCGAATTGCATGGAATAGCAAATGTGCGGTGAAGCATTTGACGCACTCTGGCACTCACTTAATGTGGAATTCCTTTCTCCCTTCCTTTCTTCTCCAGATGTGCAATGTCTCGCAGGCCCCCTTACTGATCCTCCCAAAAGCAGGTTGTGCGAAGCTAATGTAAAAAAGGTCACGAGGGGGAAAGATGGCGACTCGGCAGCCTTCCGCGGGGGGGGGGGAGGTGGGTGTACATTAGAGGAGCCTTAGGGGGCCGAGTAATACAACTGCACAGGGCTTTAGTGGCATCGTCGGCCTGTCAAAAGAATGCATGCACTTCATACAACTGCACAGGGCTTTAGTGGCATCGTCGGCCTGTCAAAAGAATGCATGCACTTCATACGCCGTCACCAGCGCCTGCCAGCCGCATGCGGTAACCGAAGCACAGCACGGCTATTAACCGGCGCCCCGCCGCCAAAAACCAAAAAGAAATCCGGGCACAATTTCAAAACCCGCGCCAGTTTCCAATTACCGGCCGTGCGATGCTGTCGCTTGCTCGTCCACTTTGGTCCTTGTTTCCTCCACTTCCAATAGCCGTCAAAGCAGTGGAAGGAGGGATCGGAAATACAGAAACGCAACGGAGGGGCGACCCTCAAACCGGGATAGCAGACGACTGACTCAATGCCACCACGACAGTCTTCTTTGCGATTCGCCGTCCATATCGCCCAACGACGACGCACCTCTGCCTTGCACAACGTGGACTGCAGGGATACTTGACGGGCGCCAATGCCCCCAATGCCCCCCAATGCTCCAATGCTCCAATGCTCCGACATTGCCCCTCTTCTTCTTCACCGCTCTACGCCATGTAGCTCAGCTTGCGCCTTTTAGGTCACGATGCAATGTTTGAAGCTGCACAGGAGCAGGCGAGCATGCATTGCTGTCCGGGGCTTGCAGCCCTGAATACGAGGGGACGAATGAAAGTGGACATGGACAAGGAAAACAAAGCCAGCTGCAGATACGACATGCGTCGTATGCTGTAGAGTGAAGTGATGAAATGAAGGGACATACATCGCGTGGCATCCGCCCAAGGGCGTGAAGAGACGCCTGTTCTTGAGTGCATCTTGCGTACAAGGGGGGTCCCTTGAACCCCGTTATCCATTTCCATCCGCTTGAATTTTCAGCGCGCTACGACATACATCGTGCGCATATTCGTCTCACCACCGCATCTCGATTGTTTTTGGGTCTGCCTGTGTAATTTGAACTTGCGTCTGACGATATTGCTACACGCACAGTTGCCCTATTGGGTCTTCCATCGCTCAAATAAAACTGGGGCACGCACCGTCTCTATCTCACTGCTATCCCACGCTGTCATTTGACCGGCCTACCTCGCGCAACTCTGTCACAAACGAATGGGCACCGACATCGCAAATGAGACTGGCCGGTCGGCCCGGCCTATGTGCAATACCCCGAGCGCGTGCCACCGTTGTCTTGACGGTATCTTTGAATCCTTTAGCAGTTTCAGCGAGAAGGATCTCATACGTGATTTGGTGAGACATTTCTGGTCTCCTTGCTCCTCGAGTGGAAGGACCATGGCACTGCCCACGCATATGGTATATCTTTCAGCCCTGCACTATGGCGTATTTCATTGAACGTCGGCCGAACTTCTTGGTTGCCTCCGGCCATATTCGTGGCCGCCGGACCACAATCCAACTTGACCAGGTTACGATGTACATACAAAGTACAGCGTTGATGCGTGTTTTTAACCGGGGTCGAATCCCATGATCTCGCTACTCCAGCAGTGTTTCTCGTGGTGAGAGTCGTCGGGGAGGTCTTTCTCCAAATTGACAACTCCAGTTTTTTTCCAAGTATAGAAACACAATATCTTATTATTACCAAGTCAATGGCCATGTTCACGGCAGAATTACGACCGGAAATGTAGCCCAAGGGCCGACGCCGGGAAGTTCGTTATTAAAAGATTAGTCATTTTGACAGCTTTGGCGGCAGGTGGCTCCTTCCCCTAGTGATTGGCCAGCTCCGCTACAAGGAAGGCGCTGCCCACATGCAAACAACCCACCTAAAAAGTTTAAGTGCAGTTCCCTGCGAAAAGCCTCGTGCTTGGTATTTTCGTGTACGCAGTATATCGTCACGAGAACGGCAAAACCTCATCCACACGTCGTTCTTTTCTTCCTCACCACCTGGGCGGAGTCATGTCGTCTGATCCTGCCGGCCCGCTCGACCCCACCTCCCTCTCTTCCCCTCCGTCGCCGCCCGACGGTATGCCGCCGCCAATATTCCGTATCATCAAGACGGCGGCATCGTCTGTTGGTAACGGCAGCGGGAGTGCTGTGGCAGCTGACGAAGCGTTTGGCCGCTCGGCCGTCCCACGGCTCGGCACTCTAGTGCTCCCCGGCCGCACGCCGGTCCCAACACCGAACTTCTTCCCTGTCACATCGCGCGGTGCCGTGCCGCACGTGACACCAGACAACGCCGTCCGCACCGGCCTCGTCAACGGCGCATATTTTGCGCTGGAAGACTGTGAGTACCTCGTGCAGGGTCCAACTATATATTTTGTGCCCGTCGTTCCATGCTAATCGCCAGTCGTCGAGAATATTCCCCTGCATCCCGGCCGCGCGCCTCCCATCTACTCGACCCCGTCCACCTCAGCCTCGCCATCTTCTCCCTCGTCATCATCTTCCTCCTCCTCCTCCTCCTCCTCCTCTACGCCCCGACTGCACACATTTACAGCCCTCCCTTCCTCGTCCATATCTGTCCTCGCACCCCGTCGACATCCAGCTGCTGCCTCCCATCTCGGCAACGGCCCCAGCCACATCTCCATTGTCACCTCGACCGGCTTCCAGAAGCTGACCCTTAACGCGTACCATGCCGCCATTGACAACCTGCGCCCCGACATTGCCGTGCCCATGGCGGACCTGACATACGGCGGCGGCACCATTACTCACATGGCAAACAACACGCCCGCAAAATCATCCGTCTCGGATTATGTGTCCGTGCCGCACCCGGCGGCGAAGCGTGGCTACCGCATGGCCGAGCGCACCGAGGACTGGATCGACCAGGTGGAACGGGACGGGGTGGCCGACGCGACTGGGATCGCGCTGTTTGCACCGACGCTGCCCGTTCCGTACGCTACGCAGTGGCAGTACCTCAACCGGCTGGCCGAGTTGGCAAGAGCAGGGGAGGCGGACGAGGCTGTTGGCAACGGTGGTGCCGGTAAAGCAAGACCCACCGTCGCTGGCCTGGCTGTTTATGATGTCGATCTTCTGCCCGACCTGCACGCCGACTACGCCGACACCCTGGTGCCCCTGCCGCGCCTGTCTCTGCACCCGGCTGTGACGCCGCACCACATCCTGCGCCAGGTCGGACTGGGCATTGACATCATGCTGTTGCCGGCCGTCACGGACGCTTCCGAGCAAGGACTCTCCTACACCTTTTCCTGGGCGGCCACCGACGTCGGATCCGGCGAACAGCAAAATGTGGCGAGCGGCGAAAGCAGCGCCGCCCGGCTGCCCCTGGCCATGGACCTAACGGACCCTGTGTTCAAGGCCGACACGCGGCCCCTGCGGCCCGGCTGCCCCTGTGGCGCCTGCACGGCGCACCACCGCGCGTACATCCACCACCTGCTGGACGCCCGCGAGATGCTTGCCTGGACGCTGCTGCAGGTGCACAACCACCACGTTATGCGCGAGCTGTTTGCGGGCATCCGTGCGACCCTGGCCGACGAAGGCGTCGCAGGCTTCCAGCGCCGGGCACGGCAGTTTCAGACGCTGTATGAGACGGACATGCCGGTCGGACGGGCGACACGGCCTCGGCTCCGGGGCTACCAGGTCAAGACGGATGGCGTTGTGGAGGCCCCTTTGAACAAGCCTCAGTGGGGCCGTTTAGAGGAGGTCCCACCCACACCGGCCGGTGATACCATGGCGGTGGACGCGTAAGGAAACGGTCAGTGACGAATGCAAAAGAACAATAATGTGTTGTTTGAAAGACGCGGTAATGCATGGAGTTACGGGGGGAATCCTTGGGTTATAGACATGCATAGAAACAAAACGTTTTGCGAAAAATGGTACGAAATATCATTATAAAATTTGTGTGCCTGCCGCCCGTTCACATATCCTATCTAGTCGTTTGATCCCCTTCACTGATGGCCTATGATGCCGGTTCGGCCTCTTGTAGGTCAATCACCTTCTTCACCTTCTTCTTTTTGGGCTTGACTGCAACAGGTGCGCCAGCTTCACCGCCATCACCAGCACCGTCGACGGCTGTGGTGGCCTTCTTTTTCTTCTTGGGCTTCACCACCACGGCCCCGCCTTCCGCTCCATGGTCGGCGCCGTTGCTGTTGTCGTTGCCGTTCGCATCGCCTTCGGTCATCTTTGTCGACTTCTTCTTCTTGGGCTTCTTGGCCACGACTTCCGCACCCTCGAGCGACACGCCGTGCGCCATCTGCACGCGCTCGTTAGCCCGCTGCATCTCCAGGCGCCGCTTCTCAACTTCCTTGAGCGCCTGGGCCATCTCAGCATCCGCCCGCTTCTGACGCTCCAGGTCGTAGACGCTGGCGCTGCCGCCCGCACCTGCCCAGGAGCGGGAGCTGCTGTGCCCCGGGCCGCCACTGGTGCCACTGGTGCCATTGTCCTCGAGGCTCAACATCCCAATGTGGCTCGAGTCGACGTGCAGAAGCGAGTGCTGCTTGGCGCTCTTCTTGGCCCGCTGTGGCTTGGCACCGCTGTCGTTGGACCCGGTCTCCGACTCGTAGTTGCGCGGCGTAGACCGTCCACTTGTGCCGCTCAGCGTCTCGTCGGCGGCAATGACGATCCGAGGGCGGGAGCTGAGTGACTTTTGCGGCTGGTGCAGTTGTTGTTGTTGCCGCTGTTGCTGTTGCTGCTTTTGCAATTGTTGTGCGGCCGACAGCGATGCGGCTGCTGTCTGACCGCCACCGCCGCTGGTTCCGAGATTCTGGAGGTCGAGCTGCATCACAGGGATCGAGTCGATATCCAGATCCTCACCGTTGTCGTTCTTGAGAATGTCATGGATCGGTGTCGAAGTGTCTCGTGTTGGGAGGCGGGAAGCATCGGTGGACGGGATGTAAAAGGGATCATCGCGGTTGCGCTCTTGTCGCTCGGCACGCCGCCGTGCCAGAATGTCGGCATCCAAGTAGGCTTCTTCATCGGGCCGCTGCTGGTACAACAACGACGATGAGGCAGCCGGTTCGGACACATCCTGTAACCGGTTGATGGCCGGCTCGGCCGACGACACGTGCGTAGCAGCTGGCTTGTTGTTGTAGTACGAGTCGAATTCGCTCTCTTCGGCGGACACGGCCGCCGCACCAGGCAAAGCCGCCAGATAATCGGCTTCGGCCAAAAGTTTGTTTAGGTTCGGGTGAATGGGCTCGTCCAGATCCAGACCGGACGGCATTGGTACATTGTACTGTGCGGCCGCCGACACCGAGTTGAGTTCCCAGCCGCGGAACAGAGACGGAATCGCCTCCGTGAGCAGGAGCGGCGCGTCCTGCTGCACCTCATCGGTCGAAACAGGCTGTGCGGTGACCGCCTCGGCAGCCAGTTTGAGCAGCTCCGAAAACTCCACAGCGCGCTCCTGCACCTCCAACTGCGGGTGCTGGGCCAGAGGCTCCATGGCGTGCACGAGCCGCGCCAGCAGCAGCGCGATGTTGGACTTCCGCTCCGGTGTCCAGCCGAGGTCGAGGTTGTGGGCCTGGCCGTCGCTGACGACAAACGCGAACAGCTTGACAACAGCCTGCAGGCACGTGGCGAGTACGTCTGCGAAGCGGATGCGCGGCAGCAGCTGCAGTAGACACGTGAGCGTGTCGTCGGCGGACAGCAGGTACAAAGCATACTCGCCAGTCATCCAAGCGAGCGGCTTCAGCGCAGTCGACATCACCTGCGCGCCCACGGCAGCTGCCGAAGCTGCCTCAGAGCTCAGCTGGACAATGACCTCGTCGGCCGCCCGAACAGCAGCAGGACGGAGTGCGTGCACCTTGACAGCGACATTTCGCAGCTCGCTGCCAATCTTCTCGGAGACGTTGGCGGCGGCCGCTGACCCGGACAATGTGCCAAGGGCGCCACCGTCGCTGTCGCTGTCGCCGTCTGCTGCTCTTGGCGATGGTGCCGTCCGTAACAGTTGCGTCAGGATATCAATGTACCAGTCAAAGTCGGTGAGATTGCTGTAGTTGTTCTGCGAGCACATGGCGAGGATGCGGTGGATGACGTCGATCTTGTAGTCTTCGGGCAGGGGTGTCTCCTGGTTCTTGTTCTTGGCAGGCGGACGCGCGCCTTCCAACTCGTCGTCCGATTCGGCGCGGAACTCCATCTGGCGCACCTCAATCTGCTTGACCGGCTCGGCCGAGGATGCCTGCTTCAGCTGGCGCATGAGACGGCCGACAATCGAGACCAAATTGTCGCTACTGACCATGTCCTGGACGAGATCGAGAGCCTTGATGCGGATGCTGATGTCCGGGCTGTCGATGCACTCGAGAATGACGTCTTCTTGTTGTGCCACCAAGTACGGATGCGTCGCCACGATTTTGTTAAAAGCGAGGAGCGCAACGTATTTTACTGTTTGGTTAGTCGCTGTACCTGTGCAACTGTTGATTCTCCATTTATGCGTGAGATACTCACAGTTTGTATCGTTTTCAATCATCATCATGCCCCGCAGTTTCGTCACGCACAGCGACGCAATCTCTTCACGGCCCGACGAGTCGTCATCGCTGCCGAGGATGCCGCCCTGGATGATGCCGTTGATGCACTCGTAGAGGAGCGACATGGCGGGTGTCGTGCGGATGAAGTCGGTCAGCGGCGGCAGCAGCTTGCGGACGAGACGCGGCTCGAGCGGCGTCAGCGTTGCAAACAGCTTGATGAGCTTGATGGCCATCCAGTTGTTGTTGGTGCCGACGAGCAGCTCAAACAGACGCGGGGCCAGCGGCAAGAAGTCGTGCGGCCGGCGCCATCCTAGCTCGCAAATCACATTGACGATGGCGGTCGTGACGCTGGGGTCTTCTGCCGGGTCCATGAGACGCTCCTTGATCTTGGGCCAGGCGGCACGCAGCGTCTCGGGATAGACGAGGGCCATACGATAGAGCGTGACGATGGTCTTTTTGCGGATGACGCGGTGCGAGTGCGTGAGGCGTGGCAACAGATCCGGCAGCACGGACAGTGCCAGCGAGGGCGTGATGATGTGTGGCAGCGTGGCAATCGGCAGCTGGATGGCAATGGGCGACGTGGCGCTCAAGTCCTTCTTGAGCAAGTTGGTGGCCAGCATCAGCACCTCGGTGTCGGACCGGAAGCTCTGCACGGCGGCCAGGTAGCCGATGCGCTTCTGCTGCAGCTTCTGGGACGACATGACCTCGAGCACGTGGAACGAGGCCCAGGACATGTCGTGGCCGACCATCTCGAGGTAGACGAGCTTGAGCAGGGCCGTGGCCTTGACGTCCATGTCCTGGCTGCGCACTTCGGCACGGCATTCCTTGAGGCAGTTTTGTATGTATGCCTTTTCATTGCCCTTGTGGTGCCGCAGGCCGCGGATGAGGTCGAGCAGTGATTTTTCAAACCTGGTATGTCAGAAACAAGAAACAAAGACAAAAAAAGGTCCATACTTTGACTGAACTCACATCTTGCCTCTGCCTGGCGGTAGGCGCTCCCACCCCCCAACAACCGACTACGTATATGCAACGTCCTCGTCTCCTCCGGTAGCCGGTAGTCCCGTGTGCACTGGGCGTAGCGTTTTAGGTCGTCGGCCGTCGTGGCAGCGCCAGGAACGTGGAATGGGATCGTGATCTAGGAAAAGGAGAACGGCAGTCGATGCGGCACGGCGACAGCATGCATCTTGGAGCGGGCAGGACTGGGGCGAGCTACAAGGCGCTGGGTGAGCCCGGTGCGGGAAGAAGGACGCTCGTGTGTGGTCGCGTGTTGACTGGGTCGCGGATTGTCTGTGTCGAGATCGTGGTGGGCGGAAACCAAGAGCTCGTCATCAACCGAATAGAGGGCCGTCTAGAGCTGCGCTGGTGCTGCTGCCGTAATGGTGGTGGGATGCACCCCACGTTTATTCTTGTTGACGACGGACGGACAGTGCGGTGTGCACATGCAGGAAGGTATGGCCCACTAATTGTACGTAGCGTACCATCTGCGCACTGTCCTTTACGCACGGACCAAAATACTGCCGCTAAGCGGGCGGTGACAGCGCTGTGAGGCAGGCGCAAACCCCCTATTATCGCGATACGTAAGATATGCTAATCAGCGCTGTTATTGGGCTACTGTTACTGGAAGGAGCAGTGCTTGGCTGGCGAAAAGCTTCATCGAAAGCTCACCTCGTCTTCACGAATACAATCGACATTACCCCAGCCTCCCATCCCAGTTGTGACGGGACCAAACCTCGATCAATCGACTTCGACCAGCCTACCGTCTTTTCTCCGAAACGCCATACGAATGGCGTCCCTCTTGCACCCGCCGAGCCACCTCACGCCGGCCGAGGCGCTGTCGCTGTCGCAGCGCGCGCCGGCCGTGCTGAAGAGCCTGCCCAGCAGAGTCGGTGCATCGGCTCTGGAGTCGCTTGTGTCGCCCATTGAGAGCCCCGAGGTCTGGCTGTCGTACGAGAACCTGCTCATCTCGTGCCTACGGACGGGCGATCTCGAGTCGGCACGGGAGTGCGTCCGGCGGCTTGTGCAGCGGTTCGGCGACGACAACGACCGGGTCATGGCCCTGCAGGGACTGGTCCAGGAGGCCGAGGCAAATGACGATGCGAGCTTGCGGGCGGTGCTCAAAGGCTACGACGACATTCTGGCCAAGGACAATACGAACGTGGTGAGTCGATGACAGCGTCTGAGGGGGAGAGCCATCCAAAAGGCCAGGCAAAAACGTGTGGCGGCGCTGACCAAAAGAAGCCCATTCATAAACGGCGGGTCGCTTTGCTGCGGTCGACCGGAAAGACCGCCGAGGCTGTGGCCGGCCTGACTGCGCTGCTCGACTTTTCGCCCACGGACGCCGAGGCCTGGGCCGAGCTCGCCGACGTCTACCTCGAGCAGGGGCTCTACGCCCAGTCCGTCTATGCGCTCGAGGAGGTGCTCCTGCTGTCGCCGAATGCGTGGAACATACACGCGCGGCTCGGCGAGATTGAGTACATGGCGGCGTCGACGGCCGCCGGCGGCAGCGATGCGGCCACACAAAAGTACGCGGCCGAGTCGCTCAAGCGGTTCTGCCGGAGCGTCGAGCTGTGCGACGACTACCTGCGGGGCTTCTACGGCCTCAAGCTGGTGACGTCGTTTGTGCTCAAGAACGCGGGCAAGTGGCCTAGGCAGAAGAACGACAGCGCCCACAGCGGCAGCCGTGACGGCGCAGAAGACTTTGCGCTGCCGGACACGGCGACCGTCGAGCGTCTGGGGCAGCTGGCCACAGAGAAGCTCTCGGAGATTGTGCGGCGGTACACGGCCAAGGAGGCGCGCTGGAGTGGATACGACGCGGCCGAGATCGCAGCAGCACGGGAACTGCTGGCGGGTGAGGCGGCAGCGGTTGTACGATAGTCGTACCTCTGTGGTGTGCTTGTTTTCTTGTTTCGTGTCTTTTTTTCTCGTACCTTTTTAGCTGTGCATGCGATCATCGAGCCCGGGACTGGTGGGGCCTCTCTTTTTTCATTCACACCCTCGTTAAATACACTCGACGACGTCCTTTGGCATCGATTTCCAGCATCTGTTCGGCCGCCTCTGCTTGCATACGTGCCCAACGAGTGTGCATGCCGGCTTGGACGTGCATGATAAGGTTAAATCGGGAGGGGGTTTTGCCGCGGTGGCGAAAACGTTCATACGGAGCCCTATAGGGCGATGGAATGGACAGAAGACGACGGAGGATTTGGGCACCGGCCATTGGTGTTGACATTGGGCCGCGGTTGGGTTGTTTTGCTGCCCAAATACTACGGCATATCGTGCAACACACACATAAGCATGAACGTACGCCACGACGAACGTTCTAGAGCCGCATACGTCTTGTCACGTACCGACAGACTTTCATGTTGGCAAAGGGGGCGGTGTGATATTTGAATGATACAATGTGAATTTGTCAAAATAAATCTTCGTAATAAGCAAAACGGCACAAACGAGAAATTAACATTTATAGCGATTTTGCATAAAATGCATCCAGTATGAGAGTTCATAAAGTGATAGATCTCTTTCCAAACACTGCCGTCTTAAAAGTAGGGCACAGCAATGTGCTCGTCCATTAACTTGCCCAGGCTCTCAATAAAGAAGCTGGCAATCACCGCCGTCACACCAAAGGCAATAGAGATGAAATAAACACGTGGGAAGGCGCCTCCAAAGGCATCCACGACCGCGTGGTGCAGCGTGTCAATCTTGTCTGGCGTGTCCAGCGCACTGATGGTAGGGGCCCATAACTTGTATGGCATCGACACCAGCGTGGGCATCATGTTCTGGAGCGTCGGAATGTCAAAGATGCCCGCGTTGATGGCAACAGGGATGACGAGCTTCAGCGTCCTAGCCGTGAGGACGGACACAAACTGCGTGTAGAAGGTGCTCAAGCCAACGACCTGGCCGACGGCGCGCAAGCAGACGGTCAGGCTGGTGGCCGTGGCAATGAGATCGTCCGGGCAGATAACGGTGATGATGATTTGGTTGGGGATGAGCACACCGCCCACACCCAACAGGCCCAGGACCAAGGGCGCCCAAATGGTGTTGATGTTGTACGGGTCCGCGGCGGCCATGGAGCCAATGGCGACGACTTGGACGATGCAGAACGTCGACATGATGAGACGCAGGTGGGACTTGAACCGTGACACAATGACGGCCGAGATGAGTGCGCCGCCCAGAATACAGAAACCAAACGGAAGCGTGCGGATGCCAAGCTCGATCCGATCCGAGTCGTAGACGGCGACGGCCTGCAGGACCCAGAAGAAGAGCACCGGGATGTAGTTGATGCCGGCCATCGTAATGACGACCATGAGGGCGATGAATGTGCGGGTGTGGCGCATGAGACGGCGGGGGAACATGGGGTAGGGCGCCCCATAGGCCTCGTACAGGCAGAAGATGACAATCAGGGCGCTGCCAATGGTCAGGAAGGCGATGACACGGGCCGCGTGCCACGGGTACTGCTGGCCGCCCCAGTTGAAGCCCACCAAAAACATGACGAGGCCGGCGGTCATGAGGAGGCCGCCCACAAAGTCAATGTGCTTGATCTTGTCGGCCGTGGTCATGCCGGCGGCGTTGGTGCGGGGCGGCGGATTGTAGAAGCAGAAGATGAGAATGGCCGTGACAAAGTTCCAGAGGGCGACGAAGCAGGCACAGTAGCGCCAGCTGTACTGGGCAAGGAGCACACCGTACAGCGAGCCGGGAGCAAACGGCAGGAAGCAGGCGACCATGATGGCGACGTAGTAGCCGCGGTAGCGGGTGGGCACAATCTCGACAATGGCCGTGATGGCCATGAGTTCCTCTGCGGCGATGCCAATGCCTGTGAGGACCATGCCGGCAAGGTAGCCGGCGGCGGTCGGTGTGGCGGCGGCCACGATCATGCCGACCATGGACGACAGCACGCCGGCCAGGGCGATGGGCTTGCGGCCCAAGAGGTCGGCCAGCGGCCCGATGAAGGGCGCAATGACACCGATGGCGACATAGGGCGTGCAGAAGAACCAGATAAGCAAGTCGTGCGAGTTGAGGCTGGCAGCAATCTCTGGGACAATTGACGAGAAGACCAGCGGTTGGACCTGCGAGCCGATAAAGGCCATGCCGAATCCAACCAGCAGGAGGATGAACCGGATGTCAGACAGCTAGTGACGGCAAGGTCAGCTCGCGTTGACAATGATGCAAGAATTCACGAATTCACACAATAAAGAAACGAAACATACCCTCGGCCGGTGGCTGGCTTCCGTATCTTCAACCACACCCTTCTCTTCGACATTGCTTGTCTGCGTTGCAACATTGTCAATTTCCTCCAAGACCGCCACGGCGTCCTTGTTCGAGTGGTCGCTCATTGTGACGTGTGAGTGAAGGATGCCGATGATGAATTTGAATTGGGTGAAACTCGCTGTGATACGGGTCGATGTTCGTTGCTCGTTGTTCGATGGTCGATGGATTTCTTCAGCAAACAAGAGTCAGAGAGCCAGATCCAGACACCGTTTTGGCTAACCGAGCACAGAATCCATTGGCTCGACCACGCGAAGTGTCTCAAAGCGACGGATATGGGTTTATTTGTACTCAGCTGAGACCTGCATCTGGATCGGGGACCGTCGCAGGCCCGTTGGACCTGAGTTGGACGGGGCCAGCCCTTGGAACGGCACAAACATCCCGTAGCGCAAGGAAGACCCTATTCTGTGCCATATTGTCGGCTATGGGAACCAACAATGGCCAAAAGCGTAACAAGTACGATTAGAGGCACACTGGTAGTCACACGAGTGGTGCAGAGCAATGGACTCAGGACAATGGAATCGTGACAGGGAGCGGCGGGCAGGGATAGTCGTGTACTTTCCTAATCTGGATATAATCAAAGAGGGAAACCGCCACCCAGAATGTCGTCCGCCCCTTTGGCATCGACCATGCCCAGAATCGGTCCTCAAAGAACAGCTAGACCTCCCTCCTCTTGGCACAGGAAAGGCCTCGGAAGTACGGCCTAGCTGCACTCCCCGCATTTTACCAGCTGGCTCTCCTGTGCGATGTTTTGTTCGATGGTCGAGATGGGCAAAAGTCAACAATAGCTCAAAGGTCCGTAAAATCCTCGAGATCGAAACGCGGGGAAAGCACCACCCGGAAACACTAGTCCCCTCCCACGACGGGGCTCTTTCCCAAAGTGTCGTGAACCGCCTCCTTTCCACCGCTCTATTTATTGTGCTTGCACCTTCCTAGGCGCTCGCGGGGAGAATGAATCTCAAAGGACCGTAGCGGGGAAAGAGCGCCAGCCATTTTGCGGGGAAGGTTCAACCTTCATGTGAAGCAAGCAATCGAGAACCAGTATGATGTCTCCAGGATTTGCTTCGGCGCGCTGTGGTGCATCACATGCGGTTGTTTACCATGCATTGTGTTGTCATTGGGCTCGACCGTCTCGACTGAGCCGCGGTCCTTTTTGTTAGCTTTTTGGCCACTTTGTCGCCTGCCGCTGGATCGCCAGCCACTGGACCATACTTTTGTGATTTCCATTCCGTCTATTACTTGGTAATGAATGGGCCTACTTTGCGGTGTCTTTCTGTCGGTTTTCGTTGCATTTCGCTGCTTTTCGCCGCGTGTGATACGCACTTCTCTCTTGGTGATACTAGTCGACGTGGAGGACCAGGTCAAGAGTCGATAGCTATCGTCAACTAAAACACAAAACAAACGTGGCTCGTGCCTGGATCTGACGTATTTGATACGACTGCATATATAGCTTCTACGGAGAACTCCGTTGATTTAAGCATCTCACTCACCCGCAAGTAAGCGACGTGTAGATTGCCTCTTGAGGTTCCGCATATCCCCAGTACTATTGGTACTCGGCACCGTCAACTGGAGGATAGATAAGCAGAACGGTCCACCTGAGACGACATCTCGTGTTTTGAGGGGCGATACGGTCACAGCCTGGCCCGGCTGCTTTTACTCACGGCCTCGTCCCAGACCCGAAGGAGGGCCTGGCCAACATTGTCACAGCCGGGAAGCATCCCTTCCGGCACTGCCTCGTCTGGGTCCATTTGCACGAATTCGTTCGCCTTGGATCTGTCGCCGGAGTGCCAACCGTGCGGCTTCTTCTGCGTCATATCCAGCTGAACGCGTGCTCCGTCCGCTTCCGCCTGGCGAATAAACGTCTGGATGTCATCGAAGAACATGTCGTGTTCGCCTACATTGATCCACGTGAAGGACGGAAGAATCTGGTTCCAAGCCAGGGGCGTCGCGCCTTTGTCCTTGGTTGGCTGGCGCGTCAGGTCCACAAGCTCCAACTGGTCCCAGTTGACGCCCTCGTAGATGTTGGAGCCCGTTCCTGCTCCTGCTCCTGCTCCTGCGTCTTTACCAAGCACCTCTGCGGCACAGCGGTCCAGCAGTGACTTGGTGAGCACGTCCTTGTACTTGTTCCGCTCAAAGGACGGCGACGAGTTCGTCAGGCTGATCCAAGGGAAGAGCAGGAGCGAGGCCGCCGGTGTCGGAAGCTTTGCCTGGGCAATGCCCATCAGGCACGTCAGGGCCAGGTGCGCGCCCGCCGATTCGCCGCTCACGACAATCTGGTCGGGCGAGACGCGCTCGACATCTAGCAGATACCGGTACGCCGCCACCGCTTGTCGCTGCTGCAGGGGAAACGTGCCTGTTGGCGCCAGCGTGTAGCCGACGGTGAAGATGCTGACATTGACGCCGCGCGCGGCCGCGATCTCGGCGGCCCTCAGCAGAAGCAGCGTCGAGCCCAAAGGTTCGCCATACACATAGGCGCCGCCATGCAGGTAGAAGAGCACGAGGTCGCTCTCGCGCGGGTCTGGATGCTGCTTCCGCGGCGGCTGTGACGAGCCGCGCGGGCGTCCCTTGCAAACCCAGTAGGCCGATCCCAGCCCAGTCGAGACCTTGGTGCAGAGCTGGCGGTCGTAGTTCCTGAAACGGGGCGCCGCCAGCACAGACTCGACATCAAACGGTGGGCGGCGGCCATGCAAAAGGCGCAACGGCAGGGTAGTGGCTCTAGCAGCAAGGGTTAGTAACGACAAGGCTAATAGTTTGAGCAAATCAGTAATAAAAGGGAGACGATGTAGCACACACCCGCGAACAATCGATCGTTGCAGATCCCCCGGAACGTCTGAGCGAGGCCCCAAAAGTTTGCGCAGGATGAACAAAGCCAGGATCTTGGGTAGTAGGGAAACGACGGCGCCAATAAACAACAGCCTGGTAAAGACGGTCGACCTTGTAGCACGATGGGCTACTTCTTCAGATTGGCTAGGCTCCATGGGCTACTGCTAATGAGGCGAATCGAGCCAAGGGCCGCTTACAAAGGGAGTCGAAAGTACGCTGGTCTGGGTTCGTCGACAATAAAGGGGTGTGCGTGCACATAGCCATTGATCTAACGTCGTTTTCTTTGGTCTCTGTGTGCTATTCAAACACAATCGAGGCTTTATATAAGAAGGACCGGAATTCGAATGGTGCTGCCTAATGTCCCACTACGGAGTTTTTAGTATTCTGCGGCTCCTGTTTTGCTGGCAGGACGTCGCCGACTTTCCTAAATCCGTGCTTAGCTTGCGAGCGTGTCAGTGGCCGGTCAGCTCTTGGCACTCGGGGCAGATTTGACCGTCTTTTGAACAGCCAGGGACGCCAATGCCATATTGCAACAGACCAACTTTGTGCCGTGCTCGTTAGAGTACTCATAATACCAACGGCACATAAACAACCTCTCCACGGAAAATCTACTGGAAATTGTAACAACTCTTGTTAGATGGTTATGTAGAAATGCGGCTATGGAGCCATTCGACCACATGTCGAAAGGTCTCTTCGGGCTCAAGAGCGTTGAGCAGTTCGTGGTAACCGCCTTCGATAGAAAACAGCTCCTTGTCTTGAGATGCAATCTTGTCCACGAAACTCTGGCACTGCCGATGCTCAGCGCGAGAGTCGGCAGTGCCGTGGATCGCCAGCGTCGGAGCCGTCCATTTGTCCACCGCCGCCCACACGAGGTTGACGACTTTCACCGCGGTCGACGCGACAGAGAACGAAATACCGCTTTTGTACTTCATAGGGTCTTCCACCAGGATCCGGACCTGCTCCTGGTCGTGGCACAGCTCGTCCAGTGGCGGCCCGGGAAGCGGGACCTTGGTTTTCGGCACGATGCTGGCGACCACCTGGAGCGCAGCCTGGCCCAGTCCGGACATGGCAGCTGGCAGGACCGGGCTGGACAAAACGACACCAGCGATGTCGTCGGGCGACGAGGTGACACTGCCCGCCGTGACGAGGCCGCCGAGCGAGTGGCCAAACAGAAAGACGGGCAGCCCTCGCTCGGCGGCGCGCTTTCGAACCTCGAGGTGGTGCCTGACTGCCATCACCACATTGACCATTCCGCGGTCGCCCGGGGATCGTCCGTGGCCATAAAAGTCGAGCGCCCACACCTCAAAACCTTCCGCCTGCAGCTTCGGGATCAGTTTGTAGTGTGATGAGAGGTAGCGCTCGGCATATTCGCCGAAACCGTGCTGCAGAACGACCACAGCGCTCGTGGGTGTGCTCGCGTCGCAGGACCACTTGTGGACCACGACGTCCTCGGGCGCGATGGTGAACCGGTCGTATGTCGCTGATGGGACAGGGCCTGCCGACGCATCGGCAGGGACATCAATCTCGCTTACGGCCATCCCGGCCCAATCTGTGCACCGGTCTTGGTTGCCGAAAAGCGAAATGCGCATCAGAAATGCGCATTACAAGTAATGATCGCCGTCATTTTCTGCGAAAGAGAAAAGAGAATGAGCGGGCATTATTACGTCGCACTGCGGTGCTCCTCCACTACTACCGCCGCAGATGCGGTAAGCGCTAGCTAAGCGCCGAAAGATGCACGTTCCCTCACCTTCCTCAGAAAAACTGGTACGCAGCCAATTCTAAGAAGGTTTCTGCGAGTCGGATGCCATACGTAGTCCTGATTCTGTCCAGCGAGGACGTTGGAGGCTCGACTTGTTCCTTTACGCTCGGCCGACAAGGTGACAAAGCGACCGAGTCAATCTCAGACGCAGCTCAAACATGTGCAGAAGCATGATGGCAGCCAAGATGTCGTCTCCCCGTGTTTCCGGGCCATTCTTCAACGTCGTTCTCACCGCCGAAAGGGCCGAGACATAATGGTCCATGGCATGAGCATATAGTTCTGGGTCCGTCCGACGGCGAGAATAGCAAAGGCAGGCCGTCGCGAGGGTCGCAGGCCGTAAACCAGAGTCAGAGGATGTCTCGAACAAAAGATCTGACAAGAAGTCCATGTGGCCAATGATGATGCCGGACAGCGGAGAGACGCGGCACTCGCCGAGGAAGTGGCTCAGGGACGCACCATCCCATGCCGGGCGAGGCTGACGGAGGAGAGACGCAGGAGCTTCGGTCCCATTGTCCCGCATATCCCTTTGTGTGTTGGAGGTCGGGGTGGTCATCACGAGAGCATTGGCACGGATAGCCAGCGTGCTCGTCGAATTGTCGGGGTGGGGGTACTTCAATCGTCAACGTCTGCGGCGGCGACAGCGGACGCACCACAGAAAACGTACCACCGGCTCGGTAGATGAGGGTGATTCCTTAACTACTGTAGACTTTGTCAAGACGGCTGCGTACGGTCCATCGGGGAATCGGATATCAAGCGGACGTCCGTAGCCAGGGAACTACCAGCCATATAATGCACAGCGGCGGCAGCCTGGGCATCGTTCATCGCAATGGAGCGAAAACAAAAGGAGCCAAAAATCCGCAACCTTGTCAGAACACGGGGCATCATCAGGAAAAGAGCGATCTTGTGCTTCGCGTGCCAGGAGAGACCGTTGTTACCAATGTTTCAGGGTTCGTGGCCTGCTGTAGTCGTGCTGTGGCCGCAGATAGACATCTCAAAGCGGCAGCCTATTGCGAGAATGGACTGGCTTTGATGTGAGGAGAGTGTAAAAGTCGGACATCAGTATTGCATATTCGGCCCAAAATATCTCGACGAAGACAAAAATCCGGAGTCTCGACTACCAGTATATACAGTGGGCCAGGTGCGAACCATGTAAAATGCCCTAGCGGTCGTTCTTTCCCCAGGTAGCCAACGTCCTCCTCGCGAGGCTGTGCTGTAAATAGACTAGGCCACTTTAGTTTTCGGCTTAGAACTTCTTCTCAGCGCCTTCCCTCACTATCACCAACCCTTTTATCCTATCCGATGTCACAAAACGGCAGTTGGCGAAGACACATTGAGCGCCGGTAAATGGCCAACGAGCTATGGCACTACAATTCTGTTTAACTGAAACTCAACAAACCTCGGGCGATCATTCCCTTTACATGACGGCCACGGTAATCTCCTCGCGATTGCCTCGCTAGTTGTCTTTATCTCATGCCAAGCCACCGTGAACATCGACAAATGACGATTGTCTGCGACGACGGCCTTCCACCGGTGCTGTTTTATTTCTGGCACGGCTGTCGACCCCCCAAAAGTGGCCGTCTATCGTCTCCTCTCCAGCCGTCGTGTTAGTCCTGGTCCCGGTTCCAGTACCATGTGTCTCCCGTCCAACTTCTTGAACGAAGGGTATCTGGTTCCAGAGAGGGTCTCACAGAGAATTTGTATCGCGTCAGAGACGCGATATAGCAAGCTGCTTGACGTTATCGATACCCGTGGGTTGGCTAGTTCTTTTTAGAGCTATCCGTTCTGGCAGCTTCAGCAGGACGACCCCGGCCGCTCATATGGCCGGCTCACGACAACGGCACGGGCCGGTCATGGGTTGGTGACTTTAAGACGACAGCGAGTTGGAGGCCGTTCCACTGTTCCAATCCGGCTGCCAATTAGTGCCCACTTCCGGCCCATGGGTCAGCCCGGCTGCCTGCTCTAGGTGCAACCTCACCACATCATCGACCTGGCATCACACGACAACCACTGCCAAACCTCCGCCACCACTTTCCCGTCCATCAAAACAGCACACAGACAGAGGAAGCACCGAGGCAGCTGTGGCAATTGTGTCTATCAGCAGACATGACACGAAATGCTGATTTGCCAACAGTAAGGCCTGCCTGCGTAGAGCTGCATGAGAGTCCACATGCGATGCCACGCTTGTCCCCCACCTGCTACACCAATGTCGCCCCGCTTCATCTACTGGCACCCAGCTTGTCAAGAGGCTCTTTCGTGTCTCGTGTCATGGTTTACATTTGGCTTTATAGGTCTTTTAGTTCTTTTAGGCTTACGAGGTGCCACAGAAGGTGGGGTGCCACGGACACCTTGGCGCCTTTTGTTGAAGCTTTGTGTGTTCTTCTGTGTTTCTTCTTGGTTCTTTATTGGAACACATAGGGAGTACAAAGAGACGCTTTGACGATAACTGACAACTTGCCTCTTATTTTGGTTTGTTTTCCGGTAAGTTGACTCACTTCGTCCCTGTGCTATCATCGATATGAAGGGTATATCAGACATAGACATGCCCATTGCACGCTTCTCGATCTCGCCAACCTTCATGGTGGCACGAAATAATGCGCTGGGGGATGAAAACGATGCGGCAAATCATGGCTCTTGTTGTCGGCCATTACACAGACAAAAATCATAAACCTATCAGACCGCTATATACTTTTCCTTGGCCAAGTGTGCAGCTGCGTCTGTTTATGTGCTTTGTTTATCCAATACCGTCCCGTTTGTGCAGTTTTTTGATTATATGCACTGCAACCCCCTGTGCATACTTTTGCATTTGAGCCAGGTAAACAGTATTGCTGGAGTTGGTGGTCGCGTTTGTTGATATTGACTTTTGAGTTTTACGTGTAAGGAACTTTTGCCATTGCAGGCGGTTGGAGAGTCTCACTATTATTTGCTGCTGGCGTACAAAGCGGGCAAGAGAAGACCATCCTGAAGTAACGTGCTGATCACGACGCCATGAACGATCACCAACTCGCTCTTTCCGGCCCATGGTGCAAGTCGGCAACAGGTCATGTGCTCTGTCTCTATTTGCTTTGTTTTGATTTTTTTTTTTTGCGCGAGAATTGCCCCGTGTCTTCTGCATGCTGCGGCATTCCGCCTCCCTACCCAACGGCCAGGACGGGCGATGCCTAGCCAACCACTCGGTGCCCAATCATAAGCGCGAACAAATGCAAAGAAACGCAAGCCACGCTTGTATCTTGGTCTGTCCGCCACCTTGAAATGCTTGCACGTATGGTGGGTTGTTGAGGGCTTGTCGGACACCGGGCTGCCATCAAGTCCAACTGCTCTTGCCTATTCTCGCCTGGCTGCTCCGTCCCTCTCCAGTGTAGTTTTCTTGTTGACGCAGGATAGCCGAAACGGGAAGCTGTGTTGGCTGCAAACGCCCCTCGCTCCTGCTGGCGTGTGTACGTGACATGTTTATGGGAAAGTACGATCCGATGAATGCAAGATAGAAACAAGAAGGCGCAACCCAAACCAATGTGTCTTTTGTTTTTTGCCACCCAGGCCTTACACGCCATCGTCCACCTTTTGCACATCGCCAGTGCCTCCATCGCCAACGCCAACTCGCATATCACCACGGTCCAGCCTAATGTCTCCGCCGGTCGTCTCCCCAAATACTACAAGCCTGACAAGACCACGCTCATCGCGTCGACTACCGTAGCCCCACATTCGACCGGGGGCGTTTCAGGGCTGCAACAGCAGCAAAGCGACAAACGGCACAATCATTCTGCCGGGCAGACGAACAAAACACCAGGCCAACGGCAAGCCGAAACGGCGCAGCATCGTGGGAACGTTGGAGTCACTCTACTTTTTCCTCTGCCGTTCTCTGCATGTCATTGCCAGAACAGTGGCATCGATGGTATGACCATGGCCTCTCGTGGCCTGGCCACAAGATCTGCCCTGCGATATCGTGCCATATCTTGTTCCCCTCCAGCGTCGTATTACTTGGCGGCGTCCTGCTGCCCCCGCCCCTCCAGTCTTCTTCTGTGGCTCTGTGGATAGTTTTCATTCCGTTTCCCTTTCTGGAAGGCCAGAATGCCCCTCCTGGCTATCTTTGGCCTGGTCGTCTTTCCACAGCGGAAGACGAGAGATTGGGCCGAAGCGCAAAACGGAACCTTGTCCAAAGACAGAAACTCCCCCCACCAATGCCCTCCGCCCCTCTCTTTCCCTGCTTCCCTGCAAGGTGTTGATCACAAACTGTCTAGACATCGGAAGCAGTGGTCAAAATACTGCAAAATCGAGTCTAGTCCAGCCCAGACCGCTTTGGCCTTGTTGCCTTGCACTCCACCCACCGCCAAATTCCGCCTGTGATGGACATGTCACACATCATAGACACGGACACGCTGCCTGCCAGTCTTTCTGGCAGGTTGGCATGGCAGTCTGGCCAGAGACGGCACCCCGTCAGTACCACAAAGAGGAAGAGGAGGACCATTAGAGGGAATGGCCTCTTGTGTGCTCCATCGTGGTGCCTCAGCTTGTCCCACGACGCACGCAGGCGCAGATGCACGATGGGTGCCCGCATCTACCTCATTTGCCGCCTCCATTTGTGCATAAACCCTATGTCTGGTCACCTTTCCGTTCCCCCATTGCCCACCCGCCTTCTGCCTCTTGTATTTTTCGCCTGTACAGCGTACAGCAGCTGATATTGCACTAGTCGGTCTACCTACCGTCCCGTGCAAATGGGAAAATGGACGAGAACGAAAATCAAATAGGAATAGGAGAAGAGCCCTTGCGTCTCCGATGCACATGGTTGCCCCCCTCCCTTGCCGGCCTTGAGCTGACAGCTTTAGCGTGCAGGAGGCCCTGTAACAACAGCCCGAGTTGCACCAGGCAAGTCGACAACTGTGTCTGTTTGGTCACTCGGACACTCAAGATTCCCACACCATCGAATTCGTCCGAAAGAAGGGGGACATGGCGAAGTGCCCGTGGCCACCATTTCTAGACCATCAGGGCTCCCACCGCCGTTCCCACCGCCGTTCCCACCGCGAAACGGCACATCGAAAAACACAGAAATCCTCAGAAATTTCTCTTCCCAAGGCAGCACCTCCCCCTTGCTCTCCTAGTCGTCGCTCTCACCCTCTCTCTCCGTCATACGCTCCTTCAGTCCCTGTATAATATCTCCTCCGCGCCCGCATTCCCCCTTCTAGCCTTCTCCCGTCCTTTCCTGGTTTCCTTCTGCCTCTCTTTGTGACTGTCAGTTTGTCACAGGAAGAGGTTGATTTCGCTGCAAGTCCGCCGTTCCGCCACAAGTCCCCAACCACTACACAACTCGACGACGAGGAGGGGGAGAGAAAAGGCGACTTTCTTTGCAGGTCCAGTCCGTCTGCCGCTGTCCTGTGGCATCGATTTCGCTTTCATACCGACGGCGACGACGGCGACGATACCGCACCCGTATGTCCCAGTCCGATTGGCAACCGCACAACCTTTTGCAGCGAGAGATTCTCTGTTGCCGCAGCTGTCTCGGCCAGTACGAGTGCGTAGTTTTATTACCCGGCATTCCTCAGGACCTCCCAGTTCTAGCAAGTTCTGCCAGCCTTGCCCACCATTTTCATTCCCTGCCCTCTCACCGCAAAACAAAATCCGCTCGGGACTGGACCACCTTGGCTTTGCCATTTGGCTGGGCAGCACCTATTCCCTCTCGTTCCCTCTTGCCCTTTTACGATCCCTGTCGCGCCCAATCCCATCTTTCTCTTCATCTTTTTACTGTTTGTTTTGTCTGCCCTCGTCTCCACTCTCCATTTTCCCCCTGCCTTACCAGTTATTACGAGTCAACTTGTCACCGCAACTGCGAAAAGGTGCACTTCAGCCCCATCAACTTTAAGGCCCAATCGCCAGTGCGGAGCGGATCAAAGAAAGCGGACTCTGCCTCTGCATGTTGGCTGGGTTGGCAGGGTTTCTGAAATACCCACAGCAAGCCGCAGCACTGCAGCACGACAGAGTATTGCTCGCCTGGGCCGGGGCCTGGCCTTTTCCTCTGCAATCTCCATTCATCGCTTTAAATACCAACCCTTGCCCCATTCACAGAGGTGATGTTTTGGCGCCTCCTTTTTTGCAGCGCTCACCATCCAACAGCCCGTTTTTGTCTGATCACCAGAGAACACATTCTCTCACGCCTTTCGCCCCTGTCACATCCCTACCAACACAGAAACCAAAACAACAAATACTCGGGCGCATCCGCTAATCCAGACACTATCGCCCGTTAGCACAAAGATTCGTCCGGCTGTCCACAAAAACTGAACACGCTACCAATCCGACGTGCCGTCCCCTGGCCCCTATTGAGACTAGATTGAAAAACGCGACAAAACAAACACCAAGTCCCCCCCCCCTCTTTTCTTGGATCACGCCCCTCCGCCAATTCCGTTTGTTTTCGACTCTCTTAGGAAACCGACCATCGCTCATTTTCTTGCCAGGTCGCTCAACTCGTCTCTCGAAAGCACGCCTCCACAAAGCGCAGAACATCGACTGTTCGCACACCGGACGATTCTCGAACAAACCGCAGAAGTCCCAACGTTTGTCAGTTTATGCGCACAATTGCTACGGGCCGTCCCATTGTAGTTCGTCGCAAGTGACAGGCTTTTTCCACGATTCCTCGTCCCAATGTCGTAAGTTCAATATGCTGTGAATGAAAACGTAAAAACAATGACAAAATGGAATTAGAGCATTCAAGGCAAAGGGCCTTGTTTGTCACCTGTTGATCAGACGGTGCTGATAATCATACAACATAAACAGACATATACGCACAAGCAACTCCGTCGACCACCATTCTACCGGTTCATCGCGCGAATCAGACTCCATCACCGACGACGATAGCTCCCAGGGCTCATACGACTCTCCCTCGCAAAGTTGGGGCGAGGACTACGGCGATCTCGAACCTTCCGACTCAGCCTCGGCCAGCGGCGAATACCAACACCACCACGATCACCAGCGCAGAGCACCTGTCCGGACCGCCTCGCGCAAACACTCGCGTACCCAGCGTCAACAACAAAGCATCCCATACCGGACAGTCCAGGCACCGCCACAACCAGCCATGAGCACGGAACCGTCCGAAGAGTACGCCACGTATAGGACTCGTGGCTACCCCCAGCAGGGCACCAATGGGTACTATGCGCACCACGCGCAGAGTCACGTCGGCGGATTCACGCCTCCCTATGGCGGCAGCCGTGGACAAGTGGTCCAGTACGGCAATTACCAGAACCCCTTCACAAGTGGCCCAGCTTATTACAACGAGCGCCCGGCAGGCTATGACATGGTCCCCTACCAAAACAACTTCTTTGGCGCCGGACAATACGGCGTGCCGATGCCCCCGTATATGTACAACGCGCCTCCTCCGCCACCCACCGAGGCGCCAGGCCAGTCACACACCCCAGCACCCGCAGAAAAGAAGCCTGATCCAGAAGTGGAACGGATGAAGCAACAGCTTGAAATTCTCCAATTGGAGAAGAAGGCTAAGGAAGAGGAGATCAAGCAGAAGCAACTACAGGATCAGATGCGGCAGGCGGCCGAACTGGAGTTTGAGCGCCGCATGGAGCGCGCCCGCAAAGAGGCGGACGAGCAGAAAAAGGAGCTTGACAAGGCCAAGGCCGACGCCGAGCGGGATGCTCGTGAGCGCATGGAGGCCGAACGAAAAGCCGACGCGGAGAAGAAAGCACAACAAGAACAGGCCATCGCTCGCATCGAGGCGGAGGCCCGTGCCAAATTTGAAAAGGAACGCCGCGACGAGGAAGAACGGGTCAAGAGAGACGCCGAGATTGCTGCCGCCGCCGAAGCTGCTCTGAAAGCCAAGATGGAGGCGGCCGAGGCTGCAGCCAGAGCAAAGGCGGCCGCCGACTTCAAGGCGGAGATCGAGGCGAAAGAAGCCGCCGAAAAGAAGGTGAAGGAGGAGATAGAATGGCGCAAAAAGCTCGAGGAGGAAGCCAAGCTCAAGGCAGAGATCGAAGCGCGGACGAAGCTAGAGGAAGAGAGAAAGAAGGCCGAGGAGGCCAAGGAAGCAGAGGAAGAAAAGAAGAAGGAACACAAAGCGCTGGTCGCCAAACTCTCTGAGGAGGCCAAAGTCAAGCTGGAAGAGGAAAAGAAAAAGGCAGAGAAACTGCCAATCAAGTTTAAGGACGCTGTTGGGCGCAAGTTCCAGTTCCCCTTCAACCTCTGCCAGACATGGGCCGGGATGGAAGACCTTATCAAGCAGGCCTTTGTTCAAGTCGAAGCCATCGGCCCACATGTGTTGGAGGGACACTACGACCTAATCGGGCCCAACGGAGAGATTATCTTGCCTTCTATATGGGAGAAGGTTGTCGAACCCGATTGGTCGGTAACTATGCACATGTGGCCGATGGACAAGACACCGCCACTGCGGAACGGCATACACATGAACGGCGCGCACATGCCAGGCCACTTCCCGGGCGGGGCCATCCCCGTGGGCGGTGTCCGCGGCCACCACCCTATGCATGGTATGCCCCACGGGCGCGGTATGCCCGTGCCCGGGCGGCCGGGTATACCGCAACCAGGCACCGGTGCGCCGCGGCCGTGGGCCGGCATGATGCCCGGCATGATGCGACCTGGTCCAGGCGCCGTGCGCATGGGTGTACCGAATGTAGTCGATGGCGATCCTATCCGGCACGAAAAGAAAAAGAGCAGCAATGGAAAGCATGCGGGCACGAGTTTCCTCCAGTTCATGGGCGGCAAGCCACCCAAGGCGGGCAGGAAGTAAGTTTTTCTCTTCACCATCCTCCAGTCATTACTTGTGAGACCTGCTCATAGTAACACACATGCCTCCCAGGCGGAAATGATCAACGAAGATAAGAACAACAACACGATGATCCTACGACTCATGAACGTCTGAGCCAACAAGTTTACTTGCTACTCACTCCGGTCGACGACTGACTAATAACCGTACCCACGAATCATGGCGGCGACTCTTTCCTTGTTGTCTATCTTACTGCATTTTGGCTTCTGTTCTTGGATGTCCCCGGTCGAGTACTTTCTTCTATTTTCCAACGCCTTTTGTGGCCACCTTGCTCTGTTTTCATCCTGGCCGTTTTGATTCCCCTTGTTGCTTTGTTGTAGAATGCGTGTGCTTTTGGTTTTGTGTTTGCTGTTTGCTGTTTTCTGTTTGGTAGTTTTGTTACGTTTTGGGTTGATCGTTTCGACTTTTTCATGATCCTGCATACATTAGTCGTCTGGAGTATTTTGGAACTTGGGGGTCGAGGCTGTACCGTGGCGGATGAAGGTCGGGAGCTGCTTTGGTACTCAGATGCATCTTCACCAAAAGAATCTGCAACGGTTTTGTCAAATTTGGCTCTCAGAAAGCCGCCGTCCGTGTACAGACGGCGTTGTTTATTGGTATGAGACGGATGCTTGTGGTTTTATTGTATTCTTGATTTCTTATGCTTTTGGTTCGCTTGTGATTTTGTTGTTGTTTTCTCGTCACTTATACTTGTTAAATTTCTCTCCTTTTTTGCATATTGGTCTGAGCGAGTATTTGTTTTGATTTTTAACCAAAAAATAATACAATAGTATCTACCATTAGACAAATTATTGATAAAAAAAAGACAGTCACAGTGCACTTGAACGACAAACAATACTTCTATTTAGTCTATGGTGCATTCTATATGAACCTGCTGTCTTCGTAAATGTCATGCACGACACAAGTTTGTACTCGAAGGAGAGTCAGTGAAAGGCCTTAATAAACCCTCAACATCTCCGAAACCCATCCATCAACCATGATACCGACCGCGCCTCATAGCCTCCGGCCCAACAGCTCAGCAGCCCGCATTTCGAACGCTTCAATCATTTTGGTCGCCATCTCATTGCCGACTTGGGCAGCCGCCATTTGGTACAGCGGGTTGCGGAACTGGAATCGGATATGCAGCTCCACCTTTGTTTTTGGCGGTTGTGCTGCTGGTCCTGCTTCTGGTCCTGCTGCTGGTCCTGCTGCTGCCCCGTCACGACTGGCCGCCTTCAACGGCACCACAGTCCACCGCGTCACCAGGCTCTCGAATGTGTCGTCATCTGTGGCCGTTTGGGCACCCAACCGCCTGCCATCCTCGTCCTCGGTCGTATCGAGTCCAATCTCTTCGCGCTCCGCGGCGGTCAGTGTCGGCGCACCAGCCCGGCCCGATACGGCCTCGACGACACCGTGGCTGGGGACACAGTAGACACGGGACGAATACGTCTGCGAGAGCGGACCCCAGCCAACGGTGAGATCGGCACGAGCGGGCCAGGAGGAGGACGACGATCCATCGCGTAGAGACGGCGTGTTCCTCCACTGGGTGACATGGCTGCGGGTACAGTGCGGCAGAAACTTGGCATACGCGTCCACGTTGGCGATAATGCGGAACAGGTCACCGGCTGCGTACGGAAGTATCCGCACGGTCGTGATGGACTGCTGTGGACCACCCGAGCTAGATGCTGCTTGGCCGAGGGCGGCGGCCAGGTTGAAGAGGGAACGGCGTTCTGCGCGGTCTGTCCGTGGCCTGGCTCGTAACGGGGCAGCTTGCGAGGTTCTTTTAGGAGTTTCTGCATTGGAGTAGAAGGATCTCGATGCTGGGACTGGAGAAGCTGAGGCTGTCTGGGCCATGTTTTGTGACATACACCGGCATTGTCTTGGCGCGAGGCGGCGGAGGGTTCTGGAGGCCATGATGCTCGTGCCGGCCATTGGCGAGAGATATGTCACCGGGGCCGTGGAGATAGTTGGGGTCAAATTTAATAAAATCAACAAGTGAATAAAAACACTCTCCTGCCCCTTCACGACTGACTTTCTTGCGGGAAAGCTGCTTTTCCCCTGACCTTGTGAGCGTTAGTGGTGTCGTCTGTTTCCTGGCAGCTAATACGCTGCACAACAAGCCTGTGACAGCCGCTGCCAGTTGGGTACTGGAAAAGTGGATCCCGCCACAAACCGCACTAGCCACATGGCTCTGTTTCCAGGCACCGTATAAAGCTAAATTTTTTCGTGCCTGTTTTTGCGGTCCGTTTTCCTCCCTCTAAAATTTTTCTTTGGACCTCAAAGCGTGGCTTATTTTTTCTCTTCCCGCTTCGCCCACCATGCGCGTGTGTCGGTTCAAGGTCCCTTGCGATTCGATTCGATAGTCCTCGACTGACGAAGGGCATCGTTTGTGCCGTTCCTTTTTTCCCCTTCCCTTTCCTTTTCATTCACTTCTTGTCTGCACCGCAAAGCCTGAAAATGGCGGAACAAGTTGCTGGCCTGCCTATCGCCGCCGAGGATGCTGCCCCCGTTGCGGCGGCCTCCCTCGCGACCGGCGATGCTTCGCCGCCGGCTGAGACGCTGGCGGCCGAAGTGCCTGCCCACCGGTCCCACGACCCGAGCAACAACCAGAAGCGGACGGACCCGTTCATGTTCGGACAGCGCTTCCTGACGCAGGAGGACGACGTGTTCGAGTACAATGCCTGGGACCATGTCGAGACCGACGATGCATTCAAGGAGTATTCGGAGAAACAGTACGAGCTGCAACGGAGCTCGCCCGTGTCTGACTTTGACAAATGTAGGTTTTGGCTATCCCTTCCTCTTCGGTTTATGAATGCCCGCGGCCTCCCATCCTTGTTCAAGATTGAAGTGATGATTTGTATAAAATTAAAGCATAGTTCATCTGATTCCTGATGACAAACAAACACCATTTTTGTCTTTCGCTCCCATCTGATCCTATTCTTGAACAAGTACTTTTTTTGTTTTGATTGCTTCTTCACTGCACCCTGTTCGTTTTGCCTTTTTGGAACCCGCAGCTGACAATCAAACACAAGCCCGCTTCAATGGCGACCCGGCCAAGTGGTGGAATCTGTTCTACAAGAACAACACGGCCAACTTTTTCAAGGACCGGAAATGGCTCCAGCAAGAGTTTCCCATCCTAAACGAGGTGTGTGAGCCCGACGCGGGACCCAAGACCATCCTGGAGATTGGTGCGGGTGCGGGCAACACGGCGTTTCCCATCCTCTCTCGCAACCGCAACCCGCACCTGCGCATCCACGCCTGCGACTTTAGCAAGACGGCCGTCGACGTCATGCGCAAGGACGAGGCATACGACACAAAACACATACAGGCCGACGTCTGGGATGTGGCCGGCACGGGCGACGAGGCTGCACCGCCCGGACTGGGGCCTGCATCGGTCGACGTTGCCATTCTCGTGTTTATCTTCTCGGCGCTGTCGCCCACCCAGTGGAAGCAGGCCGTGGACAATGTAGCGCGTCTTGTCAAGCCCGGTGGCATAGTCTGCTTCCGCGACTACGGCCGCGGCGACCTGGCCCAAGTGCGGTTCCGCAAGGGCCGGTACCTGGAGGAGAACTTTTATATTCGCGGCGATGGCACGCGCGTGTACTTTTTCGACAAGGACGAACTGGTCAAGATCTGGACGGGCGTGGCCGAACCTGAGGCGACTGCGGAGGCAACCGAGGGTGAGATGCCGGCGGCGGGAGACGGGGACGCAGCGGACACGGCGGACACGGCGGCCCTCTACTCGGAGGAGGACGCACTGTTCACACTCGAGAACATGGGCATAGACCGGCGACTAATTGTCAACCGGGCCATGAAATTGAAAATGTACCGATGCTGGCTACAAGGTCGATTCCGGCGGAAGTGAGCGGCATAGGCCTCACTCCTCAACGATAGACATGATAATGATACCACTTTATGATATGAGACATAAGGAGACTGCCGAGAAACACATGCATCGAGCCCTGAATCGACGACGTGAATACGAGTGGGGTTTGTCGGTGCCAATTTAAGACAGCGTCTCAGCCGGGTCGTACAAGGGCTCACTGAGCTGTAATTGCGGCTGCATATGTCTCGTCTGCATTATTTTCACTTTCATCCAATGTCTCAATACGCTCGTGGCCACGTCCGCGCCATACCAAGCCACGGCTGCGCCTTTTGGTCCACATTGCTGCGTCTCCCGTAGTGTACGATGTACTTTTGCAAAACACGATGCACTTGCATAGATTCCCGTTTTCATCTCTCATATTTTCACGAGCTTCTTTCTTCCCTGTCCGATGCAGATTTGGAGGACTTTTATTTGGCGCAGGGGCGTGCCATCGCCTTGCTCCGTACTTTCGTCTCTCCATGTTCATCTAATCTTTCTACTTTTCCTTGACGTGGGTCCAAAGAAACATTGCTTTTGTGCGTCCGTCTTCGCTCTACCGATCTTTGGTGTGCGCTCTTCTTGGTCGTGGATCTGACCCAATTCTCCTCCATTCTCCGAAACGGGACTAGCGTCTTTTGACCAAGGTTTTTGGGTCGGCTTTCTCATTCAGGTCGATTATCTCCACCACAATTGCACAGTAATCGATGGGGCAGCAACAGCAGACAAATAACTACCCACGAAAAGACGGGCCAGGACATGCTTTGGTCCTTTTGTGGTTCTGGGTCTAGATCTCTGAACACAGCCTCACAGCCCGTGGGCCACCAGAGAAAGGATCATATCTGGTTGTTTTATTTGTTGAAGGGACAAAACCTGAAGAACCACGAACGGCAAACGTGCGTTAGTCAGCTCTACGACTATGCACACAAAGATCGCAGCAGAATGCGTTTGGTTGACTTGCGATAGTACATCGCTCCCATTGTCTGTGTCTGTTTTTTATTACGTCTATCGCGGTGTCTTTGTCTCCGCATATCTGCTTCGTTTTGTATGGAGGCAGGTAAGTCGTACTTTGTAGCCCTCACAGGAACAGCTGGCGCAAACGAAAGGCACAGCCGCTGACGTTGCCGTCGGACAACAAACAGCTGACCGACACACAGCACACCAGTGGTGGAAGATGGGAAGTTGCTCCGTGCGGTCGGGATATCCAGGAGGCAGCGTGCGATTTGAGGATTACCAACAGTCTATTTTTTGAAGATATTTAGCTGGCTGGCTGGATACTGGAAGAGGAAGCTACACCCAGACCGTTCCTGCAGCACCTTCCAGGCCAGGTCGGCCAGACTCGGGAAAGTGCGATCATGGACGATCGGACTAGCCCCACGACGTCAAAGGCCGTCTGGCCGTGAAAGGGTGTAGTGTCGACTAGGGCAGAACACGTACGATCTCATGCGACGAAACTTGGTGTGGAGGGCACGCCGTCGCGACTACGACGCTAGTAACGGCTAGCACGGGGTACTTACACACGCCCAGGCCTCTGTTCTCCAGCTCCAACAGGTGCTGTTGCTAGTTGATGACGTCGTTTGTTTGCCCCTCTGGAGCTCAGCAGACGTTCCTGCCCCAGAGAGCCCCCGACAGCTCGCAGCTCCTTCCCTCCCCAGCTTCATCTGTCCAGACCTGTTGCAAGCTGCTCCTGCCCGCACAGCTCTGGGGCAGTGGCACTGACTAGGCTCCCACGCACGACAAACGCAACGCTCGCTGCTCTCCTTATTCCCATCTTTTTCCCACGCTGACTCTTTTTCTATTTCACACATGCTCGTCCTGGTAACCCGGGGCTTCCTTTGAATGATCGACCTTACCCTACGTGCCGTGACGTCGTTTGCATCTTTATTCGTCTGTTCGCGCCCTTTTATTCTCATTTTGCTGACATTGCCGCTCAATTGGCCATTTTTTGCCTTTTTGTACATGGCCGTGCCCACTTTCTCACCGTCCATTCTCTCCATCTCATCTTTTAAGTCTTTTATTTTCTTTGGTTTTTCTTTCTTCCCTGCTACAAAAACCGGAGACAGGCATATCGGATCCTGTTGGCATCTTCACCGACTTCAATCACAATCCATCTCCTTCTCTTCGTCCGAGCAGAGCATCTCGACAACACAGTCAACAAAAGTCGACTTCGACACGCAGGCATCATCAAACGCCCTCTCCTACCTACCGAGATATTTGCACTGTAGGCATCTGAGCCTGCCAATCAAGGCATGTCGCTGAACGGGTCCACGGCGACACAACGCCAGCCGGCGCCTCGCGACAGCGGGCATTCGTATTCCTCGAGGCAGCAGCAGGCCAAGAACCAGCCAGGTGAGTCGCACCGAGCAGGAACAGTCATGCACGTGCAGGCATGCTCAGCGCATCGACAACAAAAGATGCAATGTTGAACATCACCACGTCTACTTTCGAGCTTTCCTTCCCCCCTGCGTCGTACCTCAAATCCTCAATCCCCAGCTTTATCCTCATGCCAGGGAACACTCAGCCCCTCCGATTTCCGCTGCATCGCCAAGTGGCGATCTGCAAACCGTGGGACGGGCAATCAGAAAACTGGCACTGCACCTGGGCCAGACGGGGCCTTGATCTGTTCTCCCGCGCTCTGCAGGAGAGTGTTCAGCACTACCAAGGCTTCCCTGCCTCCCTCACCCTCTTGCACGCATTTCCCCCCTAAGCTGTCTCGTTCTTGCCTCTCCAATCTGCGGGCTCTCGTTGCTGTCATATCCCAGGCATTCGGGATATATCAAACACCCCTGCCGGATATCACAGCACATCCCACAAGTTGCCACCCACACTTGACATGTCTTCTTTTCCGTTCCGCTTTGACGGCCGACTAACACGCTTTTCTCCGCATATTAAAAGACCTGTCTGGCCGCTTGGTCTATGCGGATCCACGCAGCCTGCCCTCGTTTCCCTCGGTCGGCGTCAAGCTGGACAGCACCAGCACCGCCGCCCTGACTGCTTCCAAGGTCAAGAGCCCGCCGGCCATTTTCAGCAACAGCGGGTCCGTTCACTCGGCATCCCTGAAAGCGGCCACCCAGGCGGCTGCCGCGGCCAGTGCTGCTCTGGTCTCCGCGAAACCCGCCGGCGCAAAGTCGCCGTCGGCACCTGAAAGTCGGTCGCGGAACGCCTCGCAATTTCAGCCAACAAACGCCGATTCTACGGAGCTTCCGTCTCCCACGCTACAAGAAGATAGCACGGCCACCGCGAGCAACGTCAACACCAACACCAACACCAACATGGCGACCAAGCCGTCCGGAAAATCGTCCGAAGGCTGGGGCAACTCCGCGGCCAATCAGGCCTTCCGCAAAAGCCAGATTCTCTCTGCCAAGCGAGCTTCCGCCCCTCCCGAGAAACCGATTCCCGAAATTGCCGCTCTCGGTTACCAGCCGTCTCTGCGTGCGGCCAAGGGCGCCATGAAGCAGGCGTCCCACACGGACGCCAAGTCCACGCCCGGCCTTGCCTCTAGCGCTGCCGCCACGTCTCTTTCTGGTGCGGCCTCGACCGCTGCTGGGGACAACTCGGCCCACTCTACGTCAATGCGGACGCGCAGCCGGGCTCAGTCTAGCCCACTAACGTTGCGCCAACAGAAGAGCATGTCGTCGCACTTCCCCGACAACACTGCATCGTACTCTCTGGTCAGCAGCCCTCCAGACCCCAAGGTTTCGGCCGCCAATGCTCTTAGTGCCGCAACCATCGCCCACAGCGCTTCGGCCAGGTCGCGCGGTTCGGCTAGCAACCGCGCCAGCTATGTAGGCGACGGTGGTTCCGTGCCCTACACAAACCTGGGCCGCCAGATGTACACTTCGCACCCCCCTGTTGGCCCTGAAACGGAGGACCAGAAGCACACCGACGGCCTCCACGCCTCGGCCGTCGCCCTGGCCAAGAAAATGTACAGCCCCGGCGTCGAGGGCGGGGTTTCGGGCGCCGGTGCCGGCGGCTCCTCTGTTCCCAACGTGCAGGAGCAGGCATACAAGCTCGCCCAGGAGCGCCTCGAGAAACTCCACGAGCTGCACGGCAAGGACCGCGAGTACCGCGACCACTACATGGACCCGAGCCTTGGTGCCTCGGCTGGTGGCGAGACGTCGCGCCGTCTGACCATGCGTGGCCGTCTCCGGCGTCGCCGCTCGTCTAGTGACGGTGACATCAATTCCGACCACCTGCGTCCGCAGGAGATCCGCAACCAGATGTCTCTCTTGTCAAGCCGCATCTCCGACGTGGAGGACAAGAGACGCCGCGACCGCCAGAACGTTCTCTTGGCCGCGCAACGCAATGTCAAGTCACAGCTGCAGGACATTGACGAGCAGGTCTATGCCAACTCGGGCAGATTGCCTCCGTCGGTCATGTCGAAGATTGAGCCCAAGATCAACTCCATGGCGCAGGAACGCGCGGACGCATATATCAGCAACTACCCGCGTTCGGACCAGGTCGATGTTGGCGGTGGCAAGTTCATAAACCGCACCGACGTGGACAGGCTTGCCACTCGCCGCGTGCAACCCGTCATCGATGACATGCACGAGAAGGCCCAAGCAGAGCATGACCGCCAGGCCAAGCTGCGCGAGAAAGACGAAGAGCGCAAGGCCGAAGCAGCCATAATCGACGCTCGCGGCAAGGATATGAAGGCCATGTACCGCCAGTTGAAGAGTGAGCTCATCCCATTGCTTTTATTCGGTTTCTACCGACCTCCAATTGCATCCACTAACAAAATGCAGAGGACGAAAAGGCCCGCAAGGCTGAAGAGAAAACTGCCAAGAGACATAGCAAAATCCTTGGCATTCCCATTGGCTTTGGTCTTGGTACGGGTGCTGCTGCCGCGAGCACCACCGGCGACAATGCCGGCAACCGTACTGACAAGGCAAGCAACGTCGTCAACGGCAAGGGTAAGCACAGTGCCGAGGACGATGCTGCTGAAACCGCCCGCCATGGCACGGGGGAAGATGTGATGACGGCTCCGGACACGTCCAGTGCTGCCAGTGACTTCCACTCCAACGATGTTTCGTCCCTGAGCAGTCCGACTAGCCCGGTCCCCAGAAGTGCCGGAACCGGTACCGGTATCGGCGCCGGTGCCGCTGCCACGGGTGCGGCTGTGGGTGTGGGTTCTCGTGCGACAAAACCGTCTGTTCCTACGACTACGGCTGCCGCTGATATCACCAACTCATCTTCGCTTGCCACAGCTCCTGTGACGCAGCCCGTCACCAAGGCTCCCGCTGCTCGTGATGCGTCGTCAGGTGCGGCGCCCAGTGCAGGCGCAATGACGACGCCGGCGACCCATGAGACGGCGGATCGCAGCGGCGCTCCCCTGGAAAAGAGCGGCAGTAACACCAGCCGGAGACTTTCCAGGCTGTTCGTCAAGACGCCCAAGGACAGCAACGTCGAGCGTACGAACCCAGAGAGCAGCGGCAACGTCCCGTCCAAGATTTCCGGTAGCGCCGTCGCTGGCACTGCCGGTGCGGTTGGCGCTGCCGGTGCTGTCGGTGCTGGTGTTGGATCCCAGTCCAAGTCTGTCGCCCCTGGCACCACCAACGGTGTCAGCTCCGGCCCTGCGTCTGCTGCCCCTGCTGCCCCTACTACTTCTAGCACTGCACCCGGCGCACGTGTTGGTACCGGTGTCGGTGCACCTATTTCGTCGGCGTCAGACAAGGCTTCGACACCAAAGTCGCCCGTGTCACCTTTGTCCGACGAGTCAGCATCGTCACCCAACTCCAACAGCAAGGTCAAGTCTTGGCTGAAGTCGCGCTTCTCGCGCGATCCGTCCAAGTCGTCGGCTTCCGCAAGCAATGACCCTGCCGCATCCACCTCGGGTAAGGCTGCGGCCACGGGCACTGGTGTCTCGACGGCGTCGACGGCAGGCTCAGCAGGCCCTGCACCCTCCAAAGACCTGGGTTCATCTGCCGTCGGATCCGATTCGCAGCGGCCCGACGCTGAGCGGACGTTTATTGGGGGCCACACACTGACATCTTCGGATAATAAGGACCGCGTCGGAAGCGGCTCCCTGACCATTCCTCTCATTGCTGGCGGCACCCTTGTCGCCGCAGGTGGTGCGACGGCTGCTGGTCTTGCTTCGTCTAAAGGTGACGCTCCGGCCTCTGGCCAGGGGAAGGAGACCCTTGGTGAGCAGCCGGGCAACAGCCCCAACCGTGTGAACCAGGCGTACTACACTCCCACAGGCAGCGAGGGCCCGAGCGCGACTCAACCTGGTGACCGTGCCGCGGATCTCAAGGAGCAGGGTGCCCCGAGCAAGTCGGGTCTCCCTGACTCGAAGGAGCTCACGGGTATCACGGCACCCAAGGACTCGTACGAGAAGGACGCCGCTGCGCTGGCTCCGGCCCAATCCGGCACTGATGCCGCGTCCAAGGGTCAGTATGGCAGCGGCTTTGGGAAACTGGGTCCTCTGACACCCATGACCATGGGTCCTGCTGAGGGCGCAAAGACTACCGGCACCACTGGTACCTCTGGTTCGTCCGGCCTTGCTGGCACCGCCGGTGTGGTTGGTGCTGCCGGTGCTGCCGGTGCTATTGGTACTGCCGGTGCTGCCGGTGCCGCCGCATCCACCAATCGTTCGAGCAACACGGGCGCACTCAACACTCCCAGCGCGGATTACACGCTTCCCGGAAATCGGACCAGCTATGCCAGCAGCCACTACAGCAACGATGCAGGTGTTCCCGGTGTGGCCGGTAGTGGTTTCGGCCTCATCGGGCACAACATTTTTGCCAACTACAGCGGCGCTTCGCCTGCTGCTGGCAAGCCGAAAACATCCGAGACCGCCGGAACTTCCGGGGCTGCCGCGGCCACTGACAATGTCGGTGGAGCGAACGACAAGGGTAACACATTTGTGTCCGTCCCGCCCCCAGCCAGCGACTCGGGCGTAAACGTAGCCGCGTTCACGCCGCCCAGGGCCGTCACCAACCCGGCCGAGAAGAGCGCAAGCCCTGTTCGTGATTCGCGCTTCCTTGAAAACCTCGAGGAGTACTCGTAGGTTGAACACAAAGGGCGAGGGCTGAATTTGTTTCAAGTTACTCTGCTTCCCGCGTTTTCTTCATTTGAAATACGATCTTTCGTGCCTCTCTTTTTTTCGCTTTTGATCTTTACAATGTTACATGTTCGTGTTGGTTTTGGGTTCTGCCATGTTCATCGTTTCTGTTAAACTGAAATATTTCGTTCCATTTTCTTATCCTCTCTTAGTTGATTTCATTTTTTCTTCCACACATCTTTCTCATTTCTTGGGTTTCGGTTTCAGACCTTACTGGCGTTTTCTGGACGGAAGCAACAGGATATCCCAGGGTTTTCATTCCTTTTACGTTCATGATTCCCAATTTACAACGGACAGGTGGCACAAGCTGTTTTTTTTTCTTTTTCTTTTTCCGATTGATTTCATTTCTGGTTTGATTCACCATATTCTAATTTTGGACACCCCCCCAAACATATCTTATGTCAAGTTTTGTTTGCTCTACTTGTATTACTGTACCCGAAATAGTTACCAAAACTGTATCGATATACGCCAAAGATATTACAAAAAAATGTTTCTAAAAATACGTACTCAAAATAAAATAAAAAACAACTATATCCATCGATAAACCAGAACACCAAAGACGCAAGAAATCCAAACCAAACCATGCAAAAGGATAATTATATACTCCGCAGATCTCATTACCACCATCGCATCACTTTATACAACCAGCACGTGTCATTTCTCGTCCAAAAGAGCCGTGTCCCGCTGCTACTGGTAACTCCGACTTGGCTGGTATGCTTGTCGTGGCTGGTTCAGCGGCTGGCTGCCGCCGTTGACTTCGTCTTCGACAAAAGTGTTGCCAGCTAGGTTGTTGGTACGTGGTGACCGCGTCGCGCGCGCCGCACTCTCGCCGTAGGTGTTGTCGTAGTAGCCAGTGGAGCCCGGGGCCGTTGGGGGTGCTGCATTCGCATTCGCATTCGCAGTATAGCCACGGTAGCTGCCGTTGGCCGCTTCCATCTCGCTCGGCCCCGCTGTGTGGCTGTTGCCTGGGTTGTAGTAGTTGTCGCCGTCCTGGGCCATGGCCGTGCCGCCTGCGGTGGCGCTGCTATTGGGGCCGTCGCTGCCGCTGCCGTTGGGGCCGTGCTTTTCGCGGTAGCGGCCCTTGAGGTGGCGTGTGCGGACGGCCGGGTACAGGTCGATGCAAAAGGAGAAGACGTAGAGCGCAAAGATAAAGGCAATAATCCACTCGACAATGGCACCGCCGGTGGTGTGGTGGGTGAAGGTCAGGGAGACAAAGATGATGGCGAGCACGATCTCGACGAGGACAAAGCTGAGCTTGACCCAGAAGGAGATGCTGAGGATGCGCAGGTGACGGTTGTGGATGCCCAGGCGCTGGTACTCCCAGCAGATGCAGATGGCCGACAGCACATAGCCGCCCAAAAACAGCAGGAGAAAGCCGTCGTGCAAGCGCTTGTGGTGGGCGACGTCAAAGACGGACAGCAGGATGAGGCCCGCGGTGCCGAGCAGGGCAAAGACAATGGTCAGAACGCCGAGCACCTTTTGACCGGTGCTGCCGTTGGGCGTGAGGCGGCCGGCATGGCGCAACCAGCGGTCGGCGAGGAACGACAGGTCCAGCGTGACGGTGGTGACGACGCAGAGGGCGATGAACATGGGCTTGAACTTGGGCGAGGCGCCGATATCGCTGATGTAGGCAACGGTCTGGTTGTCGTCCATCGAGACGTAGTGCTCGCGGTGGGTGTCGACGGCCCAGCCGATGAGCATGCCCATCAGCATGCCCAGCCAGACGGAGCCGGACAAGACGGGCAGTAGCTGAGGTGGGTAGAAGTAAGTCTTACAGGAATTCAAAGTACGGAAGTCATGTCGCTCGGGAGACTCCTTACCCAATAGGAAAAACAAGAAACCATTGTGGCGTATTGATGTGGTGGTCAGGAACGAGATGCCAAGGGGCGACGAGGCCAAGAGATTAGAGTAGTTCGTTCCAGGAAGTGCGTGCCGTGTGTGCCGGACAGGATGTATGCCGGACAGGATGTGCCGTCCCGAGCCCCTGCAGACGGTGGGTGTGTACGACGTATCGTCGATGTCGTTGGATGTGGCTGCGTCTTTGTACCCCTTTTTTGTCTGTTGGTGGCTTTTCACAGCGATGGCCAACGACCCAACAATCCGATTCTGTGCGCGAGCGGCCCTGAACCAAACGGCAGTTGTCTGTGGAAAGCTGCTGCGAGACGCTCCGTGAATATCCAATGATACCTTAAAATGGGGGTGACAAGATAAGAGGAGGGAAATGGATGAAAAGGCCGCCAACAGCGTCGCTCGTGAACCACAAACACAACAAACAGAAAGAGCAGCGTCGATGTGCCAACCAAGACAATAAGAGAATTAGCTTTTCACGGGGGGCCTTTCTCTTTTCTGCGCGAGCACTGTGCTTCTTTCAAAGGATTGCAGGGTAATCTCAAGTCTAGAACCTCTGCGTGCCAAGGATTTTCCTGCATTGTGGGCATCTCTTTCCTCTTTTGCTTTCGTCCTGTTGTCGCTGGAGGCAGCTACGCGTTGGTATGACGTCACGATTGCGATGGTCTGTCTGGTTGTCCCTTGCGCGTCGCTGTTGACGCCCAGCCGATTGCAGTTTGTGCGCTATTCCCCCCCTACGTCCCAGCTGTGTTGCCGCCCAAAAGGCCCTAACGCTTGCGCAAGACAGCGGTCTGAGTAATTTTATTGTGGAGCCAGCGCACTGTCGGACCGCCAGCACTCCGCTAAAGCCCGAGACCACGCCCAAGCCACATCCGGCCACGCCAGCGCCTCAGCCACTGAGAGGCGGCCCTGGACAGCTTGGCTCAAGCTCCATCCCTAGTCTTTTTGATTTGGTGACAGCCTGCACGATTGTTGAAGCCTCGTTCCGCGTCACGCCAGTCACGTCACCCGGCGTCTTGTACGCGCTCCGCACACACCACTCGCACTCTTCTTTTGTCTTTTTGTCCCTCTTGTATTCCCCTTTCGCCTCTCTCTCTTGTCGGCCTGTTCCTGCGCGCCACTGTCGCCATGAGTGCATCGCCGCTGCTGGCCGTCCCGACGGACGTGTTGGCAGCCTCGTCTGCGGCATCGTCTCGACCGGCATCCACCCTGCCCTCGCGGCCACCGACACATTCGAATGGCGGCACACCACGAGGCGGAGCCACGGCGCCGGCGGGGGCAAAGCCACAGCCGCCCCGACATCCGATCACAATGGATGTCGCCGAGCGCCTGAACGAGGAGGAAAAGAACAAGTACATTCGAGGCAAGGAGCTCGGCGAAGGCACCTACGCCGTCGTCTACGAGGGCCGTTTGCGTGCCGACCCGACGCAGCTCGTCGCCATCAAGAAGATCAAGGTCCAAAAGGAGTACAGCGACGGCATCGCGCCCGACGCCGTCCGCGAGATCAAGTTTTTGCAGGAACTGCACCACACCAACATCATCCGCATGCACAGCGTCTACAGCACCCGCGACCAGAACCTGTGTCTCGTCCTCGAACATCTCCCCCGCGGCGACCTCGAAATGCTGATCCGCGACACTGCCGCCGTCCGCTACGGCGCCGCCGACATCAAGGCCTGGATGGGCATGCTCTGCCGTGCCGTCGCCTTCTGCCATGACCGCGCCGTGCTGCATCGCGACATCAAGCCCAACAACTTGCTGGTCGCCGCCGACGGCGCCCTCAAGCTTGCCGATTTCGGTCTCGCCCGGTCGTGTGCCGACCCCTACCGGCCCATGACCGCCAACGTCATTACCCGCTGGTATCGCCCGCCGGAGCTGCTGTTCGGTGCGCGCCACTACACTGGCACCGTGGATGTGTGGTCCGTCGGCCTCGTCTTTGCCGAGCTCGTCATCCGCAACCCGTACCTGCCGGGCAACACCGAGGTCGAGCAGATCGGCCTCATCTGCCGCGCCCTCGGCACGCCCAACGAGGACAACTGGCCCGGCGTGACCCGCCTCGACTCATACACCGTCCCCACCGACCGCGTGTACCCCGTGGCCACGCGCGACACCTTCCTGGGGCCCTTTGGCACCGTGGGCTCCGAGGGCGTCGACTTGCTGATGAAGACGCTTGTGCTCGACCCGCGGCGCCGCATCACGGCGCGCGCTATGCTGGCTCACCCGTGGTGGCACGCCGACCCGCGCCCGACCCCCGTCCAGGATCTGCCGCGGCGCAATGTGGCGGCCGCCGAGAAGGAGAAGGAGCGCGAGCGGGAGGCCACCCGGATGGCCGCTGACCTCAAACGGCGGCCCGGCGCCGTGGGCGGTGGCAGCGGGGCCAACACGGGCGACGAACAAGACCGCGGTGCCAAGGTTGCCCGCCGGCTGGATTTCGGACGGAAGTAGGGGAAGACTGGTTTGTCTGGGTTGATTTTGGGAATTTATGGCGTTACGGGTTAGGCAAAAACATAAAAGGACAAGGACTGTGAGGCGTTCCGTGTACTTTCGCAATTGCATTCCATCTCATCTCACGGCACACGTCTGTGAGCTCACATATACAAACAGAACCACAACTCTGGCATCATTGCTTATAACAACCATTGGGAAGAACTCTGGTATTGATTTGTAGCGCTGGTAAATCCAAAAAAAAAGGTAAAAAGAAAAAGAAAAAGAAGAAAATGGCTATGAAAGATCTCTGTATGGAGGCGAGGGACTGGGCCCTGCCCTACATTACAGAACACTCCAGACCGTACATGGCCCGCTCCACGTTTCGCTTGACTTGGTACCAGTCGGCCCGCCGCTCGGCAAACTCGTACACCTCCTCGGCCCGGAACACGCCGCCGAACCGGTCGCCGTCTGCAATGATCACCGCCATCTCCTTGGCGTGGTGCCGCGCGTCGATCAGGTACAGCTGGCTCAGCTCGCGCAGCGCCCGGAAGTACGCCAGCAGGTCCGGGTTGCGCAGCGTCCGCACATAGTCAAAGTAGAGCGTCATGTCGGCAATCACATGCACCGCACCGGCCATGCTGATGCGCTGCCGCTTGAGGTGCTTGCAGACGGCCGTGAACAGGCGCAGGCCGACCTCGCCGTTGAACACGTCGAGCATCGTCTTTTCCGTGCTGCCCTTGAGCATGTTGGTGTGGCCGCGCACGAGGTCGACGACGCGCAGCGCCGTTTTCGTAGGGCCAATGTCGGCGGCAGCAAAGGGATCCAAGGCACTGGCTGCAGGGGCGCCACCGCTGCCGGGGGCGCCCGGGGCGATGGCCGACCCGCCGCCGGACCTGGGCGTTGATGTGCCATCACCACCGCCGCCAACAACACCCGTAACACTGGCAAGCGTGCCGTTCAAGGAAAATAGGCCGCTCTCGGCAACGGCCTCGACGGCTTCCGGATAGTAGTCGGTTGGCTTCTGCGTGGTGGCGCAAATGTACTCGACCTCGTCCATGAGGACATCGATGCCCTTGTTGAGTCCCGCCGCCACGCTCTCGTCAATCATCTGCTCGAACCGCTTCTTAGCCAGGCCTGCCGGGTCGAGAAAGTCGTTGCGGTCGGCAATCTTGGGCCCGGCCAGCTGCTGCTCGTAGAACACGTCGATCATTTGGGAGATCAGGTCGCCCACGTTGACAAGCTCGATGAACGTCATGAGTGGTGCGACTCCCCCGTCGCCAGGGCCGGCATTGCTGGCATGGGCGGCGGGATCCTTTTCGGAGGCGCCGCCGTTGCTGCCTTCGCCAGTGGTCGAGACAGTTGATGTCGGCCGGACGACGACAGTGCGAGGGTTGTACTGCGACAGGTGCTCGACGGCGCGATCAAAACCTTGCTTGACGTGGCCGTTGCCCAAGATGCGCAACAACACCACAAAGATGGTCTCGCACTGTTCGCGCGCCTCTCCGGCGGCCTGACCGCCCAGCTGGACAAAGACGGCCGCACGGCCGAGACTCGTCTTGGCCGCGTGCACAAGGTTGAGCGCCATCTCAAGACTGAAGAGCGACTTGATACCCTCCAACCGCGACGTCATGAGGGCTGCTTTGGCCGCCAGCTCGTCGTCGGGTGCCTTTTCGGGCAGCTGGCTGAGCGGGTTCGGTGTCACCCGGCCAGAAGCTGTCGTTGAGAGTGCTTGTGATTGCGGCGGGAGGGAGAGGTTGGAGTCGCTCGCGCCTGAGGCTTTGGCGCCGCTGCTGGTGCCACTCGCAAAAGGGTTGAGCTGACCAGGCAAGCTGGGCAGGACGGTCACGGGCATCATGACGACCTTTTTGAACGAGCTCAGGAAATCCTTCTTGTCCTCTTGCCGGTTGAAGTTGGCCATGTAAAACGATTCCACATTGGCGTCCTGTTCTGACAGCTTCTTGTCCCACACGCGTACCTCGGTCTCGGTGTGTTTCGTAAAGTAATCGAGCTCTTCCTGCAGATACAGGTCGAGGTGCGGCTCAAATGTCCGGAAGGCAAGCTCGCGCACTTTCCGAAGCCGGGCCTTAGGTCGCCACGCATCCTCGTCGTCTTCGTCTTCTTCCTCGTCCGCCGTTCCGGAGACGGGCGCTGCCGGCAGCGTCTTTGTGCTTCTCCGCTTCAGCTTCCCCGGTCGCTGAAACTCATCAGATGCGGCGCTCGGGGTGTTCTTGGTATGCGTCTTGGCTGGTCCAGCTGCTTTATTTGGCTGGTCAGCGTCAGGCGATTTGGGCGGCTCCAGCGCCTTGAGAAACTGCAGGGCCTGCTCAAAGAGACCCGACACGGCCGTTAAGTAGGCCGGCAGGTTACGCTCGTGCGTCTCGTCGAGCAGTGGCGTGATATACTCCATGATGATGTCTTCGCGGACCTTGTCCACGAGTGCCCAGAACACGCGGCCGGGTCGCGGAAAGATGCGGCCGATGACGCTGCTCTGGTCGTTGACTTTGCGCGTCAGCAGCTCGAAGAAACCGCGCGACGGGTCGAGCGTGATGACGTTTTCGGGCGCGGTTGTCGCACGGGGTGCAAGGTTGATGCAGTCCATGGCGTTCATGGCTGTTAGCTCGTGGTCGTCAAAGAGCGGGTGCTTCTGGATGAAGAGGTCGACACCGGCGGCGCTGCCGCCCAGCAGGTCGAGTACGTGGGCGTACTTGCGCATGCGGCCGTCAACGTCCCAGAATTCATACCCCTGTTCGAACTCGCGCAGCACGGCGCTCTCAAAGATACTCGTCATCGAGGTGAGCTTCTCTTCACGCTGGCGCCAGCCCTGCGCCCAGTCGCTCTGGGCAAATGTGCGCAAATTGGCGAGCATCCGCGCCTGGCGCTCTGGGTCGCGAAAGACCTTGAAGATGGCCGGGTCGGCGTGTGTCCGCGACCGCTGTAGATCCCAGTAAAACGGCCCCAGGGCGCCATAGATCCTGCCGAATTCCTGGCGCGCATGGCCTCGCACGCTCTGCACATTCTTAAACACGTCGAGCAGCGCCTCTGTATCTTGGAGCGGGCTCTTTTCTGCCGGTGGCGGTCGTGCTTGGGCTCCGTTGCCCCCAACCGTCAGTGTCTCGAATCCATCGTGGGCCTGTGCGAGCTGCTGCTGCTGCTGCTGCTGCTGCTGCTGTTCTCGTTGTTGCTGCTGCAAGTGAAGCTGTCGCCGCCGCTCCTCTTCGAGCGAGGCATCGAACAGTGTCGTGCTTCCACTGGCCTGCCTTGACCGTCCACCGGGAGCCGCGGACACGCGGTGAGCACCGGGCACCACACCGACGCTGCTGCTTCCACCGCCAACCAGTCCGTTTCCTCCTATGCCGGTAGGAGCACCTGCCGCAGTCGCCGCGGCAGCCGTGTCACGCCTTCGCTTCTGCATTGCCTCGTCAAAGCGCCGCCGTGCTTCCGCCTCGTTCCATGCGCCCATGCTCTGCAGGCGGGATACCCATCGCGTGTCGTCGTAGACCATTTCGCGCATTCGGCGGCAGGTGCGGGCGAAAGAGATTTGGTCGGGGATTGGGAGGTAATCGAGGATAGTCGCCAGGATTTCTGGGGCAAACAGTGCACGTCAGCCCTGTAATACCTTGTCGCCATTGTATACGGACGTCGGGAAGCTTACCAGCAGGTAGAGTGGCCTTGGATTCGATGATCTCGGTGGCCTTGAGCGCGCCGAGTATGCTCTTGTTTGGCACAGCGGCTCCGGCGCCAGGCCGGCCACTGTTGTACGCCCGAGACATTGTCGTCGTTAGAGAGAAGCGTCTTGGTTGAATAGGGCGTAGGTGGTTGACAGAGACTCTCGATCAAAGGTCCAGAGCTGTGGGAGATTTGTTCGGATGAAGCTTCAATTCCAAAAGTCTTCCAATTCACCCGCGTCGACTGCGGCCCATGCACAACGCAGTGCAAGCAGTGGCCCTGCCGATGCGAACCATTGGGTACAGTCTTATGCTAGAAGAGTGGTCGTGGGCGTCGGCCGTGGCGGTTAGTGTGTCGTGTATGTGTATGGATGTTTGTCATGTTCCGGTTGACAATTGAGTCTTCACGGATTTGTGAGGAGGTCATACGAATGATACGAATGCATGGCAGGAGGGTTGACGTACTAAAGCGCAGGAGTGGCGGCTACGGTGGCTGGCGGGGGGAATTGTGGGTAACACTTGCGACAGGAAGGTGCTGATGGGGTAAATATCAGGGGTAAGCAAGAAGAATGAAGGTCACTAGCATCCCGTCAGCATCGATATATTTAGGGCAGTTTTGCCAAGGCAGGCGCCATTTTACAGCGCTCTTCAAACTTGCCCTGACCACCATCTCCTTCCAATTTTGGGCTTGCTTACATTGCAAACTAGGCAGCTGCCAACACCAAACGGCAGGATCACCATATAAACGTTTTTCTCGACATGTTGTTTACATGCTTATATTATTTGCTGTAGACGATGGTTTTGGAGCAACCAATCCCAGGAATTGAACATCTGACTCCACGGCGATTGCCTACCGCATTCGTATTTGAGAAGTGCCTGCTTGTGCAAGGCAATGCGACTGGACACATCGCCAACTTGCGACCTTGGCCTGGGCTGAGAAGCATTTTTAATTCTTCCCATGTCATTCTACGTTTGAATTTGTTCTTTATTCCTTGCCTATCGTTTATCACTGTCGTCTTTTATTTCCTACTTTATCTGTTCACATTCTTTTTACCAGCAATCCTGCCAAAAAGCAAGGGCAAAGAATGTGTTTCTTTACATGATTCATAATAATTTTTTGCTTACGCCTCAACGTTAAGACCTCCTCCAGAGTTGCTGTCTATGCCATTTATATTTTAGTATAAGCTCTGGCCTGTGGTCGACGTCGTTCTGAGATTATATAAGTTATTTCTGCCACGACTTACAAAGGCTGTAATTCAATACTGTGACATTTTGGAACGGTATGGTGCATTGGACACAACGACATCAACCTGAATTTACAAACAAGGAATGCGACTGACGTTTGGGGCCGAATAGTGTAGAGTATGGCGTAAGATATTGCTACTGATGAATTTGACTATATATATCCTCCTTCGTTTTGCTACCTTGGCCTTGTTTCAACGATTTGTCCTGGTTCGATTTCATTGTCAAACTCTCTCCGTCAGCGACTGGCCATAATCAAAAAGCTCCGTTTTCGCAGATCAAAGTGCATGTGTTGACTGAAGTTACTTTGTTTCCATTCAAAGGTACTTTACTCCAACGTCAGCCTTCCCAATCAGCGTTGACCATTCGCACGACTGGACTAAGAGCCGCAAAAGGGCCATGCAAAATGGATAAAATAAATGGCAGCTAGCTGTCCAATCTCATCGCTCGCTCAGGTTCACATGTTCCTTTCTCCAGTTGATATTACACGACTCGACCACAGAACTCCTGCCGATCTAGATTCGTATCAACACCCACTTTTACGACACGCAATTATACTCGATATTGACTCTTGGCCCGCAGACCGGACAAGCCACCACTACAGGAACGATAAACGGGCTGCAACACACCACCCGGCCCTTTCTTCCTACTCGCCGCCGCTTTTCGACATTCCCCTCTCCTTTGCCGCCCATTGCACGTCTGGCCCGCTCGTTTGGTGCATGTTCTCGTTATCGTCGCTGCCGCTTCGGTTATCGACCGTTTATTGGCGTGCGTCTCCGAAGAACTTTCCCCTGGTGTGGTCCAGAATGGCCGGGTACGTCTTTTTGTCCTTCTCTCTACATAGCAGTCTTACTTCTCTGCCGTATCGATGTATCACCCCTCGTCGTTTCCGCCTCGTCTGTCCAATCGCGTTACATCATTGTTGTACATCACCTTGTGTTTCACCCATATCAAGCAGGCCGTCGTTCCACTCGTTCCTTCCCTTGACCGTCAAATCGGGATAGGACTTTCCTAAGTCAGATCGTGAAAGAAACGGATGACAGAGCTCTTCCGTCCTTTAGTTTCACCAGCTTTATTTGGCAGTTGAGTCAGTTGCTGTTTCCCAAATTGACGTTGCCGCCTGACACGTTCCTTCCCTTGCAGTCCACCTCTCCCCTCCACCCCTCCTCCCGTAGTTCCCTCTCTTCTTGCCACCAGATCATACCGCTACCATCTTGCATGTATACGACTCTGTTTTAGAACCCCTTTTCACACACCGCACATAACCGGCCAATATCTTCTTCATCTTCCTTTTCGATTTCTGTCGTATGCCCTGAGCTCCACACGGTCTTCCTACCTCTTTGGTCGGTGTCAAAGCCTGCATTATCTAGGCCGCGTTAGCCTCGTTTCTCTTCCTATCACTGCAGCCGGCATTATCGCCCACCAGCTTCTTTCCGTTTGGCACATTCAATCCCTTGCTTTGCCCAACATGAAGATGGACGTTTACAGTGTCTTTAGCTCCAGTGCAGCCCGGAGAGACTGCTCTCGCCTCGATCTAGATCTCAAGTCTATCCGACGGATCAGCTCCAGAGCCACTGACCGGCCACCATCCGAGCGTGTAAGTCTCTCGCCTCAGTCTTAAGAGATTTGATGGCGGCATATCAACTAACCATTACAACCCACCCACCAGACGCCATCTCCAAGTCAGAGATTGCCTCATATCGGCATTGTCGGTGCTGGCATCGCTGGTCTCCGCTGTGCTGACATTCTTCTGCAGCATGGTTTCCGCGTGACTATGCTTGAGGGCCGCCACCGGCTGGGTGGCCGGCTACACCAGGCCAGGCTGCAACCCAGTCTGTCTTCCAACGACGACAACGAAGAAACGGAGGGTCCACTTGTCGATATGGGTCCCAACTGGATCCACGGTACCAAGGACAACCCGATCCTGGACCTGGTCCGCGCCACCGAGACCGTTACTAGCAGTCACGACGTGGACGAGGAGGGGAACGATCTTGGGGGCGCCGTCTTTGATGTCGAGGGTACCATTCTGCCGCTGGATGAGGGCGAGGCACTGTCGACCATCATGTGGACGATTGTCGAAGAGGCGTTTGTGCATTCCAATACCAACTGCAGCACCATCGATCCAGGCGAGAGCCTGTATGACTTTTTCGTTCAACGGCTCGATGCTCATGTCACACCCGCAGGCGCGGACGCCACAGAAGCCGAGAGGGAGGCGATTTCACGCAAGCGGAAGCTCGTGCTGCAAATGGCCGACTTTTGGGGTGCCTTTGTCGGCAGCCCCGTCGGCCGGCAAAGTCTCAAATACTACTGGCTGGAGGAGTGTATCGAAGGAGGTAGGTACTCCCCAGTTTGTTGGGTTTCGTGGCGGCTTCAATGCATACTAACCGTCTAGAAAATCTCTTCTGCGCTGGCACGTACAAGAGAGTCTTTGACCGGCTGATCGAGCCAGTCGTTGAAGGCGCCACTATCCACTACGGGAAGACTGTATCGCGCATCGTGAGCACCCAGGATACCCCAAACCACGTACCAGATACGCTCCCAAGCTCCAGCGTCACCGTTGTCACTACGGCGGGCGAAACGTATTCTTTTGACGAGGTCGTGTGCACGATGCCTCTCGGGTGGTTAAAGAAGAACGCAGCTTCCGCATTTGAGCCTCCAATTCCTTCCCGAGTCAGCGAGGCCATTGCCAGCATCGGCTATGGCTCTCTCGAAAAGGTATACATATCGTTCCCCGAGGCCTTTTGGCAGCGCCCCGACCCCGCCACGGGCCGCTCGGTGCGCGGCTTCTGCCAGTGGTTGGCACCGGGCGTCTATGCACAGCCATCCAACCCGGAGCACTGGTCGCTCGAGGCATTTGACATGGCCGCACTGCCCAAATCTGCCGCCCATCCGACGTTGCTGTTCTACACGTACGGTGAGCAGTCTGTGCACATTATGGACACGCTGGCCTCTCTGCGGGACGAGGATGGCAGCAAGTCGACCGCGGCTAATGAGCCCAGCGAGATGCGCCGCCCCAACACAAAGCAGACGGCATTTTTGCTCAACTACTTTCGCCCCTACTTTGGCACCATGCCGCACTACGACCCGGCGTCGCCAGCCTGCCAGCCAACCGGCATCATCGCTACCAACTGGCTGCACGACGACCTTGCCGGTAACGGCAGCTATAGCAACTTCCAGGTCGGCCTCGTCCGCGGCGACGAAGACATTCGTGTGATGCGTGAGGGTCTGCCGGGCCGCGGCGTTTGGCTTGCCGGCGAGCACACGTCGCCGTTTGTCGCTCTAGGTACGGCAACGGGTGCCTATTGGAGCGGCGAATCAGTGGGGCGACGCATTGCGGAGGCGTACGGACTGGAGCAGGAAGGTGCCGCGGCAATGGGTGCCGCGGTGGCCGACGAGACACATATTCCTCTGTCTTCTGTCCAAGAACCAGTTGCGCTCCGTTGATGATAGGGTAGCAAAAAAGCGGCGGCGTGCATTGCATTGCATTTTGAGGCGATGGGTTAACATAGCGATGATTTACGTGTTGCAGCACGAAACGACAAACGAATTAAACGACTTGATCAACACGCATTGACCATGCATTGCTGAACAAAGTAAACACGGTACAGGGTCAGAGTGTTGTTTGTTGTTTCTGCACCTTGGATTAGGGATCTTGTCTAGATTGGGGTAACCGACATCGCGTGACAAGCGTCGACCAGTCAGTTGACAGGGCTGTTCTCGGCTTATAAGTCGTCACAGTGGCTGCTGTGTCCCTTATCTGTTATCAACTAGAGGGGAACAGCGTGACCGTCTTGAGAAGGGGTGGGGCATTTGCAGCAAGTGTCCACTGTAACAAGCAGTGTTTAGCAGTCTTAGCGGCGTGCAAACAGCTATTGCGAAGTATTAGCTGCCTGTTGGTTGTGGGGTCGACTCATCAGGCGGCCAGGCCCACTTTTTACCGCCTACTCTCTTACTTGTGCCCTCTGTCCAATGCTTGCCCACGCCCTTTCTTCAACTTACTGTACACACTTCATGCGGAGGTACCTCCCCATGTGTAAAATACGACAAGATACTTTACTAACGGTCTTGCACGCCCACATTAGTGATCGTGGCCTCCCAACCGTGGCCGTATCTCTATCAGTGATAGTCGGACACGGGCCATGTTAGGCTCAGATGACAAGGCGAGGAAGGAGCTAAAGGGCTACTGCCGTGTACGCCATTAACCACCACCTAGTTGCCATCGACACCGCACTACTCCACCTGCGCTTTCTTCGGCCTCGTCGTCCTCTTCCTCTTCCACCTTCTTTCGTTGAACCAACTTTTGGGCACTCTATTTTTTGCCGTCTGTTTACTTCTCTCGTTCTATTCCACCTTTCGCTTCATTTTGTATGCAGCTCTTTGCTTTAGCTTGCTTTTCTCTTTTCGCCTTCTCGCCTTTTCTTGCATGCTCCCCACCTTGCAACACCGACAATAATAAACGGAGCCGAATGTAGACGATCGACGTCTGCCTCAGTCTTCCCCTTTCATCCCAACTCCAGCGATACCCCGGCTCGTACCGGCCACCTAATACTGGCTATTGCCCTTCGCCGTCACAGTCATTCCAGAAGTTCCCGGCTTGCATTTGCTGCCCTCCCAGCGTCGACGCGATACAATACCATGATCTCCGCCACTGTCCGCGTGCAGTCTTTCACTTTGACGCCGGCGGCTTTTCCTCCGCAGCCACGCTCTCGGTGAGCGGTGACACTTTGTTGCCCGCCTCTCCGTATCGAGACGACCACCGATCTTCCCAGACACACAGACCGGCCTCACCATGTCGCTTCTCGACTCCTTCCGCAACTCCAGCATGCCCAAGCGGCTGCTGCGGTACGCGCTCTCCCGCTTCGACGTCCTCGACGCCGATGCTCTCGACCTGGATAACCTCGACCTGGCCTGGGGCCGGAATACCGTTCTCGAGTTTCGGGATGTTGGCTTGAAACTAAAGGTAGGTCATGCCAAGCCGAACCACGCAGAGATGCGGCAGGCAATGCAGGCGGGTAGGCGTATGTACTGACGTCTTTTCAGATCCTCCAAGAGCTCCTCCAACTCCCACCAACCTTCCACATTCGAAAAGCCAAAGTTGCACTCCTCCGTGTCACCCTTCCTGTTGATATCTACTCCAGCCCGATCCAGATTCAAGTCACTGGTGTCGACGTCCGTCTCCGGATAGCCAAGGACAGCGACGACGCAGAAGGCAGTGCGGCCCGACGAGGCAGTGGCAACAAGTCGGCAGCTGACGATGACGGCGTGGTCCCCACTGCGGCCGACCTGGCCCAGTCCTTCCTCGAGCACCAGCCCGTCAACGAAAAGAAGGCCCTTGAAGAGGCACTCGCGGCCGCCGACGAAGACGACGACGATTTCGATGATGACGAGTCCACCTCATCGTCCTCCCAGACACTCGGCACAGGTCAAGCGCTGACACTGCCCACGTTCTTGGCCGGCTTCCTCCAGGGCATTGTGGATCGCATACAAGTCAACATTGAGGGCGTGACTTTCCAGCTCGAGGTGGACTTGCCGGTCGATGCGTCCGCCGCAACCTCGAGCCCGGTCGGGGCTGCCGCCCCAGGCGCTGTTGAGCCGGTCGTGTTCCAGCTGGCCCTGTCGCGCATCAACGTCGAGGGTGTCACGACATCAATAACACCGCCAGCCGACTCGGCGAAAGAAGATGCGAACAAGGACACCACGACCAGCAATGACACAGGACGGCCTCCCATTGTGCCCAAGGAGGGCAAGCGCCATATTTCCCTCGAGAACGTCCGCGCCTTCCTCATATCGGAGGCCAACATCTTCTCAACTCTCGCCCGCTCGCCATCGATGCCGTCGTCTCTCTCCTCACGATCACCCGGGACGCCTTCACGCGGTCCACCGTCTCGCTCGTCGACCGACGGGTCGGCCCACGCCTACTCCCATCAACATGGACACGCCAACCCTGCGCATGGCAGTCTACATGGCCTGGACGGCCCGGACGATGACTACAACGAAGGTGCGGCGTCTATGGCGGCGTCTTCGGTGGCTTCGTCCGCGATGATGCAAAGCCGATACGGCCTTCAAGACAGCGAGGACGCTTTTAATATCCCATACGAAATGGGTAGTTCCAGTGATGAAAACGATTCCGGCACCAACGAAGACGCACCTCCGGACATCGAAGACGACGAAGCCGCTCTGGCTGCTGCTCTGGCTTCCTCCTCGTCTACACCCAGAGCCTCCGTGTACGGTGACACGGCTGGCCTACCAGCATCCTTGTCCGGAATAGTACCACCGCAACAGGCACCGCCTCATGCCGTGCAATCCACCATTGTTCATGGGAATGATGGACAGGGCAGTCTACAATGGAGCGCATGGGGCCAGGAAGCCCAGTCTGAGCCGTCGCTCCGGCATACCAGCGCGTCTCCTCCGCGCTCAGAAGGCCGTGGCAGTTTCGGCGCCTCTGGCTTCGGTACCTCTGGACTGGGCATGATTAGTGCTGCCACCCCTACGTTGAGCGGGTCGCAGCATTTGGGATCCGGCGATACCAACAGCGTCAGCTCGACCAGGCCAGCCGACGACCTAGCGGCATCACACGTGTTCAGCCATGACGAAGCCGAAAGTATGTACATGAGTGCTTTCTCACACGCCGACTCGTCGCGTCTTCGCAGCGCCATGCCAGGTGGCTGGGACAACGAGGACAATGACGCCGATGAAGAGGCCGATGACCATTACAACGACGACTATAACGAGCGACGCTCGATCAGTTCTGGCTCGTCCCGGCCAGATTCACCGGTGCCCACTGGTGAATTTGATCCTCAATTTAGTAGCAACGACGGATTCAATCCCGACCAGTCGACGCAATTGTCCCTGCGTCTTGTTGCACACGAAGCGGAACGAGAGCCGTCGCCTCCTGCGTCTCCGCCGCTTGCCAAATCGGCCACATCATTCGGCCTGGCCGGGTCGGGCATGTTTCACAAGCCCAGATCCAGCTCTGGACGTTCGACGAGCTCGCGCGGTTCTCTTTCTGCAGCGCCAGATGATACTGCTAACGAGCATGCCGCCGAACCAATGCTTCGCTCCAGCGTGCACTCTTCTGGCCGAGCGTCGCCTGCGTTTGGAGGAAACTTTGATGGCCCGCAGGGCTCGGACAGCGAACACGCATCGAAGAGCGAAAAGAGCCAGGAAATCCCAGAGGTTCAAGACGACCAGGAAGGCGAAGAGTCAAGATCACAGCCAGATGAAGCTGCTACCCCACGTGGTCCGGCCCGCCTTGTCAAGGAGATCCTAGCACTTCAGTACATCTCCATCTACGTTCCATCCAACCACAAGCCAATCGATATCGCACATCAAACCGTTCACACCCCACGCCATCACCACCATGAAAGTCTAGGGCCATCCGTTGCTCCTCATATGCCGGGTTCCTTTTCTGTCTACTCGTCTGCAGGCGCAGCGTCAAAAGTGGGCAGCACCTCGTTCAGCACTCGACTCGACGAGAGCCAGGTCTGGCCACAGACGGCCCATGCGAGGCCAGCGGAGGGTGACTCGTCCCTTGAGGTGACGCTCGCTCCCTTGGAAGTCCGGTTTGATGCTTCCATTGGCTTCCTACTCGCCATGGTCGTCTCTGAGCTGCTACAATCACTTAGGACAGGGCTGGAACAGCAGCAAAAGGCGAAACTACAGAAGCAACAACGGAGACGCGGCTCTGTTGTCACACAGGGCCATGGAGACGACACTGCTTCCATCATGCCAGACGTCAAAGTCCACGCTGAGAAGATCTCACTTCTCTTCCTTGACAAGCTGGCCGGTATAGCTGACACTGCCGAGCGCTTCTTTGACTCGCCTCGGGCGCCAACTTTCAACCACAAGGGCGACGTCCTTCTTCAAACCGTCCTAGAAGATCTTGTCATCGGTCTTACGCCGCCGCCTCCAGCAGCAGCAAAGAACTCGACCGGCCGAGAGGCGTCTCGCGCAGGCATTCCCGACCCGGTCACCAAGACCAGCATTGACTTGAAGCGGTTCCGTTTCGGTTATGCCGATGCGGACATTGTGTCGTTTGACAGGCACATCCAGATGCGGGCATCCGTACGCGACGTTTTCCCACCAGCCGGCGACGATGTTTCGGTCAAGATCAGCCAATCTGCCGAGGCCTTCCGGTGCGAGATCAACACTCTGCCTCTCCTTGTGTCGGTCGACCTGCAGCGCCTTGATGAGACGTTTAGTTGGTTTGGTGGCCTGAGCAGCTTCCTTAGCATGGGCTCGTCCATCACGTCTGCGGCGTCCCAAGGCGGAGCTGGTGCTACCAAACTTGTGACCTCTTCCAAGACGGAAGCACCAACCCAAAAGCCTCGCGGCGTCCGCTTCGATGCCCCGATCAAACCCGACGACAAATCGGCCACGGCAGAGAACAAAGTGGACATGCGTATCGGCGGTATCCGGCTCGACCTTATTGGTAGAGACTGCCGTGCCGGCCTGGATACAAGCGCCGTGAAGCTTGTCAGCCGCGAGGAAGGAATCGGAATCGGCGTGAGCCGTATCAAGTTGGCCGGGCCCTACCTGCGTAACTCTCGTGGTGAACCGCCCGTGACGGCCGAAGTTTCCAACACCCGCCTCGAATTTCTGAATGTGCCCAAAGACAAGGATCTCGAGAGACTGCTGGAGCTGATCACGCCCTCGCGTGTCAAGTTCGACGAGCGTGAGGATGTGATTATGGTTGACACGCTTCTTCGGCAACGCCGCAGCGGTCCTCTCCTCCGCCTCAATATGGACGCCCTGGATGTGCATGTGCACAACATTGCGCAGCTATCGTGTCTTCCCTCACTTGGCGAGGAGATTGCGCGTCTGTCCACCGTCGCCAAGTACCTGCCCGAGGATGATAGGCCAGGCCTCCTCACGCTCGGTCTAATTCGCCGGCTGGATGTCTCCGCCGACATTGGTGGTCGCCTTGGCCTGCTCCAGGCCTCCATAGGGGATCTTGACATGGCGCACATCTCTATCCCATCCCTGATATCCGTCGCAGCCGGCTCGCTGTCTGTGCACCGAAACCACACGGAGGAGCTCATCGGCTCGTCGGTGGTCCCTGCTACCACGCCATCCACTCCTACGGCAACTGCAACCACGTCTGCTGCAGTGTCCACGAGCGCTTCGCCAGCGCAAACAAGTGGGCAATGCCCGGCGTTGATGCTGCGCATCATCGGCGACGACATGGAGCCCGTTATCAAGGTCAAGATGTGGGGTTTGAACTTCGAGTACCGAGTACCTACTGTGATGGACATCCTTGGCTTGGCCGAGGATGCCACCCCGCAAGACTTTGAAGCGAGCCTGGCCGCATCTGTTGCGAATCTTGGTGAACAGGCACACTCGGCCATTGGCGGCGAGGCTTCCACAGGTACGGGCAAGACGAGTCTGTCCGAGGCAAGTGCTAAAAGCGCGGCATCCAAGCCGACGACGCTTGACCTGTCATTCCGGGACTGCATTATCGGTCTCAATCCGTTGAAGCTGCCATCGAAGCTGAATATTGTGCTTGGCGATGCTCGTCTCGAAGTGTCCATTCCCAAAGCCGACGAGGAAGTCGACACGGTCGTTCACGTCAATAAGATGTCTTTGTTGCTTGTCGACGACGTGTCGACCCTTGTGTCTGCGAAGGAGGTGTCATTTGCGCCGAGCCATACCGCACGCCGCTCCTCTGGCGGTACAAGCTTTCTCTCGCCACCATCCCTCTCCAAGGACATGGTGTCACGCCTCTGCGCCCGCGGATACGTCGACATTTGCCAGATCTCAGCAGCCAAGGTCTCCGTGCACGTATCGGCCCCTGACGGCGACGGCCAAAAGACAATCGATATCGAGGTTCGCGACGACCTACTCGTCCTCGAGACATGTGCCGACTCGACCCAGACGCTCATAACGCTTGCCAACGCCCTCAAACCCCCAACGCCACCCAGCAAGGAGATCAAGTTCAAGACGGAGGTCATGCCGGTCAAGGATCTTTTGGCGTCGATCTCGATTGACGCGTTCGGCCGGGCCGAGGGCAACTACAACTTTGACGACGACTTTATTGTGGAAGGGGAGGAGGACGAGGCAAGTACTACCATGGGCGCTGGGAGCGAAGGCAACCTGTTTGGTGCCGCCTCGGACGGCAGCCACGACCTCCTGCCCGGCCATGGCAATCGCACTGCTATTGAAGAGTCTGTAGCTTCGCTGCCCTCGGTCACAGCCGACGACGATCTCCTCTTCGATGGCGACCTGGACCTGGATGCCGATCATGGCATGGCGGGTACGGTAGCCGAGCAGCTGTTCAATGCATCCTCTGTGTTCTCAGAACAGGCTCAGCAGCGCGGCAGTCTCACACCCAGCCGCAGTGGCATCCCGTCTGGACAAGACAAGGGCAAGAGAAAGGAAAATACCAAACCCAGTGGCAGTCCGCTTTTCCTTGCGTCGTCGACGAGCGACCTCGATGCCGAAGAAAACTTCTTCGGCACGTCGTCAGACATGGCTGCCGAGGAGTCGTCGCATGCCAATCGGTGGAACTCGGCTCTAAACAGCTACGACAATAGGAGCAAGGTCATCGGCGGCAGGGACGGGGCAAGTGCGGGCACGAAGCCGCCCCCGCTCTGTGTCCGCGTCCGGGACGTCCATGTCATCTGGAATCTCTTTGATGGCTACGATTGGCAGCACACGCGCGATATCATCACCAAGACCGTCGAAGAAGTCGAGGCCAAAGCCTATGAGCGGCGCACACGGCACCGCCGGCGGTCCGGCCAAGACCAGTACAACCCCTACTCGGAGGATGAAGAAGAAGAGGCCGTCATTGGTGATTTCCTGTTCAACTCCATCTACATTGGCATCCCGGCCTCGCACGACCCGCGGGAACTGACGCAGGCGATCAACCAGAACATCTATGGAGATGCGATGGGCGACACAGAGTCGGTTGCGGCGACGACCATTACGGCCACGTCGACGCGCCCTGGTGGTGGCGGCGGCGGCGGCGGCGGCGGCGGCGGGACTGGGGTTGGTCCACCGCATGCTTCTCGTGGCGGTCGGTCTAAGAAATTGAAGCTGCATCGCAGCCGGCGCCACAAGATCACGTTTGAGCTAGGCGGTGTCGCAGCCGACCTCGTTGTCTACCCACCGAACTCGGGCGAGACGCAGTCGTCGACCGATGTTCGTATCCGCGACCTAGATATCTTTGACCACGTGCCCACATCGACGTGGAAGAAGTTTGCAACCTACGACCGCGATGCCGGCGAGCGACCGATCGACGGCGACATGGTGCATCTCGAGGTTCTCGTTGTCAAGCCGGTGCCGGAGCTGGCGGCTACAGAGTTTGTGCTCAGGGTGACGCTGCTTCCACTGCGGCTGCATGTCGACCAGGACGCGCTCGACTTCATTACGCGCTTCTTCGAGTTCAAGGACGACACGGCACCGCCGACGCATGCGTCGACCAGCGATGTTCCCTTCATCCAGCGAGCCGAGATTCGCGACATCCCCGTGCAGCTGGACTTTAAGCCCAAACGGGTCGACTACGCGGGTCTGCGCTCGGGTCACACGACGGAGTTTATGAATTTCTTGATTCTCGACGGGTCGCGCATGACGATGCGGCACACCATTATCTACGGCGTGTCGGGCTTCGACCGGCTGGGCAAGACACTCAACGACATCTGGATGCCAGACATCAAGCAACACCAGCTGCCCGGCGTTCTCGCGGGCCTTGCACCGGTGCGGTCTCTCGTGACCGTCGGCAGCGGCTTCAAGGACCTGATTGAGATTCCCATCCAAGAGTACCGGCACAACGGGCGCATCGTGCGGTCCATTTCCAAGGGCGCCGCGGCCTTTGCCAAGTCCACGGGCACCGAACTCGTCAAGCTGGGCGCCAAGGTCGCGACGGGCACGCAGTATGTGCTGCAGGGCGCCGAAGGCATCCTCAACAAGAACAACCCGGATGCGCCGCACAGCACGGCCCAGAACGGCGGGTTCCCCTCAGGCGGGGGCCTCGACGACGACGACGATTCGGACGACGAGCGCAAGCAGATTAGCCTGTACGCCGACCCGCCGACGGGCGTGGTGCAGGGCCTGCGCCATGCGTACACCAGCCTGGCGCGCGACCTCTACGTGGCGCGCGACGCCATCATTGCGGTGCCGGCCGAGGTGCGCGAGACGACGAGTGCGACGGGCGCGGCCAAGGTGGTCATCAAGCACGCGCCGACCATCATTTTCCGGCCGGCCATCGGTGCCTCCAAGGCCATCGGGCAGACGCTGATGGGCGCCACCAACAGCCTGGATCCGCAGAACCTGCGGCGGGTCGAAGACGTAAGTCAGAGCAGAGCGTGGCACAGCCCATGTTGGGATATGTGAGTGTACAGTTGCTAACACAATGTGCAGAAATACAAGTCTGGCCCTGGCCGCCGAAGCTAGATGGCAATTTGCGGCCGTCACGAAGCCCACGATGCAATGCAACCCTGCCGTTGCTCTACTCTTACTTTGTCTTTTTTTTTTAGAACCCCCCCCTCCGCTCCTTACGATGATACGACAGGTTTTGATTCCAGTCCGCGACGACTCGTTCTGTCTTTCCATCTTTCATGCTATTTGCCAGTGTGCAGCCAGTTTGTCAAAAATTCACAATACCTCATCTGCTTGGAGTTACTGGGACAGCATCGGGAATTCAGAGGCGTTTTTCTTTTAGGTTTGGTCGATTTCATTCTGATGTTTGATTTAATCATGTGTGCTCAGTTTCTTTTCCATTGCGAAGTCTCTTATTGTTTTTTGTTTTGCCTTAATTTCATACGTCCACCCACGTGGGCGCTCTTTTAGATTAATTCACTGTATACCCCGTGTCGCTCCCACCTCTTCCGAGACGCTGAGAAATCAGAAAAGTGAATCCTGTCTCTCGGAAACTAGGTGCTAATTATAATTATGCGTCGTGTCGTCTTTGCCTACAGAAAGTCATCAGTATGAATACTTCGTACCACAAGTCGGCGCTGTCTGCGGCGGCTTCCAGGTAGCGCCGGCCGCCGCAGGTCGATAAGACCCGTGCCAGCTGTTCCTGCCACTATTACCCCCACTACAACATGCCTGCCAGTGTAAGATACAACTCTGCATGAACCGACTTTTGGCGCTAGTATGGCGTCATTCGGCAGACAGCAAACCCACGTCCGTCACAAACGACGTTGTTGAAGCTTTGGTAGGACACGTTGCGCAGCTTTGCCCAGAATCACAGTGCCTGCCCGCGTCTGGTTTTCTTTCCCTCCTTTTGCCCCGAACATCCCTTCGTACGTCGATCAGCAGCTCCAAGATGTCGGACGGCAAGCGGGCAGTCGATTCAGACAAGGGTAAGTTGGTGCGATAGAGACGGAGAGACACAGAAAAGACAGGAGAGGACTCACAGCACTGACACTTGGCCAGTCTGGACGACCTTGATCACCAACCTCGACTACCTCCCGGGCCTCTTGACCCTCGACGCCTCCCTCAAGAACGTCAAGTCGGCCTACCCACTCGTCGCACTTTATACAGACTCCTTCCCGGAAGAGGGCAAGAAGGCGCTCGCTGCTCGCGGCATTCCCCACCAGCGCATCGCCTACCTGCTGCCCACCAAGTCGCACCGTGACTACAGTGCCGATCCCCGCTTCTACGACTGCTGGAGCAAGCTCACGCCCTTTGGCCTGACGCAGTACACCCGCGTCGTGCAGCTCGACAGCGACATGCTGGTCCGCCGCAACATGGACGAGCTCATGGACCTGCCGCTCGACGAGCCGGAACTCGCCGCCCAGGACCCTGCGCCCGCCACCAGCCGCCGCATCTTTGCTGCTGGCCACGCCTGTGTCTGCAACCCGCTGGGCAAGACGCACTACCCCCGCGACTGGGTGCCGGCCAACTGCGCCTTCACCTTGCAGCACGCCGACCCGGCCAAGGCCCAGACCGAGGGCGCCGACCCGGACCCGGCGCTGCCCAACCAGCCGTTCGGCGTCGAGCTCATCAACGGTGGCCTGCAGGTCGTCGTGCCCAACAAGGTCTTGTTTGAGCGGATCGTGTCGTTCATGGACGAAAACGCCGCCGACCTCGACTTTGCCGACCAGAGCCTGCTGTCGACGCTCTTCCGCGGCCGCTGGGTGTCGCTGCCCTACACGTACAACGCCCTCAAGACGCTGCGCTGGCCCGGCGTGCACGACGCCATCTGGCAGGACGACGCCGTCAAGAACATCCACTACATCCTGACGCCCAACCCGTGGGACGAGCTGGACCGCAGCGCGCCGGGACAGCCGCTCAAGGCCGGCCTCACACAGGACCCCCGGAACGTGGAGTCGCACGGCTGGTGGGCGGAGGCGCACCGGGCGCGCAAGGCGGCGGAGGCGGCGGCCGGGATCGAGGACGAGTGGTAGACGAGGCTTGGCGACAGGGCCGGGGTGGTGATGGGATGATTCGAATGCCTACGTAGTGGGTACGTTGCATATGGGTGGGTGGACATGTCAGAAGGACGCATGGATTCTAATTTTGGAACATATTTACAACAATGCGCTGCGAGCAGCACGATATAGGTCAATATATGTCTAAGTCGGCCAAACGCGAAAATAAACATGGCGAAGATGAGATTGCGAAAGGGAGAGTATTGTGGTGCCGTAATTCGTACGGAGAATACATAATATGCCTTGCCAAAACGTTCACAACAGCACCAGTTGCAAAGCGCGACCTCAATATGTGGTGCCCCGCTTTTCTGCCAGGTCCCTTCTTTCCCTCACTGGGAGACTGCGCCGGGGACTCTAGTCGAACCCCGGCCGCCTACGCCAAACGGTGACTTCCACCGCATTTCCAACTGCTAAGCTCCGAAACCGCCCGTGGGGTAAAAGGCTGTGGCAGCCGTTTCTCTTTTTCTTTTTCTTATTCTTTTTCTTCCTGTTGGAGACAGCTGTCCGCCGTGCCTTTACTCCATTCTTGCATCCCATTACCCCATCTAGCAGGCGCAAATCAATTCGCGGCGGCAGGCGGTACCCGGGGAGAGACCAACTCTGCTCCGTGCCTCAACGCCGTAATCTCCTCTGTTCCACTGTGTTTCGTTTCTCTCTCTATCTGGGGTAGGCTTCTCTCTGGCAGACAAATCTTTGAGTCCGCTCTCCTTCCACCTTCGTTTTGACTCCATCCGCCTCTCCCTTCTATGTCGTTGTTTCCTCTTTCTCGACAAACTCCTCGACAATCCATCGCGCCTTCCTCCTAGCGGCTTTACACGGAAACGGCAGCTGGCATAAAGCACGACCACACGGAGACGCCTATCATTTCTTCCTCTCCCACCACACGCCGACACACAGAGACACACATATACAACATGGCCACACAAAAACCGATGGACGGCACGATTGCCGTTGCCGTACCAGCAGCCAAGCCGCCACCCGTCGCAGAATCCTCGTCGGCGCACTACAAGGGCTTCGTCGCCGGCGTCTTCTCCGGCGTGGCAAAGCTGTCCGTGGGCCACCCGTTTGACACCATCAAAGTCCGCATGCAGACAACGTCCGCCGAGCGCTTTGCCGGCCCCATGTCCTGTCTCGTCCAGACCGTTCGCAACGAGGGCATCCGCGCCCTCTACAAGGGTGCCACGCCGCCGCTCGTCGGCTGGATGTTTATGGACAGTGTCATGCTCGGCAGTCTGACAATGTACAAGAAGCTGCTCGGCAAGCACGTCTTTGGTGTCGACGCCGCGGCCACCGCCGCCGGCGCATCGACCGCCGCCGGCGGACCTGCGCTGCCGTCGTATGGCCACGGCATTGCGGGCATCTTTGCCGGGTTTACCGTCAGCTTCGTGGCGGCGCCCTTTGAGCACCTGAAGGCGCGGCTGCAGGTGCAATACGCCGCCAGCAAGGCCGACCGGCTCTACCACGGCCCCCTCGACTGCGCCGGCAAGATCTACCGCAGCCACGGCGTCCGCGGCATCTACCACGGCCTCTTCTCGACCATGATCTTCCGCTCCTTTTTCTTCTTCTGGTGGGGCAGCTACGACGTCTTCACGCGCCTGCTCAACAAGCACACGGCGCTGCCGCCCGCGCTCGTCAACTTTTGGGCCGGTGGCCTCTCCGCGCAGGTGTTTTGGATCGTCGCCTACCCGAGCGACGTTGTCAAGCAGCGCATCATGACGGACCCGCTGGGCGGCAAGCTCAATGACGGCACGCCGCGCTTGCCACACTGGCGTGATGCGGCCACGGCCGTCTACCGGGAGAGCGGCTACAAGGGCTTCTTCCGGGGCTTTGTGCCGTGCTTCCTGCGGGCATTCCCTGCAAATGCCATGGCGCTCGTGGCCTTTGAGGCCGTGATGCGGACCCTGCCATAGATGGGTTGTGCGGGTGACTAGAAAAGAGAGAGAGTAAGTTGGCAAAGAAGAATGAAGGAATAGAAGGGATGAGAGCATTTGTTTTCCACCTAGCGTTTTTTAAAGTTTTTTTTTACGATTTTCAATTACTGGCGCATTTATGATTTGCAATGCTATTTATTATTTGGTTTCATATAGTTATCACGGCATATATATCGTCGAGTCCAACAGGATTCATTCAAACATATGAATCAATATCAAAATTCAATTAACATGTATGTATGCTGGCCCATCAATAACAAAAGCATACTCCTAAAAACTCCAGGAACTCCAAACTCATGCTCGCACGCTTCCATCGGGGTGTAATGAGCAGATCCCTTGCCCCCCTTTCAAAAAGAGCTCAACGATAAGGCCATCTACGTAGTGTCGTAAAAGGCCGAGACAAGAAAGGTCACATTTGTGTGCATGCACAGCGCATCACCCGCTTCGTAGCTGCATGCTCCCAAAGGCTTGATCTAATGCTTCGCCCGTAACACCGCCGCTGCCTGCCGCAGCAAAGGTTGTCTGCTCCGGCACCGCTGCCGCCATCTCGCTCGGCTGTTCCGCAGAACCGTCGCCGCCGCTGTCGCTCCCTCGGTCTCCTGACGATCCGGTGACGGACTCCTTCTTCTCGGGTACCAGCAGACGGTCCTCCGAGTCCAGCCAGCCGGGCGCCACGCGCCGCTTCTCCGCCAGGTCGCGTTCCTGGATCCGCTGCTCGAACTGCTGCAGTTCGGCGTCGGCGTCTGCTTGCAGCCGGGCGACGTGCTCATGGAGGGCGCGGCATTTGGCCAGAATGTCGTCGGGGTGGGCAGACAGGTTGGCTGCCGGGGAGGTGACGTAGGGGACCTTGGCCGGTGCACCCGATCCGCCGGGCCCGCCGGCCTCGATGATGGATGGCGGTAGAGCGGAAGGCATGGCCTTGTAGCGGTAAGGGAGGGTGGTGGCGCGAGGGAGGTGGACGAAGGGAGAAACAGTCAGTGGGACCTGCTCGAGGAGAGGATGAGATCCTGGGAGGAGAGAGAGAGAGAGAGAGTTAGGACGATAACGGACCGAGATCATGGAGTTGTATGCTGGAGCGACTCACGGTTGTCGTGCATTGTGTCCAATGGTCGACTTGCACATATGCGAAAGTGACGTAATGGGACGAAAAAGCAGACAGAGTCTCGGTGTATTTAAAGTCTGGCGGGATAACACCTCGCGATAATCGTCTGGGAGGCCAGTTGCGACGACCTCGGAGAGCCGGTGACGATGCTAATAGGTGAGTCGTATGTGGAGTACGAAGCCACAAAGTGACGCCCCGTTCCACTCCATGTACCCCGCTGCCGCGTCGACCACCAAGGCAGGAGCGGCAGAAAAAGCAGTGACCCACAGTAGACGCAGAAAGGCGGTGACGGGCGGCCACAAAAGCTGCTGCAAAGTCCTTTGCATGCTCGCACGGGCCACCCAAAAATTTTGCGGCAGGCTCCACCGGCTGCTGCCTTCCCAAACACCTATAAATATAGCTCCCGCCTCCTTTCCTTCTTAGAATTTTCTTTTCCTCCTTTCTTCCTTAGCTCTCTTTGCCTTTTGGCTTAGATCAAGTGTAGTATCTGTTCTTTTCAGTTTAATCTCTGAAATTACTCTACGGAGTAAAATCGTGATTAATCTAATTTTTGTCTCGCGGCGGACGACCCTCTGGGCTTGCCCATGGTCGACTGCCACTGTGTCCTTGGTATTACACTGCCTCCAAGCGACGCGAACAATTTTCTACATTTTGTGTGTGCTCATTTTTTTCATTGCAATCTCAGGCTTGCCTGGGATGTAAGGGAGACAAAGCACCTATCGACAGCCGTTTCTCGATTCATGATTTTGTAGTAGGCCTGCGTTTTGATCGTGGTTTGAATGTCTACGCGTTTGCACCTGCTAGTCGTACTGCGTAAAGTGAGCTCCAAAAAAGAGCTTTGCATGAAAATCTCCGCATCACTAAAATTGAGTATAGAGAAGAACGAGAAAAACTAGCCAATCGACTTGTATCGCTGCGGCCAGCCTGCTCCGACCCCCGCCTCCATTGCTACAATGATCAACCCGCGTGTTTTTGAGTCCCTCAAGGCCAAGGCCGAGCAGGACCTCGCCGTCCGCGCCCAGCTGGACGCCCTCATCGAGGACCTCGAGCGCAACGTCGCCTATGCACAGGGCGTCCTGTCGCGCGTTCACTCCACACCGCGCGCCCGCTATCCGGCCGCTCTGCTGCCGGCCGTCGACGCCGCCGTCGCCGACGAGGTCGCCACGGTGCGCGCCCTCGGCGACGTGGCCTCCGCCCACCCCTACTACAAGTTCAACCAGCGCTGGACGCGCCACCTGCAGGATGCCATCTTCACCGTGCTGCTGGCGGCGTGGCTCGGCGGCGTGGCCGCGCTCGACAACGAGAGCACCAAGCCGGCCGTCGGCCGCCTGCTGACGCTCGAGGAGGTCGGCGCGGTCTTTGGCGTCCCCGTCGAGATCGACCACGACGCGTTCCACATTGCCCTGGAGGAGTACTTGTCCGCGCTGACCGCGCTGACCGACGAGCTCGGCCGCCTGGCCATGAACGCCGTGACGCTCGGCGACGGCGAGCTGGCCGTGCGCATCAGCCGTTTTGTCAAGGACCTGCACGCCGGCTTCCAGCTGCTGAACCTCAAGAATGACTTTTTGCGCAAAAAGGTCGACGGCGTCAAGTACGCCGTCAAGAAGGTCGAGGGTGTCATCTACGACCTGGCCCTGCGTGGCCTGCTGCCGGCGGAGGAGGAGGACACGGCGGCCGAGACGAAGGACGAGGAGAGTGCCAGCAAGAGCGCGGCAGCGGCCTCTGACGCTGGCCCGGCTGACAGCAAGATGAGCGAGGCATAAGGTTGCCGTGGAGGAGCGCCAGAGGGAGCTGAAGAGAGACCTTGAACTGCTACGGGTGTCCATCTTTAAAAGGGGCAATGCATACGGGGTTTTGTCTGGTAAGATGCGGATTTCAATGTGATAGGTTTTTCTTCCTTAGGTCAAATACGGAACACCAACATCCCAGATTCTGCTATTATCAATGTTGAAGTCGCATCGATCAAAGCATAGACAGCTATTGAGGCATACGTTCAATACTCCCACGGCACATCTTCCCTCTTTTATCTGTTGGTGTATTTGAGAGCAAAATCGTGTCATAAAACGTAAAAATTCATAGTAAAAACTAGAAAGGCTAACACAACCCAGAGTTTTCTATATCCCCATATCCTCTTGAGATTAGAAAAGAGGTAAACTCGTTATTCCTATGCACGCCGGCTACTCCAATACGCCATAAAAAAGGCGCAGAGAACATGTGTACGACCAAAAGACGTCCTTTTGTGCCCCAAAACCTGACACGGAAAGCAATAAAGAGTAGCAAAAACCAAATAAAAACGCCCGACGTTGCTATGCCGCTGTTGTGACGACCGCGACGGGTCTCAGATTCCGGGCTAAACTGACCAATGAAAAACAGTAAGGAAAAGCCATAATAAAAAAACATGTGTTCGAAGAAGCTGGCCGAAAGTAAGGTAGAGCGGTAACAGGTAGTGTGCGTACAGAGCAGAGGTCTGGCGCTTAACTCAGAGCCATGCGCAGGCTCTCGCTACGAGCACGGCCAAGGCCGCGAATACCGGCACCGTGACGCTCCTGCGTCTTGGTCACCCACTCCGCAATGGTCTCGTAGCATAGCACATACTGGCGCAGGCTCTGGACCATGCTGAGACGCTGCGAGCGGAAGTCCTCGACAGTACCAGCCACAAGGTCAACCTGGTCGCTGTCGAGCCACACTGGGTCGAAGCCCTTGTCAGCGTCGCGAACTGGCGTGTTGAGCGAGCCGAAGTCGTGGTAATCACCCTCGTCATCGCTCATGACGATGTCGTCACCAATGACCTCGTTGGGCTCAATGTTGCTTTCGCGACGGCCAGGGTGGTGCTGCTGCGAAAACATACCGGACGCAGCAGTAGCCCGCCGAATAGAACGCTGGTGCTGGCGCTTGAGCATGTCTATCACGGAGTCGACGGTGCAAAAGGCGCCGGTGCGTCCACAGCCAGCGGAGCAGTGCACCAGCATGGGCCGTGGCGCCGGGTTGGTTTCTGGTCCGTCGTGCCACGGCGACAGCAGGCTGTCGATTTTGTTAATGCCCGATACACGACCACCACCAGCTGCTGCCTGAACGGCAGACATGGACGTCGACTTCGGCATACTCTGCGGGGTGTCCACAGGCGATGAAACCGCGTGCTGGTTGGCATTGGCCAGTTCGACGAGAGCCAGAAGGTGGCTGGGCTTCGCCGGTGTGCCAAAGTCGGGCCACGACGGGTAGTGAAGCTGAGTCACCTCACGCATGGGCGAGAACGCGTGGCCGCGGTGGCTGAGCGCAAACTTGCGGACGTGTACGAAAGGTGCCTCATTGCTGCTCGCGGCGTTGGCCTGGCCAAAGAATGACCCAGACGATCCGGCACCGCCGTCGTTGCTCTCTGCAGAAATCAAAGTCTGCGCACGACGTCTCCCGGTTTCGGCCGAGGGTACATCGCTGTTCGAGGCGGGCGCGTTCAGACGGTGCTTGTCAACTTCGAGAGACACCTTCTTTTCGCTCAACAGACGGAGCGTGAGCTGGCCGTACTCGTTGTTCTTCCAGTATGGGTGGCACTTGACCTGGCCACCTTCCGTTTCGGCCGTGAGCATGACGATAACGCGGACGTCCTCGTCCCAGACCATAGACCAAAAATCCGAAAAGGTGGCCGGCAGCGGTGCTTGGGTTGCAATGTAACGCTTATTGGACCGGCTGGCACGCAGGTGGCTAGCATTGACGTAGTCGCAGTCGCCGGCTGCCCGTCCTCGCAGGCGAACACGTGAGTGGTCAAATGGCAGGATGTCCTTGTACCGATTCTTGACACCCTTTTCGACACCGGAGATCTGGACTTGTGGAGCGCAGGGGTTGGCGCCGTTCATAGACTGCTGAATGACACCGTAGGCGTCCTTCATGCGCGCCTGCTCAGCCACCTCAATGTCTAGGAATTTCTGAGAAACGCGCTGGCCGTGGTCTGCCGGGTCAGCGGCGGTGCGTAGCCAGGCGGGGAGGGCTTGAATTGCCGTTCCCGGAGGCAGCGTCAGCTCGATACGGCCAACACCATCGGCAAGGTCCATATTCTGGCGGATATTGGAGAAAAAAGGGTTCGTGTTCGACGTGACACCGGGGAGCATGACACCGCCCAGGATAGGTGCAATCGACAGCTTCCGGGGACCAGAGGAATCCAGCGAAAGTGCAGACCGCCCAGACGGAGGAGATGCCGGGGTGTCGCGGTCGACCAAGTTGGGGTAGGCCTCTTCAAACGCAGCGAAGCCGCCGCGGAGGACGAATGCCTGGCCCTTGAAGCCCTCATTAGTGAACTTGCGAAGCATGTTCATGGCTGCCACGGCATCGCGCTTCTCGGCCGAATTGTTGTCGTAGACGACAAGGTAGGCTGCATCGCGCCACGCGGCGAAGCTAGCCTGGTCCTCGTCTTTGGCAAAGGTGAGCTGCATCTTTTGCAAGGTGAAGGTAGCACGCTTAAGCAGCGTTGTCGGGATGCACATGTTGAGCGCGCCGTGGATGCGAGAGGCAGCGTAGTAGGTTGCTACGCGGACGTCGAGCAGAAGCAGCCGCTTGTTAGAGTCACCGGTGGGGCTCGAAACTGCGTCGAGCTCGAGGATTTCTTTGAGCTGCTGCACGTCCATCATGCCGTGTGCCGCATCCCCAGCCGGAGGAGCGGTCTCTGCACGCAATGGCGTAGGACCGACGCCCATGCTACCCTTCCGCGCCGCAGACATACTGAGCCGGCCCATGGTCAGAGGGAAGTGAGGTGGTGGTTGTCGGTGAGCATCTGCAGGCGGTTTCAGTTCTGGAGCGGCCTCAAGCTGGACTGGCGACTCAAACCGGGGCGCATTGAAAATGGGACGCGGGTCAATCGATGCCTCAGAATTTCTCTTTGAATCCGAAGACATATACGCGGAGTCGTGCATGCTGTCTGCGTCGCCATCCACTTCCATCTGTGCGCCCACTCGCTTAGACGCTTCATGGCTGCTTCTTTGTTGGAAGGTTGGGCGGAACAGGGGCATG